ATACTCAATACTTGGTTTTTTCCACTTGAATTACTACCTCAAATCAAGATTATAAAATGAAAAATTTTCTATATTTATGTACTCATTATAAAAGTAACATTTTTTACTTATAGACCATTAACAAATACTAATATTTATTACATTATATAAATATTTCATGATATTTTCATTTTATCCATAATATATATATATATATATAATTACCATTAAATACATATTAATTAAAATTTATGTTTAAATTTGATACAGCATCAGCTTTCGATATTTTTCTCTATTTATTTCAATAATTACTTGTTAATGCTCATTAATTGAAAATTTAAGCTTATATTATGCATAAAAATTTTTAAATATATCTCATCAAACACTGAAAATAAGATATTCTTGATTCTAGTTATTTAAAAAATATTATAATCAAAAATCAAATTATTCTTGATTAAAATATATCGTTTTTCAAGTAAAGACTTTTATTTTAACATGACCATTTATACTTAATCTTTTTTTTTTAAACAAAAGAAAACATCATCTTTTCTCAACATTACATCATGATGATAATAGTAAAACATGAACCATTCTGTACTTACTTTTAGAGTTTGTATAAATAACTTTATTCGTTTTATTCAAAATAAATGCTAAGAAAAACTACAGGAAATAGAATAGTAACTAGTGCCATAGAGATGTGAAAAAAAATGTTTTAAATAGTGATTGTAAAAAAAACGGTACCAAACTAGATTCAGTTATAAAGTTCATACAATTATAATATTTATTCCATTTTTAATGAATCACAAATTATAAGCAACTGTTTAGAGGAACATTAAATTGTAATATATAATACTGATTCATCACACATCAACTTTTCATATATTAACATTATTTATTAAGCATGTAAACAAGTTTTAACATTAATGTGGTGGTTTAATTATCTATCATTTATTATGATAAAAATATTTGAGTAATGAAATTTATTTTAAAAATATCCTAGATAAATAAGATGAAGTAACGATGAGCAAGAAAATACAAAAAAGTTTAAGGATAAAGAAAATTGGTTTTTTTTTTTCAATGCTCCAAAGGGTTTTCATTTAAATGAAAATACCATTTATCAGTGGTTAACTAACTGACAACAGTTTTTGATTTACTCATCTTTCAGTAATGGGGTCGTCATTTACAGTAGCAGAGAAACTTGAGAAAGCCCGACGTTTATATAGTCTACAAAATTATCATGGTTGCTTTCAACAACCATCTGGTAACTAAATTCTCTTGTGCTTTGTATACTCAAACTAAATCAAATATTTGTTATTTTATCTATTTTTTTCATTAAAATTTCAAATAGTAATTGTAACTGAGATAGTTTATATTCTTTAATTCATTATTGTACAAATAAAGTTCCTTAAAAATACGATAACTATTGAATATAATTCAGGAAAGATATAGAGTTTAATTACAGAGAATAAAATTTTTACTCTTAATTGTTTCCATATTGGATATTCTTTAATAAAATTTTTATTTAAAATAAAAATGTCAATATATTTTTGGAATAAATGTCAGATTGATTTACTTTGAAGGACTTCCACTTTATACATATATAATAGTTATGATACCCAATTATGCTAAAAATTGAATAAATTCTAAATACAATGACTTTATAGATTGACATTCAATTCAATCATTAGAGCGTGTCTACAACCGAGTAATTTGTTAGTGCGAAAATGCCAGCTGAATCGGATGCATTGTTATTACCCGAAGATAAATATATTAAATGAACAAAACATGTAAAAATAGTTAAAAACGAAGAAGAGACCCTGATGAAACAGGATTTGCAAAAAGTGATTGGAACCCATTTCAAATCGGAGTTAATTCAATATGGGTCGACGAAAACACATGTCATGGGGTCAAACTGAGCAATCAATAAAGTACTCTCTTTTCAATTTCTACATTTTTTTTCCTTCATCATCACCTACATTTCTAACCACTTTTATTTATTAAAGTTTCAATATTTTTATTAATTTTTTATTCGACAACATATATTAATTTTCAAAGCATATATACTAAAATAAATAATAAACTATGAAAACATAATTATTACATTTTAACTCTAAAAAAACAAACAACTAACTTGTTTGATTTTGCTAATCGGATTATATTGAAGTTACAGTACATCTACTGTATGATACATCATAACTTGTACATGGAATTTCATTTTTTACGACAAAATATTTTCAATGAATACTAAATTATTAAATAATGATTCATTTCGATAGAAATTATTTATTTACAATAATAATTGTTTAATTTTTAATTTCCGAAATAATTATTTCATTATTAATTAATAGATAATTATAATAAATTCAATTATAGCACGAACTAAGAAATTTTCCTTTTTTCTTACTAACAAATTTTACATTAAAAAAATGTTAATTTTGTTTACACAATAAATACAAAAATAATGAAATACTCTCGCTAAAAAGAGTCAACTTTTTAATTTATTCGTGAATATCCAAATGAATTAATATTATTTTTTTTTTTAACTCACATGCTAAAAAATAAGTGGCAAAAAAGTGTTTGAAAAATGTTGAAATAATTTTAAATATTATTTTGAAAGGGGAAATATCATATAAATGATTGTGGATTAAAATTTAACTGAATATCAAATTTTCACTGACCTTTCCTTTTGTATTTAAAAAAACTTTTATTTGCATCATTAATGTAATGAAAATTTTTCGATTTTACACATAAAAGTAATTTTATCAACAGTTTGAAAAAAAAATTATTTACCTCTCCATCTCATCTAAAATTACATGCCTTTATGATATGATGATAGTTCTATTTTTGTATTGAATTGTGAACTTTAAAAGTTTGTTTGTTATTGTAAAATAGAATAAATATTTTGCCACATGTAAACTTTTTAGTAAAGAAAAAAATAGTTTTTATTCATTCTTTGTAGATTATTATTATTTTAACTGTACTTAATATTAACTCAACTGTACAAAAATTTATTATGCATGAAATCATTATTCTAAGTCCATTGCTATTTTTTGTTAAGACTATGAAAGAGAATTTTTTTTTTTCAAATAATCATCTTTCAAGTATACATTACTAAAAATTTTGATTTTTTTTAAAAAAACATCCGAATTAATGTTGGTGATAAGTTCTATAAAATATGTATTACTTCAACAAAAAATTATATAATTATGATCAGAGTAATAGTAGATAAAATAGATAAAATAATTGACACCAATTATTAGGGGAAAATTTCATTGATAAAACTTACCTTGTAAGAATAGTACAAATTGTATTACAAGTCCGACGAGAGACATGTTGAGTTAATAATCTACGTAAAATGTCCATTTAACAACACAATAATAAAATAAAAGATAAAAAAATATCGGATTTAATTTAGATCAAAATTCTACACTGTTCTTTTTTGTTCGAGTTAAAAACACAATACCCAACGCATCACCCGAATGTATACACCTTCGCGGGCAAAGTCTGGAATCAAACTGCTGCCGCGCACACGTCTGACTATTTCATCTGCTTCTACTACTGAATTTAATGCGCTCTTCTCACCGCTTCAGTTTTCGCCCTCATTCAAAAAGGTTAGCGATTTACCAAAAAATAACCAAACTATACAATTTTCTTTCTTTTACTTCTCCGTATATTATTTATCTTTTTTTTCTAATTAAAATGAGTTATTATTATTTTTAATTTTATTGCATGGATATATATTTTTTTAACTATGATTATGATAATGACTTGTAAAAATTTCATGTTTGACGTATTTTTTGAAATCAAGTTTTTAACATATTTATTATTTGAATTTTCGATCACCTTTGGAGCAAAATTTTAGATAATTATAAGTTCATAAAATATTTCCGTAGTATAACTTTATTTTATTTTTGCAAGTGATAGACTTTCATTTTGACAAACATTTATTAAATGAATTCACTTTGTACATATTTTTATCAAATAATTCGCAGAGACAATATTAAACGCCACACACGATTCAAAGTATTTTCAGTATTACAATTCAAGCTTTAATGTTTTATAAAATTTTTAAGTACCGTCATCATTAATTTTTCACACACTCTTATAAAGTAAAAAAATTATAATTATAATATAAATTAAAAACCGTATTGTGCTGTTTTAAATGGATACTTTTCTTTAGTTTTTCGTAATACAAAATATAATAAACCTCTTGCGTTGGAAAACTTAATAAATATTAATTGATAAGTATAAAATTATATTGATGATTGTTTGAAAAGTAATAATTATTTCTCAATGTTATCTAGTTGTATGATTAAACACAAAGTAGAAATTTGATTGTAAATGTAATTTCTTGTTTAGAAACAGGCAGGAAACAGCTTCATGAATTGCATCGACAAAGTTTGCCCTTTACTATTACTTGTTGTCATCGTCTCTGTCTCTCCTCGTTCTCATATCACCTATACAATTCGAATTTCGGAAACTTACACATTTGTACTGACTTGAGTGGCATGATTAGATACACAAACTACTCTCACAGTAGTAACTGTACATATATCACCTAAACTTTGTTATTGGAAGCACTGGGGTATGCCTAATAATATTGCAATGACAAACTGATTTCACTTATAATTCATATCAAAAAACTCCATCATTATTATTACTATACGAAATAATTTTAATCTTAATTTTATTTTAAAGAATTGTAATAATATTAACGTAAAGATTAAATAAATAATATATATATATATCGCAAAAGATATACATAATATTGTAAAAATAATTTTTATCATAAATACTCTATGGTAAAATGTTCAATTTTTCTTAAATTTTTTTTTTTCAATAACATATTTAAATATAATAACAAAAATCGCGCTGCTAAAAATTCCTTCAATAACGACTCATGTTCATTTTAGTTCTCTTTGAACAGATGGCAACACTTCTATATCCTCTGAGGACATTCAACTTTGTTGAACTCACGAAAAACATTTTATTACTTTGTGCCCTAAAGTATCATTCTCATGCTTACACGCATAAAGTAAATTATTTATTCATATGGATGAATAGTAGTTTGGAGATTTAATTAACAATTTACAGTATAAAGATTTAAGCATTCGATTTTTCATCACAAAATAAAGCAAAAAATGTTATTTGCTAGAAAATGCATTGTTATTTCTTGAAAAATATACATTTTAAGGTAAAAAGAAATTAAATTTATCCATAATCTTCAATGAATAATCATTAATAGAATAATCACAGCAAATTTTTCAAATAATAACAACAATTGAATTAAATAATATTTCTATATTGTTAAATTGATTGTTGCATGATAATTTTCTTCTATGTATCAATTACAAATTATAATTAAGCTATTTTCTTACTTTTTTTAGTCTTATAGGTTGTATCAATATAATAAAGAGTAAAAAATTTTAGTTAAAGTATTAATAATTTGATCGATATGCTACTTACACTATTCTACATGGTCTCTACTTGGGTACAATCATGGAGGCTTTCATCTCTGAAAGCTCGATTAATTGGTGCAATTAATTATGGGCCAGATTTTAGAAAACCATCAATAATGTTTTATACAAAACCATCAGAATTTTTGAAGGATGGTGAATAATTATTTTATTTCTATAATAACCATTTTGCATGAAAATTATACTACAATAGTTCAATTATCATCCTTCAGTTGTTATTATTAATATTGTTGGATAAAAATATTTTAGATACCGTCGTAAATATACAAACAAACAATGAAAATGGAACTTCAGAAAATTTACTCACCTCTAGCTTATGCAGTAATAAAAATTCCGCTAAACTTAAAGATCTTATATGGAGTCAAGGTGACAAAAGACTTTGCACCATCTATCCCCAGGTGAGATATTTCATAATATTTTAATATCCTCCAAAAGTCTTACCTTATTTATTTAAACTAAAAAATATTGCCAAACTTTTTTAATTTATCTTCCAGATTCAGCAAATAATTTCAAGTTATTGTTATTTTTCAGCATTTTTTGCAAAATATTAAATATTTTTTCAACCTTTTCCTTTTGATAAAAAATAGTCAGAATAAATGGTTAAACAATAAATTATACCCCAAAAATTGGCTTTCTCTGTATTGTTATTTAATTGTTACGAAATAACACATAGTTTTATATTCGTAGCTGTTTTATCAAGTTTTAATTAACTTTAAATAAATTGTTTTATTTACAAATATTATAATTACCACTAGCAACAAGTTGACATCAGTGAATGGTTGTCATATCCTATCGGAAAAACTTTTTTTCCTCTTTGTCTGGATAATTGTAATCAAATAAACGTATCAGAAAGCTCAACTATCCATGTACTTATAGAGGCAGATATTGAAAATTTTACTCCTAGTGCTTTTGCAAAAGCAATGAAGGTACAACTCAATATTGATTTATACATATAAATCATTGAATTGATAATATAATTAATAAACTAATTATAACTTTACGTATTTAATAATTAACATGCCTTATTTAGTTAGAGGATTATGGATTTATTCTTTCATGGATGGCTGACAAATATTTTGCTGCTATCATGAAAACTGACGTAGATCATTTAAGCAAACTTTCAATAGCACTAATGCAAGGTCAATGCTTTATTAATAATGGATTAATACTCACACGCATTGAATGTAATTTCTTTTTAATAATTCTCTAATATGAAAAATGAAAATAATTAGTTATTAATAAAATATTAATTTTTTAGCGGTAGAAATTATAGGTAAACCATGTAAATACATATTTAATGATCCTTCAGTACTACCAGGAAAGAGTAAGTCATAAATCTATTTTTAAAAAATTTCAAATAAATCATTATCGAAACAACCATTTTTTCATCATTTTAAATGTTTATATTCAGAATTAATTGGTAAATCACAATGGGAGGCACATTTGCAAACTCTTAAGACATTTAGTAATTTTGCAAAAAATGCTTTTCAAGAAGAAAAACCTGTTGAGATTGATAATTTACCAGGAGTTATCATCATATCTGATAAATTGACCGTCGATTCACCTATGTTTGAAATGAGTTGTGCAACCGACAAAGGTAAGAATTTTGTTAAAAAAGTAACAATGCCGTTAATAAAGTTTATCGTCAAAATACTATTGATGACTATGATGAATGAACTTGATGACATTGATAGATGATGACAAACAAATTGAAGATCATTTTCCTGTTCCATCAACTCCACCTCCAACACCCGCATCAATAGAATTGAAAGACAAATCAACTCCAGAGTTAATACAACATCTAGGATCTTCCGTATTAAAATCTACAACATTTAATGATGAACTAAATACCTCTGCTACCGAAAGTATAAATAATTCAATTACAGCACCTCCACCAATTGATTCAGTTTCAATAATCACTTCAGCGAATAATGAAATAGTTTCTAAAAATTTTAAAATAAATTCAAAAAATGTAATCACCAATCGTGCTTCCAAGTAATTAATCATACGAATTATAAATAATATTTAGAAATGATTCTATAATCATAATTTAATGTTAATAATTTTTAGATTTTCTTCCGAGAAAAAACAAACAAGTAATTACGAAGAAATTACAAAACCACCAAATATTTTAATTTATGCAGACAGTACAGTCGCGAGTGATAATATTCAACGTGTTTTAAAACAAACATTAAATAAAGAAAAGTAAGATGTGATTTTCGGATTATATACACTCTTTATTATTAATCTTCTAATTGAATTATTTAAATAGATATATAATTTATACATTGACACCCGAAGACGCTCGACGTGATGTATGGAAAGACCAAACCCACTTAATAGTAGTATGTGGAAATGTTGACAATGAAGTTGCAACTCAACTTATAGACTATTTAGTTGCGGGTGGAAAACTTTTAGCTTTATGCTCTGATACATTACATACAATTCTTCCCTCATTCAAAACTGCCGAAGTGCGAGAACATGAGCTTGTTCGTTTCTCTTATGGAAGATGGAAAAATGTACGGATGATGCATCATATTTTTTGTTACCAAGCTTCTCCAGTAAAATCACGTTTCTCTCAAGACAATGAAGATGGAAAGTTAGTATTAAAATATATCTCTTATTTATTAGAGAATCTAAAAATAAATTTCGTTCGGTTTTTAGGATTGTTACAAGACCAACCCCAGTTTCAGCAAATGTCAAAGATAAACAAGGAAAAAATCACACATTTCAAATAAAAGTACTTGGAGCAGAAGAAACCTGGAATACACCAAGTATTGTATTAGCTGATTTACCAAGTTCTAGTGGTAAAGCAATTTTTTCTCAAATTCACTTAGAAGCGGATCCATCTCAATATGAACTAGAAGAGGCGAAATTTAATGCATTAAAAGAAAGTAATTCCGCTCGACTAGAAATTCTAAGTGATCTTCTTGGTACTCATCTCAAATTAGATGTTAAACCAGAACCTTTAATGGAAACTGTATATACTCCTGGATTTTTTCTGGGTAGACACGAGGCTCGTATAAGGCTAAATATGTTTTCATTTAGTTTTAATTATTGATATTGCTATATTTTTTTTATACACGGCATGATTGCACAATATAATATATTTCATTTATTATTAAAACACTTTTTGTTTCACTTTAATGCATTTATTAATTAATTTGCTTACTTATTTATTATTTTTTAACTTAAAGGATTAAATTACAGCTTAAATTGAACATGTTGGATCGATTAAAAAGCAAAATGAAATCTAACAATATCTTCAAAACATCAAAAATAGAACTACAATTTTGCAATAATGATACAAAATTGATGAAAGCTTCAAAATCATTGTTACCGATTTTATTATATCAGTGTCCTGAAAATTTTTCTACAGTAGAATACTTTGAGGTGAATCTTTTTATTTATAAATTATACAACTATGGATATTAAAATTCAATTTTTTACATTTAGAATCTTCAAACAAAAGAAATCGGACGTCTAGTAGTTTACACGGATATTATAACGTCTACAATGGATGTTGTAGCTGGATGTGAGTTATATCATGGATTAGTTGTAATTTCTAGGCAACAAACTTCTGCTTCAGGTAGACAATAATTAATCTTATTAAACTTGAAATTAGTTTTTTAATATATAAAATAGGGATTTTTAATTTATACATTCTCAGGTCGTAATAAAAATGTTTGGCTTAGTCCAAAGGGATGTGTAACATTCTCTTTGCAAATACACATTCCATTAAATACTTACATAGGACAACATCTTTCAATTATTCAACATATAGCAGCTACATCGATTGTATTAGCTATTAGAGGGATTCCGGGTTATGAGGTTTATAATATTTTGAATTGTTCATAAATCGAGATAGAATCTTTAAATTGTAAAATTATGTTTTAGGACATTGATCTAAATATTAAGTGGCCTAATGATATTTATGTAGGAAATGAAATAAAAATTGGGGGCCTTATAGTAACATCTTTAATGGAATCTCAAAAAGCCATTTGTAATATTGGTAAATATTTTTGTTATCAAATTTTTTGATTATTTTTATCAAAAATTAATTTATCGTACGCTTTTTTAATTTACAGGTATTGGCATAAACTTATCAAATAGCATTCCAACAAGTTGTATTAATGATATAATCATAAAACATAATGAAAAAAATGGTACAAAACTAGAAACTATAGGATATGAGAAATATCTTGCGCTATTGTTCAATGCATTTGAATCTATATTTATTGCTATGCAAAATGAAGATCTCAGCTATTTTTATCAATTTTACTATAACTACTGGCTACATACGTAAGTAAATAATTACTTTAGCTTTTCAAAAATTTTTTAAACTATTTCATAGCATAATCATTTTTTTATAGAGACACTGAAGTATCAGTTACTTTAACTGACGGTATAACTAAAGAAGCAAAAATATTGGGTATTAATAGTTTAGGATTTTTAGAAGTACAAGAGAAAGATGGTAACATATTAACAGTTCAACCTGATGGTAACAGTTTTGATATTCTCAAAGGACTCATTGTTCCATCCTTAACGAGATAATTGCAGAAAATAAAATTAGTAAACTTCAATAAATCATAACTCATAATAAATCCATGACATTTTAAATGTTATTATTTAAAAATAATCGAAATTGTAATGTATAATCCCTATTGACCGTTAAAAAAAATTTTTCAACGCACATCATACTTTGCATAACTAATTGATACTTCTCATTAGTATTTTTAGATACTCGGAATATCATCAATTTGAAAAAAAAAAAAAAATATTTCTCAGTTAAAATCATGTATTATTAAATTTAATTTTGAAGCTTCCGCAAAATATATTTAATTCAGAGAATAATGAAATACGTATTTAATATATAATATTTTTATGTTAAATCCATAATTATATACGAATGTTCAAATATCTGAGTGTACTATCTTGTAATCAAAAGAAAATTATAAATATCAATTTCAATATAATATATAATTCAATGTTATCTGTTTAAAAAAATATTGATTTGTTATACTTAACCATAAAATCTTATTTTAATATAATTCTTCTTTTATTTGCACTGGTTTCATTACTAATCCATATATAATTTTGACAATTATTTATTTTTATTTAACACTGATCAATACAGTACTGTTTCATCTTATCTACTTAATAATTTAATAAAATAATTGGCAACAATTATTTTATTAATAATATCAAGATTTTCAAATCTATTATTTTAAACACCACACAAAAAATAATTGCATTCAATTAGTGGTGTGCTCTAGGGATCGGTTCTGGTTCATCACTTGTTGGTTGTAACTCTGGATCATGTGGCCAAATTGTTGGTTTATCAGGATTAAATATATCAAACATCTCTACAGCGTCTTCCATTGTCATTTGGTCAAATGGAAGAAGATTATTTATTTTATCAATTGCTACTTGACATTTTGCGATTTGTTTGTCTGATTCAGCCAGATAATCTTGTACAGCTTTCATCTATAATCAATATTCTATGATTATTTATAATAATATTGTTAATTTTATTCTATGAATTCAGTAATTATTAATTTTACAAACTTCATCATTCAAAAAAAACGTTTACTTCAAAAATAAAAAATTATCATCATACCGCGATTTTCTCCTGTTCTTCAACGTGTGATGTATATTTATCTTCAGGATATGGAATCTTTAAAGACTCATATTGTTTCTGAAAATTATCAACCAAACCGGGCAAAGTAACATTTTTTCTATAATATTCCCAATCAATGGCTGGTACTGTTTCTGGGAAGTCATTCATGCTAAAAAATTTATACAAAAAACTATTATAAATTTTTATTTCTAATGACAATCACCATTGAATTTTATTTATATTATAATTTATTGTTGTAAATTATATAACAAAATAATTATTCGAAAAGTCTCCAATACTAACCGACGAAGAAATCCATCTGATTTTGAACGAAACGCAGCAAAAATTGGCTTATCATTCTCAGCCAATCGCTCAGCAATTCCAGACCAATTTATGGCATTAATGGTTCTTCTTGCCATTATTTTATTTTATTTTATGTTAATAATAAAGAAATAGAATAGTATTAATTGAAACAAATTTAGATCACCATGTACAATAAAAATTTGTCATAGACTAAATTTATATAGATAACAAGTTAATGAAAAATTGACTTTTCAGTGAATTGAACGAACAGCGCGCCTATGACTATGAACCTAAGAAAGCGCGGTAATTTTGAAAACTCATTTTTTAATTACTAATACATCTGTAGTAAATTAATTTTTTTAATGAAAAAAACAAGATCATGTTTATATGTAATCATAGTCATTATTATTAAATATTGAATTACTTAACTATATACAATACGTAATTTTCGTAATTTTAGTTGTGTTATACACATTTTTATTTTCTTAAATACTGTTTTATGTACATAAATGATATATATTAATTAATATACTTCTAATAAATGTAAATATTTAATTGATTAAATAAATATCTATTGTAAACTTAAAAAAAAAAAAAAATAATAATTCTAATCAAAGCGTAGATGTTTCCTAATACAGGCCATCTCCTATATTCTGTAGTCCACGAGGTATTATATTTACAAAATTATTAAATATTTTGCCTGTTGGAATGAAGACTTTAGAGTTTTAAAAAAATATAATAAAAAAACTAATATAATATTAGAATCATTTTATTAATTTCTACCTATTGGCATTCATTGATACTTCCTCTTTGTAATGCTTGTGTCATTTTTTCTAAATCAAATTTGTGCATTCAATTTTGAATTTTAGGTTCACTTAGTGGCTTATAACCCTGAAAGAAAATTAATATTAATATCGTCAGAGAATTTGTAATATTTGAAAAGTACATTAGTGTGCTTTAGATTAAGTTACAAATATTATTTAGGTGAATAGAGTATTTTGTCATAGTGAAAAATAAAGGTGAAACTTTTGAAAGAGGTGCACGTTTAGGCATGCGTAGAAAAAAAAAAAAGAGTGATTTTAGTGGTTATTACTCCTTGCATGCGAGAACCTCAAACAGATACTCGATTGCTCCATTTAGTTGTTCATGCTCCCATAGTAAGGTGATCGAAAATTTAATTTATTTCCCGGGCTTACAGTGCTATTAAATGAATCCCGCAGTCGCTCCGTGAATGTCTTGTATTCTAATTCTGGATTATTTTGACCGAAATCAAAATCTGCTACTTCTACCGTAAATCTTGCACGGCTCTGGAGATAATAAGCGATTCCAAAGACTATTAAAACAACTGCTGCCAAGGAACAAGAAACAGGTACTACAATTACCGATAGTTGAGGCTTGGTGGTCACTAGAAATATATACAAAAATTAATTAACACTTTAATTAACTTGTTAAAAATAAAATTTAATATTTTACCTTCATAAATGTTGATAGTTAATGGATAAACTAATTTACTGATGTCATTTTTGAGAATTACTACGATTGTATAAACAGTTGGATCCAAAAAATAATGAGTGATTGAAAAGTTGCAGGACTCAAGACGTGAACCTTTTTCACATGTTTCATTGCCAGTAATGTTATAATTACCACGATGATATTCTAAACATTGATAAAATGGACCAGAACCATGGCAAGTGACATTTAGAGACAACATATCCCATGGTTTTATCCAATTTGTACCTTCAACTGTTATATTTTTAATGGGAACTATGATAAAAAAAATTTTAATCAGTTTTTTATTTACAAATGAGCGATATTATATATTATTTGAATAAGATTAAATTACCTTTAACTTGAACTTCTCTCCGGAAATATCCATATGTTTTCTTGGGATCTGGGATTACACTTGAATTTACACACACATATGGAAAACGTACATCAGAATCGTTAGATATTTTTGTTGATTCAGTAGGTTTAACTGACGTATTTGTTAAATTTTTAGCTGTACTAGGTGTAGTAGATTCTATAATAGTTGAATTGGACTTAAAAATAGTACTATTATTACTATTCGAAGCAATCGTTGTAGTATTTGTTGAAAGAATTATTGAAGTAGTTATTGTAGACGGTACAATAGTAGTAGGAGGTTCAAAGGAAGCAATAACTAACGCTTCTATTAATGCCGTAGAGTCAGGTTTCGTAAAATTATAACGAAAAGTATAATCATTTGTTTGTCCATAATATTTACAATTCACAAACCAATGAGTTTCAATTTCAGTAGCATTTTTATCAATATATTCTGCATCACCTTTACGTAAGTTAATTTTTACTTCAGCTTCGGAGGCAGATGATACATAATCATTATTCACAGTGTTATTAGATTGGACTATTGTCATATTTCCATTGAGAAGAGCTATAGAAACAAATGTATGAAAAAAAATCTAGTAAAGATTATTATTAAATCCATAAATAGTTTATACTTACAAGTTATTTCAAATGTTCGATGTTGACTTGTTATATCTGGCAAAATAAAATAAATTACTCGTCTTACTTTAATTTCAACTGTATATTCTCCTACAGGATATAAATCAGCAGGATATTGAACTTGCCAAATGTTTGTCGTATTTTTGATACCTAAAACCTACCGAAAGGAATAAATTAACCAAATTATCTCAAAATAAAAGTTGAACGCTGAATTAAATGGAGTAAATTATTTACAATTGTGTTTATATAATGAAGAAAAAAATTTTTTCAAACCTCATGTTTATGAGAGGGAATTGCATCATCTCTCCAAAAGTAATCAAATGTACCTGAAGGCCTAGAGCCATAATCATAGTGAAGATCAGCTTGAAAAGTAATAATACCACCTCGCACTGTCGGTCCATCATGTGTCAATGTAACATAACCAGCAGATATATAAATGCCTAAATAAAAACATAAATAATATTTATTTATTATTGATTTTTATAGTTAAATAATAAATATCAATATAATGACACATTGATAAAGTATGAAGAATTATGAAATGTATTACCTTGGTGTATTAAACAGCAGATTGTTACCGCAATGTATATTGGATTAATTAGTTGCATTATTTTATATATTTGTTACATTTATTTAAATACGTTTTGAGATTATTTATTTTATTATTTAATTAATTCAAATTATAATTGACACTGAGTTAAACAGTACATAGATAGAAATTAATCACCTTGTGATAACGATCATGACGAACGCCATTTATTTAATCTTTTCAAGGTTGGTTACTTGTGAATTTTATATTTTTTTTTTCTTAAATGTTGGTACAATTAATTCATTAAAGTGAAGTTAACCTCAGTTCTGCAATTCATGCGCATTGTATTTCTTCAAGTGTCGATTTGTGGAAGCGAAAATTACAATTTTCGCTCTTGTTGCATGTTATTCTCATATTATTTCTCTGTATAAGAGGCCAGTTGGTCATCGGATGTTGTTGATAGTTGTGTATAGTGTCGCAAAAAAGCGAGTATTGTCCGTTGTCTCATGGGTTATCGGACAGATATAATTTACGCGAATTTGCGCCGAGTTTCAACCATTAGTAATAAGCTAAATAAATGTTCCAAGTTGTGGAGTGAAATTTCGCAAAGATAATGATGGCGCGGTGGTTGAATCAACGAAGAGGTAACTCTCCATTTTAGTGAAAAGAATAGGAGAGATAATTAATTCAATGAACAGCTGACGAAGAAATAATTATTCAAAGTCAACATTTAAAAATTTCATCTTTAAAATTGGATGCTTTAACGATTTATAGGAAAAAATCAGAGTTACTGACAAAATAAAATCCAATTTCATAAAGGAAAAGTTTTGAAAGAAAAACATCTTTATCTTTTGCTTGGTATGATTCGTATGGCTCCAAGACCGGGAAAATGGCCACTGTTTTCGAAAGTCCATATTTATCAAATCGACTACGACAAATTGAAGAACGTTATGAAGAACATGGAACATTTGGCAGATGCGACTGCACCAGTTACAGTTATTTAGCTCTAAGTCTCGTGCTTTTTACCATTGGAACAGCGATCACCATTTTATCCTTAGGCGATGCTGCAAATGGTCATGTTTTTTCAAATCTCGGCCATATGTGGCTGGTTGGACCGATATTTATTGGCTCAGGCCTCATGGTTGCTGTTAAGTGTATTCTTTATCTACGAAAAAAATCTGTCATTCAAATGATCTACCATCAACGTCAATTATTTAGGGTAATGGAGTATCTTCAACTTGTTGCATGTTTTCCTAGCAATTCTAGTGACCTTATTTAAAATTTTTTAAAAATTTTTTAGGACTTTTTCTCATTTTTAATTTCATTAATATTATATCCACATTGACAATTAGAATTTCATATGATGAAACAATAATTATTCTGGATATTTCTTAATAAATAATAGACAATTGTAGCAATGATTGAAAATATTTGACTGCTGGAATTTAGCAATTACAGGAGCTGGCAGGAGCACAAGGTGTTGGTGGATCTGGAACTGGAACACCTGGTCCACCTCCTTATGAATCAATTACTCAAAGTCAAGGACCTAGTGAATTACCGCCTCCTTCGTATGCTGAAGCTGTTGCTCTTTTACATCAGTCTGAAATTAATGGTATATATTTTATTCTAATTATTAAGAGATTCATTTAATCGGTATTTTATAATTAAAAAATTTAATTTTTAAAGGTGCAAAACCCTCAAGTGGAACTCAAGCTGATGGAAGTTTGTCATCAGTTGGATCAGCTCGAACTAAACCATAAATGCTTCCAAGTATTTTTAATTCATAATTAATTATGTCATTATTACCAATATTAACACGTACAGAACATTTAGTACGATGACTGAAAATTATTTTTGATTTTTTGTGAATTTTACATTTTTTTTAATAATTGTAAGCCAATATTGACGATTGAGATAACTTTTATAAGTCATAATATCAGAAGCACGTGATGAAATTCTTAAACAAAAAAATCAATGACTGTTTGCATTTTAAAAACTCTCAGCTTCGTTAAGAGTTTTCACTTTTTCATCTAGCAATTGGATTCTTGTAGTACTTAAAATTTTCACAAAGTGATTCATAATGTAGCTGTGACACATGCGCAATTAAAACAAAAAGCCTATATGCTATATTTTTACGGTTAAAATGATTAATTTAATTTTTTGAAAACAACATTAAAAGTATAGAGAAGATTGTATCATCATGTCGTTACATTTTACTGTTTGATTATTATTATTACTACTACTACTACTACTACTACTACTACTACTACTACTACTACTACTACTACTACTACTACCACCACTATTACTACTATTAATATTATTTAATTATAAATCTGTGATTATTTCAATGGCAGAATTTGTCATATTGAAATTTCGAGAGACGTCACATACATTTATGTCACTATCAATTTAATAACAAAAAAACTTTTATTAAGTATTTGATATCTTGAAAAAAATCAAGCACATATTAATTATAATAAAGTAATTATTGTATAAAAATTTTTGTACAGAATAGGAATAATTGATAACTGTCATATGAAGATCAAATGAAAAATATTTTTATATTGTACTCTCTCAATATTAAGACTGTATCTGCCTTAAATATAATTGTTACTTACAATTAATAACTATACTTAATTTACAGTATAATCAGCAATCAAATATAAAAATCATTTTTATACATAGTAATAAATTAATTGGTGGTCAGTATTAAAAATTATTTAGTTTTATAAAATCATTATGTTTTCGATTATTATTACGGTAAATGTGGTTCTATTTTTAATGAATATTTCTTTAGATAATTTTTACAAACAATATTTATGAACCGACTACAATATGAAATTAACACTTGCCAATAAATTAACTAAACGAATATTAAATAAATTTTTAAACGATATGTGATTTTGTAATGATCGCATTTTTTATGTATGTAACAATTTAATAAGTTTATCTAATATAAATAATGCAACATTAGTTGCTTTAATTACGTCACATGTAATACATAAATATTAAATATTATTATTACTACGAAAATGAAATGTTTTTGTACATAAAATTGAATGAAATGTATATCTATAAAGAAAAGGTTAATACAATTAATTTACACATTTATATACTATATGTAGAATTTTTTATTTATTTTTTCTTTCATCATTATTACTATTATCATTAAATTAGTAATTAGTATTTATGTAGCAATATTTAAGCCGATAAGTACCTTATAACATTATCGGTTATTTATGAAAGGAAAAAAAATATATTTATTGTTTATCTCTAGAGATTACAAAGGTACAGCAAACAAAAAAAAAAAAATCTTCACGAATTAGCAACAGCAAGCATTTCCTCCTGATGAATTAAATGCGTTGTATGATTCACAAGACTCATTAATTTTGATAGTGAGGCAGCCCAAGCATCTAAAAGTGCAGCAGGCTCTTGAGTTCCAGTAAAACGGACTACCCCAGCCGGTCTATCTGTACGTGCACTTATTACTCCAGTCTCAACTAGTTTGCAAAGACATGCTTCAGTCTCGTCAACAGGTAAATCTAATAATTCTGCCATACGAGTTAAAGTTATTTTTGTATAATACTTGGCCATAATTCGTATATTCTAGAAAAAATTAATGGGTTAATTAATGTCTCAACAAATTTATAAAAGTTACATTTATATGAATAATTTACATGTTCAACAACACGATTTCGGAGCTCTGTCCATCGTTTGCGACCTTCTTCGGTACTTGATGAAAACACTTCAGTTGCTCTAAGAGTACGTTCATAAATTTCACATAATCCAGACCATTTAATGAGTTCTGGATTTACAAAAAGTCGTAATAATTCTCTAAAAAAATGTAAAAAGTCAAATAAGTGTCAAATGAATATTATAATGGAATTTTTTATTCAAAAACATACTTGTAAGTTGGAATTTCTTCAAGCAATTTGTCAGCAAGTAGTCTGTGTGTTAGGTCAGCTTGTTCTGGTTCATGTGGAGCTAAAACCAAATATAACACAGCCCGAGACAAAGCGGTATGACGTTTTTTAGCATCATAAAGAAATGCTGGAGTTTCCAGAACAGCACGATTGTGACGACATAACTCTAAATACCACCCTTCATGTCTTGCAAGCTCCATCATTAATCTTCAAATAAATTTTATATTTAATAGCTCAAATTAAATTAAAAATAATTATAATAATAAATTTTTATTTTAATGTTGCATAACTTACTCATAATATTTTAGTTTCAAATTTTGTGTTTCTGTATCATTTTCATCTTCAAAAAATTTGACATTTATTTTCTTAGCAATAATTTGAGTACGAACAAAGTCTTGTTTAGCTAAACACAAACGCATTTGCTCAAGAATAAGAGATGCCTTTTCTCTACGAGACATACTACCGTATGTTTCTACTTGAAGTTCTAACATAATTGCAGCAGCTCCAGAAATATCACCATCTTCTTCCTTCAATTTTGCTAAACGATGAGTAAGACGTGCACGTTCTACTTCCACATAAATCTAAAAAAATTAATTAAACAATTAGTTATTTTTCATAAGTAACGTCCATGCTAAACAAACTTTTACCAACCTTTCCTTCTGTAACTGATCTTAAAGTTTCAATAAGTTTTATCATTGTTTCTCTATCAGGAGTTTTGTCAATATAAGTACAACATTCTTGTACCATTTTAGTTACAGCTTGTTTCAATTGAGAACGTCTTTTAGAGAGAAGTACTATATGTTCATTTAAAGCACCCCAATTTTTTGCTTCAAAACAAATTTCTACAATAGCTACGAGAACTCGTGATGTAGAAGGCATATCTGGACTCTGTAAAATATATCGAATAATTATTTTAATGATAATTAAACAATAAAAATAATAACTTACGGTTCGTGTTTGTTTTTCTAAGGCCAACAGTTGATCAAGAGCATCATGAATTTTTCCTTCTTGAGCTAGCTTTTTACACTCTGGAATTTTTACATCACAGGCACATTCATAATCTACTTCCATTTTTACTATTTTTCCGGAATCTGTAGCTACTGTTGTTGTTTCTGCCATAATTACACTTTTCTATTATAAGCTGAAATTAGTCAACAGAATATTAAAAATCTATACCTTCTTCTCATTATATAGAGTGACATTACAATGCACTTTTTTTGAACTCTTTTAAGAAAATTACTAACGAAAATATTAATCAAAAAATTATGTAAAAATTAATTATTTATTATAAAAGAATTATTAAACTATTGTGATAAAAAATTGACAACACTTATTAAATAAATATTAAAAGAAAGTTACACAGTAACTATAAAAGTGTGGTTAGAGTCAAATTTAAGCGGCTATTGTAAACAAGTAAAAACAATTAATTTTGTTTATTAAAAAATTTATTTCCATCTGAAAATTTTTAAAATAATATAAATTATACTTAAAACTTACTGATAAAGATGAAAAATATGTATATAAAAATGATGAATTTCTTATGAAAACGGTTTAACGTTTTGTTCTTCTTTATTTCAAGTTTTACGTATATATATATGACAGACTGAAGTTGGTATTAAATTAAAGTAATTGCTCAATGCTGCCAACAACTGCATGATATACATCAACAACATAACCATTTACCTATGTAAACATGTATAGGGATATATACATATATGTACATACATATGTGTGTGAATTGCGTTTGTATGATTAATTATCTGTATTTACGAGTTGCTGACAACAAAACTTTTCAATGGGAATTTTAGCGATAATAATATAAATTTTAATTATTAAAAAAGTAAAAATGGCCGAAAAAGAAGGCATCGCAAATTTAACTATTGAAGATACAGATAAACCTGTGACTGATACTCCTTTGGAAGTTGAAGTAGAATCTTTAAAACCAACAATTGACACTAGTTTATCAAATACAGAAGGATCTCAATCTCAATCTAAAGATAAAACAAAAAGTAAAAATTAATTTAAACAATTAAAGTAAGTTAACATTTAGAAGAATAAAAAAAATATTTAATATATTTTTTATTTTAGTTGATATATTGTTAAAAGCTACTGGAAATGCACCGATTATGAAGAAAAAAAAATGGGCTGTAAATCCTGATCAGCATATTGGATGGATTTCAGAATTTGTAAAAAAATATTTAAAACTTGATGTAAATGAGCGACTGGTAAGTTTTATTTCTATTATTAAACAATAAAAATAATAATTAAATTCAATTAATAACACATTTGAATTCATGTTCATATTTTACAGTTTCTATACATTAATCAAACTTTTGCTCCTGCTCCAGATCAAACAGTCAAGAATCTTTATGATTGTTATGGAACAGACGGCAAGTTAATAATTCATTATTGTAAAAGTCAAGCTTGGGGATAAATAGTATATATTTTTTAATTATAATTACAATAGAATATAAGTTGATCGTATATTCATTCAAATTAGAAATATTTATGAATAATTTCAAATAATTTTTGTATCTTAATGTAATGAAACTTATTTATTGTTAGAATAATGTAATTTCATTGATTCTTGAGATAATTGTTTACTCCTTAAATCTTTTGATTTTAATTGATTATCACTTTTATTAAAATTATCATGAAAATCGTTTGTGTTTCGACAATTATCTTTAGAAGGTTGAATAGGATCATAATTACAGGAATCACTGTTTTTTTTACTAGAATAAACTGTTTGAATGCTGTCAATATTCGCTACTGAGCGATGGCTAATATTTTCTACGTTTTCTTCTTGACAATTATACTTTTGGTTTTTAGTACTGTATTCACTACTTTGTCTACTTTTAATACTTTTTACACTTTTTGAATCATCAGACTGTTCTATGATAGGGTTTATCCAAATAATTATCGTTCCATCGGCACTTGTAGTAACAATATGATATCCATCAGGACTAAATCTACAAGCAGTAACAATAGCTGCGTGTCCAGTTCCAATGTGTGTGACTTCGCCTGAAGTGTATTCCCAAAATTTAATAAGACAATCGTTACCACCAGTAATAAAATATTGACCATCTGGATGAATATCTAAACAGTTAATTGCTCCAATAGTTGAACCTTCAACTTCACGTACAATAGAACCATCTAATGTTTCCCAATAGGCAATTTTACGATCAGTTCCACAAGTTAATAACTGAAGACCATTTGGATGAAATTTAGTTGACATATACATGGTATTACCCATAATAACTTGTTTTCGAGAACAATTTCTATTTTGATCAAATATTTATAATTTCAAATAATTATAATAATGATAAATTTTTTATCTCTTTAAATATAAGACTTACAATAAATCCCAAATAATACACGTTCCATCCGTACTAGAGCTGACAACGTTTTCATCATTATAAGTAATATGAAGAGCAGTTATCGGTCCTCTATGCTCTTTCATTATTGTTTTTAAATCTTGAAAATTTTTAGAAATCTTCCACACACGTACCTTTAAATGATGACTACATTAATTGTTAAATATATTTTAGATAACTTTTAAAAGCTAATATAATATTTACTTGACCATCACAACCCCCAGAAACTAAAGTTTTTCCATTTTTTGTTAAACCAATAGCAGAAACAGCTTTTATATGAGCATTTTCTATGACAAAATATAAAATACCACTTTGTGGTTTAAAAGCTCGAATAATTCCATCATTCCATGCTAGAATAATACTAATTAATATAAAAAAATTTATAATTATAAAAGATTAAATGTTATATAGAATATATTTACCAGATATTATAAGTTTTCCATCATAAGAAAAACAAATACTAGTACAAACAAAATTAGGAACAATGATTCTCAATAATTCTTTTTGTGATTCAAGATGCCATAATCGAATGTCATTTTTACTTGCTGTTGCAAATATTTCTGAATAATTGCTATTAATTTGAAATATTAAATTTATAATAAGCAATTATTTAATAATTAGTTGATTCATTTGCATTAGACGATATAATTATTATTAGTATAAAATAAAAATAATTTTTTAAATTATTTATTTTAATATTAATTTTTTCTTAAGTAAAAAAGCTACTTACTAAGGGAATGCAATGTCATATACAGAATCGGTATGACATGTTATTATAATTTTAGTTCTTAAATTTGTCAAAGAAACTTGACAAATTTCACAGCATGATGTACCTACTAATAAAGATTGTTCATCGTATTGCATTATTGATGTGACAGCACCCTGAACTTTACAAGTTTTCAACTGCAATTTAGTGAAAATGTTACACAAAGTTTACATAATTAATTATTGAGAAATAGCCATTTAATAGTTATTAGAGAAAATACTTGCAGTTTTTATTTGTGGAGTGCTTGGTAATTTAATTTTTTGCTTTGATGATGCAATAATATTTACTGCAATAATCTCTGTTAGTTCTAAAGTTCCATCACCAGTTCCTACAATTAATTTTTTTTTTTGTATTAAATATAAAGCAGTAACTCCAGCAGCATATAAATCTCCAACTCCAGTTTTTAGTTTTTTTATATCAGATGGAATTTTGGAGTAACATCCTACTAAAACAGGTGGTTTTACTGGTTCCAAAATATTTATATCACGATCAAAATTTAATCTATCGGATAAAATATTAAAATTATGAAATATTCAATTTTATACATTATAAAATTGAAAATAGATAAAAGTAATGTTAAACCTTGTTTCAATAATATCTCCGGATGAAGTACCCCAATATGCTACTTCATCTTTATCATCAATACAAATACAATTGATACATCGACGTAATTTACCCATTTTAATATTTACTGCTTGAATTTTACATACCAGAGGATCAATTATCCAAAGTCTCAATGTTTCTTGACCACCACTGAGGAAGCATTTATCTCTTATATTTGTCCCAATTATTGTACAAGCATTTCCGGTTATTTCAGTGCTAGCAAAAGCTCCTTAAAATTTTATATTTTTAAAATATTTTGTACAATCCTTTATATAATTAAATAAATATTATATACAATACCGCATATAGCTCTATTATGATGAATATCCCATACGATTACATTTCCATCATCTTTTCCTCCTAAACTTATTAAATAATCACTTTTACAAGTAAAACTAACGTCTTCAACTTTTCCTTTATGGATTTCATAATTTGCTTTAATATTTTTTTCATCATAATTCCAGATAATTACCATCGCCTTAATTAATTTTGTTACATTGTATGAATTATTTATTAATAAATAAAAAGATAAATAAATTCAATAGTATTTTTTTAACGATTATAATTACCTTAAATCCTAAATGGGTAAGTTGTCCAGATGCAATATATTTACCACAAGGAGATATAGTTAACGTTGTAATAACGTTATTATGTCCTGATAAAAAACTTTGTTCCCCCGTTTCGATATTTTTTATTGTTACTTTACTTCCCATTGAATAAATTAAATGCTTTTGATCCGGATGAAATTTTAAACCATGTTTAGTCAAGCCTAAAAGTAAACAAAAATTAATTTTATATTCTATAAAATGAATTACAAATAAATATTAACCATCAAACCCAATTATTCCATAAGTATTAAGATTTTTTATTTCCATTTTTTATGAAACAATAAATAGTTATTACTGTATTATATAAATAAGCTGTAAATCAGCTTAATTAGTTTTATTACTCCATTTATAAACAAAGTATTTATACAATATTATTGGCTGTTGCTATGAAACTAAATGTGATAATTTTAAGATAAATTATGGAAAAATATAAACTTATAAATTATGCTATTATAATTCTTATAAATGAATGTATTATTATTTTTTCTTTCTACTTTTTTGTAAATTAATTTTATTAAGAAGAAAAATTTTCTTTAATTGTTTTATTACTTATCATTTTTTATATTTTTTTAAAATTATTCGGTACTTTTTAAAAACTCACATCAACGCCATCTATAAACATTCAAATTATTAAATTACGCCATCTAAAGAATTTTTTAAACTTGACCAGTGTGTGAATTGGTATATTTATACATATATCACAACGGTTGTAATGAACATTTGTTTTGAAATTTAGTTTAATTCATTATTTTTATTAATTATTATATTTTAGTAATGGGTACTTCAAGAAATATGGATTTAATGTAAGTGTAAAAATTTATATAATTATAAAAATTAAAAAATATAAATATTTATAATAGTATAAGAATTAACCTTCAAATTTATTTTTCTTTACAGTTCAGAAGATTCCTTTTTTTGGTCAAAAAATAGAATAAAAACATTTACTTATTGGCCATTTCAAGATTCAACATTACCATGTAATCCTAAACAAATGGCTGCTGCAGGATTTATTGCAATTGGTGGTAGTCAGGAACCAGATTTGGTAGAATGTATATTTTGCTACAAAAAATTGGACGGTTGGGAATCTTCTGATGATCCCTGGATTGAACATTCTCGTCATCAAAATAAATGCCCTTTTATAGCATTAAATAAAAAAGATGAAATGACATGGACAGTCGAAGAATTATTTATATTAACCAAACAGTATATTGTTGAAAAATATGTAAGTTACATTATTTATTATTATATAATTTAAGGAAATAATATTTTATTAATAAATATAAAAAATATATTAAATTAAATGAGTATTAACTGTTTATCTATTTATTTTTTATTTCATTTAGATTCATGCGAATAAGAAAAAACGAGAATCACTAATAAAAAATTTTGTTGAAGATAAAGAAAATGTACTAGCCTCAATGAAGATTACTTCCAGCAAGAAGAGAAATTTGTAGAAATGATTTTAATATTATTATATTACTAGTACAGTGAATTAATGGTATGTAATGAAAAGATATTTCAATCAATAAGATACTTTTATTTATTATACACATTTAATAATTAAATTTTTATACATGAATTAATTTTATAAATTTAAATTAACATTCATTATTTACTTTAAAATATCATTTACAATAATAGTGATTAATTTTTGTAAATTTCAATAAAGTTGAACAGTTTTGATTATTTTAATTGTTAATTTTTTTTTTTTTTTTTCTATTAACATTGACCCTAATCTCATTATATCTCATTATCACTTTCAATGAGTCAAAAAAATTCCCGTTTGTTATCGTTTAAGTAAAAGTCACTAACATTAAATAATTATAAAGGTACTAGAGTTTTTCTCAGGTAAAATTTGAATACGTAAATATTGAAAAATATTAAAATCCTTCTTAATGAAAGATTCATGTTCATTGATAAAATATTTATCAAATAATATTTTTTCAATAATTGTTCATAAGATTAATATAATATTGTGACGAACGTCAATACTTGATCGTTTATTTGCAACTTCGAAAGCGATAAGGTGTAGAAACTTGATGCACAAACCGATAACAAGGTGATATTTGAAAATTATTTATCAACTTATTAGTTAAAACGTAAATACTAATAAACTTATTTTTAATTAATTATATTACAATTATGTCACAGTATAAATATCACATCATTGTGTAATTATGCTAAAGAAACAGTACATACAAGAAGCTATTCCATTATTACCAAAAAATTTGAATTCAATAAAACAACAAATACCTCCATCATCACTAGAAATTCACTATCAAGGTATGTATTTTTTTAAGTATCATTATAACTAATTAATTTATAATTTTATAGTTATTGACCTCAATAAAACAAGTTGAACATTCTGATGAAAGTTAACGTCTCTATTAATTATATAATTATTATTTTATATCAAATAATTAAGTTTTGAATATTTTAACGCATAACATGCCATTAGTTTATAAATATCTATTTATTTTTTTATTCATTAATAAAGTATTTTAAATGTAAATCGTGACTCAACAGAATGCCATTATAAAAATGAATTTTATTCAGTGTAATAATTTATATGAATTAATAACTTAGTAATGGTTGACTTGTAATAATGTAAATGATTATCTAATGATTGCAAAATTTAAATATTACCATTGGAGAATTTATTGTTAATATTATTGAATCATTCATAACATGAAAATAAACCATTAGCTCAGTAAATGAACTAACAATTATCCGATTAGATATCATCAAATATTCGAAAGTGGTTGTTTATCAACGAATTATTGATAGTAACAATTAGAACAAAATTATAGGAAAAAAATAAAAACGTTAAAAAGAAATATATATTTTTGTCAAGGTTAGCTATTTGAATAAAAAAAAAAATTTACTACTATGAATAATAATGGTAACTAAAAGTATTACATATACTAAACAATAAAATAATTTTTTTTAAAATTAAAACAAATATTATATAGAAAAAAATGATAATGTAAACAAGCTGACGTCGTGAAATGATTAAAGATATAATTATCGGGTTGAGTATTAATAAGGAAAAGAAAAATTCTATAATAAATTTTTTTTATTACACCAGAAACACATAAACAATTATATCGTAGACTGAAATGTAATTTAGTACATACAGATTAGTAAAAAAAACCTCACGAAATGGATGTAGAAACATTTACCTTTAACACATTTTTTTATGATTTCAATTAAAGATACTGAGATTTTGTTGACGTAAAAATAACTGCATGTTTAGATGACAAGACAAGTACTTGGTAGTCGCTTATCGAAGTGAGTAGAGATAGAGTAGGATATCGGTGCACCGTCCGATACACAGATCACCAGATATAAAGCCAATTCTCTGAGATTGGCCCCTCAGTCTTATATTGAAAGCATCCAGGTGTATCGAGTTTGTTATTTTTTACTTTACTTATCACTAGAAAGTTTATTCAAATTATTTACATTGTGTTGCAGTGTTTCTGATTTAATAATAAAAGTTCTCAAACACGTCTACACGATTGTTAACGTGAATTTTTTTATAAATAATTTATTATTAATTAAAATTAAACATGATATCACTATGGAGATCTTGCTGTAAGTTACAAAAATAATTATCATTTAATTGAAAGAATAATGAAATTTTTAATTACTTTGGTATATATTTTGGAAAATTAAATATTGATTTTTAAAATGATTGCTTTAGGTATTCGAGTTCAACAAAGATGGATATTTGCTTTTATGGGGTTTTTGGCACTTTTCAATGCCTACACTATGAGAACTTGCTTATCAATTACCATTACTGAAATGGTAGTACCTCAAAATCACACTAATTCTACTAATGAAAGTGAAGACACTTGTCCGGTAGAAGTTGTTGCTGATCCACCAGTAGTTTCATCGAGTGGAACTTATGATTGGGATGAGTCTCTTCAAGGAATTATTTTGTCATCCTTCTACTGGGGATATGTTTTAACTCATATTCCTGGTGGTATGTTATCTGAAAAATTTGGTGGAAAATATTCTCTTGGTCTTGGAATCCTTTCGACAGCAATATTTACACTATTAACACCTTTGGCAGTAGAATATGGAGGTGCAACTGCTCTAATTATATTGAGAATATTGATGGGTTTAGGAGAAGGAACAACATTTCCAGCATTAAATGCAATGCTTGCTCAATGGACTCCACCAGAAGAACGTTCAAAAATAGGTTCATTAGTATTTGCTGGAGCTCAACTAGGAACTGTCTTTACATCAACGATATCCGGTCTCATTCTTCATCATTCACCAGTTGGTTGGCCAGCAGTTTTTTACGTTTTTGGTTGTATCGGAGTTCTTTGGTTTATTACGTGGACTCTTGTGTGTTACAATAATCCTAGTGAACATCCTTTCATATCAGATCATGAAAAAAAATTCCTTCATGAGAGACTGAGTACTCATACGCATAAAAAACCCCCAAATACTCCTTGGAGGCATGTGTTTTCAGCTAAACCTGTTTGGGCTTTAATTGCAGCTCAAATCGGGCATGATTGGGGTCTCTTTACAATGATTACAGATTTACCCAAATACATGAGCAGTGTTTTAAAATTTTCAATCAAAAGTAATGGATATTTATCATCTCTTCCTTATCTTTGTATGTGGATTTGTAGTATTATTAGTTCATGGATCGCTGACTGGATAATCACTGCTGGTCATATATCAAGAACAAACGTTCGTAAACTTGGTACGACAATTGCTTCTCTTGGACCAGCAATTTTTATTGTGACAGCTTCATACGTTGGATGTAATGGATATACTGTTGTAGCAATGTTTACTATTGGTATGACTTTCATGGGAACTTTTTATCCTGGCATGAAAGTAAATGCTTTAGATCTCAGTCCTAACTATTCGGGTACTTTAATGGCTGTTGTTAATGGAATTGGTGCACTTACTGGAATTCTCACACCTATCGTTGTTGGAGAACTTACTCCTCAAAGTACAAATGCACAATGGAGATTAGTTTTTTGGATAGTTTTTTGTGTTCTCTTAATCACCAATGTTATTTTCATTTGCTGGGCAGATGGAGAAGTTCAATACTGGAATGACCCAGACTTTGTAAATGCAGATCGTGCAAAGAGGAGGAAGAAAATGGAAGGCAAAGAAAAAATGGAAACAAGGCATCCTTGTTAAATTAAAAATCAAATGAAAATAATTTAACATTGTCTTCTAATTATACATACATAATATATATATATATATATATATGTACATAGATTATTACTCATTATATATCATATTTATCTTTAGCTAATAAGAAAATTTAATTTCTACTTTAAGCTTTAAGCTACCTTTTTTTATAAATTATTGTTATTTTATTAACATAGATTACATTAAAATTTAGTTATCACGATTTGTTTTATCATTATTAAACAGGATGATATTTATCATATTCTGAATAAGATAAATATCAATTTATAAATTTTTTTTTACCTGAATAATTTATTTTGTACGCTTAATTTGTTCATTTGAAATTTAAGAAATTTGATAATTGACTGCACTGGTTTTATTTTCTTTTAAATAACTTATGAGCTATGTGCCAAATATTGTAAATATCTTGTATGTATAATAATAACAAGTGTTAATAAATAATATTTATATTTTATTATGTATTGATAAAAATATGTAAGATGTATTGGATTTAAATTTTATATATATATGTTAATATAATAACACAAAATTCATATTTAATTATTATAGTCTCAATTGATAAAAAACTTTTACCAAGTAAAGGGAAATATATGTTTTTATAAATACATTAAATTAACGTTATCATTCAATATACTGAAAAAAATCATTCATAACGTAATCTTTTATCGGCATCATATAATCTGTATATCACTAAAACAAGATGATTTAATGATAGTGAAATTTCTGAAAACATTATATACAAACATACAAAATTTTTTATAAATAAAATAAACAAAATCAGACGATAAAATAAATATATTTTAGTAAACTATGTATTCTTTATATGATAATAAATGCCTTTTTAGAAGGTTATTAACCTTAATAATTACTAATTAATAAAAGTAGTTTAAATAATTTTTTTTATTTTTATCTATTTGACATTTAAATATTATTATTTTAAAATTATCAATGAAACTTACCATGTCATGATAAATATTCCTTATTCTAATGAATAGTAAACTAATACCTAAATGAAATAACAAAAAAAATGATGAAATTTATAACATTATTAAAAGCTGATACCAGGTTTTATATCAAGATTCTAATGCATTAATAAATTTATAATGGCTTAACATGAATTATTCTTAAACTTTATCATATTTTGCTACTTTGATACTCTAGAAAAGATGATAAAAATTTATTTTATCTTTTTTCTACGATCAGGTTTTAAAATTCAAGTAGTTTACAAATTATCTAAGAATTTTCTTAATGTAAAGAATTTATTTGAAATTATTTTATCAATTTTAAAATAAAAATTAAATTTCTAAATTAGAGTTTCTTATGATAAAGTCTGGCAAGATAGAGTCCGGCAGGACTAAAGTCTCTTAAGTTTTTATGGGACTTGAGGCAGGAATCAAGCAATATGGCGTCGTTTTGTCAAGCTCTGTCTTGAGATACTCTATTCTAAATAACATGTGCACACCATCTTGCGGTATATTTCTGAAAAATAACTTTTAAGTACATATATGGATAAATATACATATACATACATATGTACATGCATAGAGTATTTTTGTTGTCATGTATTCTTATAGAGTAATTGTATATGAAAAAAAATGTTACATATATCGTATACATTGATTACAGCATCTTAGCATAATCCTGTTGTAGTCGCACAATTTACATGGCTCTAAATTATAAATATGGAATTGAAATACGATGAAAATTTATCCGAGAATTCATTTCTTCAGACAATCCAAAATGATTATATTGATATATTTCAAAAAGTTATTGAAAATAATTTAATTATTTGTGTTCCTTGTCAAGGAAGTTTCAAAGATAATTGTATTATCACTGAGGAAATTATCTCACACCATATTTTAATACCAATTGACGATGAAAAAACCGGATCTTCATTTAAAACGCTTGCGGGTGAACAATTAATTTTAAAAGACAGATTATTAACTAGTCAGAATAAACATAAAATTTGCACGTCACGACTTCTTTTTGAGGAAACATTCTACACCGATTATTTATCTAAATACATTGTTTGGTAAGTTTAATGCTATTTAATTGATTTTTTATTATATTATATTATTTTTTATTTTATTTATTTATATTTTTAGGTGTATTGAAAATTCACTAACTTATGATTTACTAAATCAAAATAATAAAAATGATGTTGTAACAGTATCAACTTTGGCAGATTGTGTTAATATTCTTTGGACAGATATTCAAGATTCAAATTTTTTTCGCGATCTTGATACTTCCATCGAATCATTTGAACACATTCATAAAAATCTAGAAAAAGAAACACTCAATATACAACGGCGATTAGTTGAAAAGTTATATCAAGAATGTTTTTACAAGATTTTAAGTTGTAAAAAAATACAAAAGAAAACTAGTTTAAATCCTTATTATCTCTATTTGATAAAATTAGCTGTTGAGAGTTATATTCTTTATGGCCTACGTAATCTTCTTCCTGCTGCAATATCAACAAATACATCGCAAAAAGATGCCGAGTTAAATAAAATAATAAAAAATCTTGATGAACTAGAATTAAAAGACCTTGATATTCATTATGACATTCAGACAGTTATAACACGAGGAAAAATGGAATTATCCCGTCTAGATAGTTATATGACAGTACTTGGAAAAGTTGAGTGTCTCAAACGGTCTATTCGTTATATTTCCCAGAGTTTGGGCACAATTAGTTCTGATGATTTATTACCAATACTTATTTTTATTGTCATAAAAACCGGTTTACCAAATTGGACAGCACAATTGGTGTTTATGAAACAATTTAGATTTTCGGCAGATATTGTTAATAAAGCAGATGAAATAGATTTTCTCATAACATCTTTGGAAGCTGCTGTAGAACATATAAGGTCCGGAGTATTAATGAAAAAATATTTTAAAATTTCCTCAGATAGATCTTTAGAAGAGACACAAGAGAAAATAAGTAATAAAAAACTGAATGAGTTATTTATTGCAATTGAAAAAGATGATCTCGAAGAAATAGAGAAAATTTTTAGTCAAAAACAACAAAAATTAATATCAGAATCAAAACTTTGCCATCCATTATGTAGATGTGAAAATTGCGAGTGGAGTTTTACTGAGATTGAATTGACACAGTCTAGTTGGCCAACCGTAAATTCCAAGGACAATAGAGGCAGAACTGCGTTGCATATTGCAAGTATTTATGGACACGTAATGATAGTTGATTTTTTATTAGCAAACCATGCTAATCCAAATGAACCTGATATCGATGGAGTTACGCCATTGCACTGTGCTACATCACGAGGTCATCAAAACACAGTATTGCTGCTATTACAAGCTAATGCTGATGCAAATTTAGTAGACAATCGTGGAAATAGTCCTTTACATTTAGCTGCTGATCATGGCCATGAAACTTGTATTAAAGCTATTCTGTATTTTTCAGAGCAAATGGGAATCACTCTTAATATCAATTTTGCTAATGTCATTGGAAATACTCCACTCTATTACGCTTCAAAATGGGGATATACAACTATAGTTGATATTCTTTTGGAGTACGGAGCAAATTCAAAAATTGCTAATAGACATGGTCAAACACCTTTAATTGTTGCACACAACAGTAAAATTTTTCAAAAACTTGAACAGCAACATTCATATATTATAGAGAATGCCTTAAAAATTTCACATACTCCATCTGTTAATTGTAAATTAATTAAATGTATAAAAAATCAAAATCAATCCCCTCCTCAGATAATAAACAAAACCGATAAATTGTTAGCTGCTATTCGTGAAGGGGACATTAGATTAGCTTGTTACTATTTAGGACTTGAAGGACCATGCGCTAAATCAAATATTGATAATAATTCAACTCTTTGTCATCCTTTATGTGTCTGTGAAAAGTGTGCACCATCAGCAGAGGAAATTTGCGATGAGCATTATCCTACAACTATGTTAGGAATAAATGTGTCTAACACAAGAGGAGAGACTGCGCTTCATGTAGCGTGTGCTAATGGCCTTGTAGACTTAGTAGAAATACTCTTAGATGCTGGAGCTAATGTTAATGTTTGTACAAATAATGAAAATCGCACTCCATTACACTTTGCGTGTTCAAATAGCAGAATCAAAGTTGTAAAACTTTTATTAAATTGTTGTACTATTAATATTAATGTTAAAGACTTTGTAGGTAATACTCCTTTACATTTGGCTGCTAAGAATGGTGATTCCCACGTTGTTGAATTATTACTTAGACATGGTGCAGATGTAAACTCTCGTAATTTTAAGGGTTCAACAGCTCTAGATCAAATTCAAGAGAATTTATCAGATAATGGATTTACTCCGTTTATATACACCAATGTTATAAAAATTCTAAAAGTACATATTGCAATGAATAAAAATAGTCATTTAGAAAGGTTTTAAGTACATTTTGTATATTAATATTTTTTTATATCTATATATATATATATATATGTATATGTTTTTTTTAAATATCTTTATTATCTCACTTATTTTGTGAGATACAGTCCATAAAACATGTAAAATATAAAGAAATATAGTATTCACAAATTGTTATTTACAATTACATAAATTTTTATGAGATATAAATATAAATTTTAATTAAATATTTTTAATTATAATTTCATTATTTTTTTTGAATTTTTTTTACATATTATGAAATTATATGTGCTAACAGTTTTGTAAAACCCACGTGATCTTTAATTTATAAAATTATTTTTATTTAAGATATTAATATGAATTTTTTTTTTTAAGTATTATTGATATAATCTATAAAATATATAGATTAAAATTATCAAATTTTTAGTTTTAACATTAATCATTTACATGAATAATTATATCGCAATATGATAAATAGACGAAAATTTATATTAATTATGATTAAAGTGAATTCAAGTATGAAAATTTGAACGTTTAGGATGATTATAAAAAAATATCACAAGTTTTGTCGTTGATAAAACAAATTTTTAACTTTACTTCCGCTTGATAATATTTTCTAATATAAAAGTGGAAGTCAAGTTTTTAACTATTGGATGGTAGAGTCCACGTTATTGGTCCTTCAGTTCTCTTTTTATCATATTTTTTTTTATTTCCACGATATCTGGTACGATTAGGACTCCAATCAATTGTTTCCCGAGTTCTCCAAGAAGTCGTTGACGATTTTACTTCAACAGCATTACCATTAGAGTTAATGTTATTGTGATGAATGTTACATGATATATTTATAACCATATTATAAGCAAAATAAGTAGTAAATTCATAATCAAAATGATAATAATCTCGAAAAGCTGGTTCTCTTCGAAATCGTTGCATTACACACCAACTGTGCGACAATAAATGTGGAAATCTTGATAGCCAATACTCTGTAAATTTTTCAGGAATTTCACCAAGACTTGCTTGAGCTTCTGGTGTTAACTCTCGATAATGATGTTTCTACAATATTTATTTATTTTTATATAAATTTGACTGAAATAATATTAATATTATTATTGTACATACTTTATTTCTTAAGGCACGAAGGAGATCACGGACACTTTCTCCTCTATAACTTCTATATTTTCTAAGATCATTAGCGACCTCATAATCGATACAACTTCGCCAATCTGTTTGAACAATACGTGATCCACCAGTTTCTAATGCCATTAATGCGGGACTATCAGCTTCATCTTTTTCTACTCTATCACTTACATCCTATAATAAAAATAAGTAAGTTACAAAAATAATATAAATAATTTTGATAATCTTATAAATAATATAATAATTACTTGGAAAAAATTTAAAATACGTGATGAATTCCAAAAGAAAGGATAATTCTGAATAGCTATAGCAGGTGGACGATTTGTAGGATTTTTATCAATCATAGCTTTTATTAAAATCAAAGCAAGTTCTTTATCACTATCAGGAATATCCTGTATAGCTGTTAAATCATTTTCTCCACAAAGAATATTTGCTTGTCTTCTTAAACTATCTCCAAATGGATGTTTTCCATTTGACAGAACATAGTAAAAAACACAGCCAAGAGAAAATATATCAACTGCACATGTTGTTCTTTCTCCATTTAACATTTCAGGTGCAATCCACCCATCTGTACCAGTCACGCCAGATCTTCGTGAAAAAGACATACGACCAAGCTGTAATTTTTTACACAAACCAAAATCCGATATCATTGCTCTGACCTCCCCTCGAGGTCCTGGCATCGATATTAGAACATTATGAGGCTTGATGTCTCTATGAACTGTAAAATTAATAATTACTCAAAAATTTTTTAAATAAATTAAAAATTACCTATATCAAGAGAATGTAAATGAGCAAGTCCAGAGGTTGCTTGAAGTAAAATATTTTTAACTGAGATCGTCTGCCGATCATATCGTCCTGCTACATAATCTTGAAGAGTTGCTTGAGCTAATTCTAGAGCAATATATCTAAACATTCTATCTTGTTCTGTACAAAAATATCTAACAACGTTAGCATGAGCATCAGATTCTCTTAAAAGGGCTACTTCTCTGTCAGCAAATGTAAAACAATCTGGGAGAAGTCTTTTAACGGCAACAGATCTACCATCAAATTCTCCTTTATAAACAAAAGTACCTTCACATCCTTTACCTAATACTTTATCAATATTAAAAATAATTTTTCCAACTTTTACCGCTCCTTCTCCAATATCTTCAGGTATAGCAGTAATTCCATTTTTTCCACTGTAGCTACTTGTTCTACTATTTTCTCTAGAGCCTTGAGACATTTGCTGAAATTCTTTAAATTGTGCATTAAAATACCAAAACATAGCAATTACACAACCAACAAGAATAATTAATGCCAATTTAAGTCCCTTATTTTCTTGCTGATTTAACCAACGTTTTGTACTATTGTAAGCATTTCCAAAAGTCTTACGCCAACTTTTATGCTGCATACTGGTATTTATTTTCTCTTCACCAGTTTGAACCACAATTGTCATTTTTTGTGAAACATTAACTAATTTATCTGTTGATTGAATAATAGGATCTGATCTTCCTGTTATTTGAAGCGGTTGATTTGAAGGTTTATATTCAGTTGGGACTTTATAATGTCCCAAAACTATCAAATTATTCTCTCCAGAATTTTTATTTATTTTCATTTCTTCATCTAAATCATCGGTAGATATAGATTCATCATTAACAGGTTTATTGTCGTTATTGGTAGCTTGGGGAATAATTCGAGGGCCTTCAAGCATTAAATGTCCAGTATGACTGGATATTGTAGCTGTAGAAGAATCTACTAATGATGGTAAAGCATATAAACCGTGTCTGTGTTCACCAACATATAAAGTAGGAAATAATTGAATATCACTTGGCTTTAATGTGAATCTTTGTAATAAATTATCTAATGTGTCATCTGAAACACTTGTAAATGGAACATTTACTAAACCTTCCGTATTTACAGTATAAATTGCAATAATAGGACTTTCTAAATCAGATTCCCATAAAATAACACCAAGCCTTGGATCTAATGTAACAATACGGCCGGTAGAACTTGTTGTAAAATGAACAAAATCATAATCGGTGCCTTCTCCATCTTTTTTTACTGTCGAATAATCGTAAAAAGTTATATTCCATTTTCTTTCCTTTCTTTTACTATCCACCATAATAATATTATACTCTGTGCGTCCAACAAAAATGGCATCTTGTGTCTCTAAAGGACAAGTATTTTCTGCTTCTTCGAATCCAAGAAGTTGTTCTCTTTCACCAGTTACCGGATCAATACTAAACCAAGTATCTATTTTCCGACCAGTGTAAAGAATACCATCGCTACTTCTACAAGGACTACTAGCAACAAGCTGTGGTATTGTAAAGGGTAATTTTTTTAACACTTCAAATTCTGCACCGTAAAGATATAATGATCCATCTTTTGGATCAGGTAAAAACATTGGTGCCATTGATTGTCTAACATCATATGGAACTTTTACAACAGGCTCGTTATCCTGACGCCAACGAATTTCACCTGATCGTTGACCTACTGCTACAAATGATCCACTTAATGTTAATAGAAGCAGTAAAGGATCATCTTGTTCAGGAATCAAACTTGTACTGTGATTCTAAAATCAAATTTTAATTGAATTAATTGTCTATTTAATATCTAGTTGTGGTAATAAAATATAATATAATATATATATATATATATATTCATATACCTCGGAGTTTTGTACGGCAATTATACAAGTAAAAATACATAATAATTTTATTAGAGTTTTAAAGTTGAAATGACTCATTTTTAATATTTATCAATTTTTAATCTATTATTATTTACGCTGTTTTAACGCTTAAATGTGAGGTTATGAATGACATTTTATATGCAGGATAATTCTTATAGACTTTATTATTCATCCTTTATAAAATTTTATGCATTTTAATATAAATTATGTTTTTTTTATAATTTCATGTAGATTAAATTTTATTTAAATAATTGAAGCAATGTATTGCATCATTTATGTTTGGAATATTGTTCTTCATTATTAAAACTACAATAATAAAATATGAATGTTAGAGAATTGATTGTTTAAAAACAATAAATAATTATCATAATAATGAATATTATTTACCTGAAAAAATTAAAAATCCAACAACAAATTAATTTTTTTTTGTATTAATAAAATTTTTAAAATTTTCAATTTAATTTAATAGCATGTGATAATTTAACGACAGTTTATGTAAGAAATTTAACCGAAATCCCAAAACATAACACAATACTTCGAACAATAATATATAATAATATTTATCGCAAGAAAACATCAGCTTTACTTTATATATTATAATTATTGTTGTATACAAAATAAATTTATATTAATCTTGAAGTATAGTAGGTAAAAAAAAAAAGTGTTTATTATGTATTTTATTATTATTTAAGGTATATAATAGTTTATTATTGAAAAAAAAACCGTCAATGTATTTATCAAATGTCCGACCAATCGGTGTCAAATACGTTTCCATTGAGTATTTGAATAGGTGAAAGAAAGACGACATTAACCTCTACCTAAATCACATGTTGTCTTTGTTTAGTTGGTAAAAGCAGCTGTATACATAACTAAAAACATTAGGAAATTGTATATTAACAAAACCCGTGAAAATTACAAAAAAAAATTATTAATAGAAAAAGGACCAATAATAATATTTATTTATTTAAAATGAAAATAATTAAGATAAACTATATTTTGAAACAAGGTAAGTTAATACATTTTTTGGTTATGTTACCTTTAACATATTTTTTAAACAACTTTTCAAATTATTATTATGATTAATTAATCAATATTTTATTTATAGGAGCCTTTTTATCTTTTTCAAAGAATTGAGATCAAAAGTTACCACTAGTATTACACAAATTTTACTAATCAACTAAATCTAGGTGTAAATACTCAAATACAATAATTTGAATTGAGGTTAGCACTTATTATCGAAAGTGCTCAAATGCTTTCAAAAGTAATGATGCCCGATGCTGCTAGATCACATCTTGATGCTTTGTCTACAAAAAAAACATTAATAAATACTGATATTGTTTCAAAAAAATCAGATTCTGAATTTCAAGAAAATAAATTGCCATCTACAACAGTTGTCACAAAAGCAAATGATAAAAAATCAAAAAATACAAACTCTAATTGGGAAAAATTTAAAGACCTTGTTAATCAATCAGGTTCTGATTCTCAACAATTTAGTGACTCCAAATCACCTCCAAAAAGGCCTCTAAAATCTTCAGAATCTTCTCGTCAAGGCAAAAGAAAGTCCAAAAATAATGTAAGATTGATAATTATCATAAATTAATATCTGAAGCAAATTATATCAATTTTATTATTAATATCAATTTTTTTCTTCAGAGTAAAAAAAGACTTAATTTAAACACTCGACCTGTCATGGATTTAGGAAATACAACTCTAACAAAACAAGTAGCGATGGATTGTGAAATGGTTGGGATTGGAGATGGAACTGAAAGCATGCTTGCAAGGGTATCAATAGTGAATCGTCATGGAGCGTGTATTTATGATAAGTTTGTGAAACCAAGAGAGACTATTCAAGATTACAGAACAGCTGTAAGTGGAATTCGCCCTCATAATGTTCAAAATGGTGAAGAATTTGAAGTAGTTCAAGGAGAAGTTGCCAATATATTGAAAGGACGTATTCTAGTTGGTCATGCATTGAAACAAGATCTTTCAGTTTTGTTTTTATCTCATCCAAAAAAGCTTCAACGAGATACATCGCGTTATAGTTTATTTAGACGTGTTAGTAAAGGGAATACTCCAAGTTTAAAAAAATTAGCAGCAGAATTATTAGGAATTAATATACAAACTGGCGAACATGATTCTATTGAAGATGCAAGAACTGCTATGGAATTGTACGTTTTATACGCAAAACTTTGGGAATCAGACATACGTTTTCATTAATGCATTAATATTTTATACTTGAGGAAATTTTTTTTCCTTTATAGTAAAGAATATATTAAATGATTAATAACATTAAATGTTAATAAAAAAATTTTTCAAATATATTTTTGAGTAAAAAATTAAAAACATCGAAAATATCAATAACGGAAAAATTTTTCATTGATATTTATATTTTTAAAATACCTTATATTAGAAGAACATGAATGAAAAAAAATCGTTAAAAATATAATAAACACTATTAATTTTTTCATTATATTATTATTATGTAAATGTATCAACAAGCTTGTTAATTACGTTTTTATTATTAGAAAAAAAAAGAGACTCTATCAAAGTAACTGATAATGAAAATTCTTTAAATGTTTATCATTAAAAAAAAAATTTTTTTTTTTTTTTAAAGTTTAATCTTTCTATCAAAAATTCGTCAAGATTTCTGTTATCAATTATAGACATTAAATTCTGTCAACAAAAAATAATTAAAATATTAACAAAAGATTATAAAAACTGTCTTTACTCAATTATCGAATCACATGATTTGTGCCCCAAAATTTATAAGTTACATAAATTTAAAATTATAATAATAAGTTGAAATAAATAGTAGGTATAATGTATAAATAATTGTGCTATCAATATAAAGAAAAGAGTGGCTATCTCGAACTTGTTATAATCTCCCAGTCACTTAGACGAGTTATTGCGACATAAGTGAAAAGGAGGAATTGATTTAGTAAGCCGCTCATTCCTCCTCTGTGACTTTCAATCTTTAACAGCAGCCGAAACATATATATATATTTTTTTATTATTTTATAAAATAAATTCATAAATATGAGAGTAGCTGTGATTGGTGCTGGTGGTGCTGGATTAGCAGCCGTTAGACATTGTGTTGCTTTCCTAAAATCATCAGATCAAAAATATGGAAAAATTACTGAAGTTGTTTGTTATGAAAAAACGGATAAAGTTGGAGGTACGTGGGTATACGTTCCAGAAACTGGAGTTGATCATTATGGTCTTCCCATACATTCCAGTATGTATGAAAGTTTAAGGTAAACCAAAAAGTTTCTCATTGTTTATATATTTATTTTTAAATTCAATAGTTGAATCGTATTATTTATCCATATGTTTTCTGTAGAACTAATTTACCTAAAGAAGTAATGGGTTATCCAGATTTCCCCATTCCCAATCATACAGATAAAAGTTATTTAACTCGTACAGAAATTTTAAATTTTCTTAATCAATACTGTGATCACTTTCAACTTCGACCGTATATTCAGGTTTGTTTAATGTTTATTTATAAAAAAGTATCTATACATAGCGGTAGATTAATTTATTTCAACAAAGACTATACGATGAATGTGAAAAATAAGTTTTTATATTTTTCAATTTTTGGTAGTTTCTTCATAACGTAGAATGTGTTGAACCATCATCAGATTTAGAAACGAAAAATAATCAACTTTCTCAAAGTGTACGAAAATGGATAGTAACAGTAAAAGATTTGAAAAAAAATATTTTAAAAAGAGAAACTTTTGATGGAGTAATGATCTGTAATGGACATTACTTTGAACCAAATGTGCCTACTATTGAAGGACAAAGTAAATTTCAAGGAGATCAATTACACAGTCATGATTATCGAGTGCCCGATATATTTATCAATAAGAATGTGATTGTTATTGGAGCTGGACCTTCTGGCATGGATTTAGCTTTGGAAATATCGAATAAGGCTAAACAAGTCATTTTGAGTCATCATTATCCAGATCCGATTCATACAATTTTTCCAGAAAATGTTATTCAGGTTTTATAAACTCTATATATGTATATATAAATATATTATACCTATATTTAAAATTGAGTGTATATAAAATAATATATGTAATTTTTTTTTTCTCAAATATACTTTGATTTATAGAAGGGAGACGTTGTAAAGTTTGAAGAGACTGAAGTAATTTTTTCTGATGACTCGAAAGAAAAAGCAGATGTTATATTTTATTGCACAGGTAAGAGATTTTATATAAAGATTAAAATACATTTAGGATAATTGTACTCGAATGATAAATTAAATAAATAATAAAATTTTTAAAATCTCAAGGATATAAATATAGTTTTCCATTTTTAAAAAAAAACTGTGGGGTGAAAGTTGATTCAAATATGGTAACTCCTTTATGGAAACATCTCTTGTCTGTTGAAAATCCAACTCTTGCATTTATTGGCCTACCATTCTATGTTTGTGCATTCAGCATGTTTGATCTTCAGGTTGAAAAATTATTTATATTTTATTGATCTCTTTGATGTGAAATTTATTTGTATGTTTATCATTTATTACAGGTTCAATTTGTGTTAAAGTTTTGGTTTAATGAAAAAAAACTTCCAAGTAAAAATGAAATGTTAACTGACGAAGTTATGGAATTAAAAAGGAAAATGGAAAAAGGTTTAGGGAAGAAACATTTTCATATGATGGGACCAGAGCAAGGAAAATATTATGATGATTTAGCCAACATTGCAGGAATTACACCTCTCCCTCCAGTTTTAACAAAATTACACAACGAAAGCAGTATGCGATTCTTAGATGATTTAGTTCATTATAGAGAAGATCATTATAAAATTGTCGATGATTTCAATTTTATTCAGTTGAATTAATTTAATATACGAAATATTTTTAATATTGTTTATATGTACATTTAACAATAATATTTTGAAATATATTTCGTATTTAATTTTGTAATTTGAGTCAAATTTCGAAATAAACATTAACGACATCTATATTGATTTATCATTTGTCGATAATAATTATGTTGTTTGAGAACATTGTAGAATTTTCTTTTACAAAAAAATAGATGTGAAAACTGATGTTGCACCGGTATACAAACTAATTTTATTACTTATAATACATAGTGAAATTAAATCATTCATTATAATAAACTGTTTTTAAGTTTATGAAATAAATATTATAAACGTATCACATCGTTCGGTGTTTTTTTTTTTATCAACGATTGACATTCTGAACAACGAATTCATCTCATTGTAAGCCACACAGAATCAACATTTGTAAATTTGTCAGTGATTTTTTTAGTTAATTTATAAGATTAGTCTATAAATCATTGATAATTGTTATTATTATTACATTCTTTATAATAATTTTTTTCTAAACATTAAATGTAGTTTAAAAATATCCTTATGATATTATTAGTACAATAAGATAGTATTTTAGGTTATATTCTGTAAATTCAATTTTTAGAATGATAGAGCACAATTAATAATAACAAATGTCTTATTTATTTTTAGTATATCAGTATTTTTATTTTATTAGATAATAATGGCAGTTAAAGGATTAGTTGCAAGTATCATAAAATTTCTTACAAAACAATTGGAAGAAGGAGATATTACAGCAGATTCACGAGAAAGTCTTGAAGTTGCAATTCAATGTTTAGAAAGTTCATATAATGTTCAGGCATCTGATGCAGCAACTGATGTTGATCTTTTAAGTATTTATAAAACTGCTGTCGATAATATGATAACATTGCCGACAAAAGAAGCTACACCGGAAGAAAAAGTTCAAGCAGAAAAATACAAAAATGATGGGAATAATTTGATGAAAGAAAATAAAATTCAAGATGCTATTACTCATTATACCAAGTACGTTCAATGAATTTAATGTTTATTATTATTTTATCATTAGTAAAATTTTATTTTCAATAAAAAAAAATATCAATTATTTTGCAACTCATATTTAATCATCGTAAAAGTAATATTTTTATTTATATATTTAGAGCAATTGAATTGGATGGTCGTAATGCAGTATATTATTGTAATCGTGCAGCAGCTTATAATAAATTAAATAATCATCGTCAAGCAATTAAAGATTGCCAGACTGCATTAGCCATTGACCCTTCATACAGCAAAGCTTACGGAAGAATGGGGTTAGCTTATACAAGTTTAGAGCAACATAAAGAGGCTAAAGAATGTTATCAAAAAGCTTTAGAAATGGAGCCTGATAATGAAAGTTATAAAAATAATCTACAATTGACTGAGGAAAAAATTGCTCGACTTGGAGTTGGTAATATGGGTATTGGAGGTACTAATGCTTCATTTCCTGATATGAGTTCTCTCCTATCATATCCTGCCTTGGTAAACATGGCAAGACAGATGTTGTCTGAGCCGGGAATGCAAAATGTCATGAGTACTCTAATGAGTGGAAACATTGAACAAGATGGACACATGGAAGCTCTTATTGAAGCGTAATATATTATATTATTTATTATTTTTGTTAATTTCATATTTTATGAAGATGAATAATAAATTTTATAATTTTAGAGGACAACAATTGGCCAGCGAATGCAAAATGTCAATCCTGAGCTTTTGGAATCTTTTAGGAGACAAATGGGTGGTAATCCTAACGATCCGGATCCTTCACAGCAGAATTAAAAGGTTATGTAAAATGTGCGTCAATTATTTGTATTAATAATAATAATTATAATAATTATTGGTATTGAATTTTAATTGCCATCATTTTTTATCAACCCAGTTCTTATGTATGTTTAGAAAATTTTGTATACTTATGAGTAATTTTATTACCAATACATATAAGCTCTATTGTTGGATATTTACAGTAAATTTTATATGTCAATTTAAAGTTTTTAAAAAACATTTTGATTCTATTTATGACAGATGTAGATTTAAAACGAGTTATCCCAGCAACTATGACATTTTTTGTGCATTTATCCTTCATATTTGTTATAATAATTTTGAGAAATTATTTTTATTTTTATTTTCAATATAATGTACATTAATAATACATAATATTATACAAATTATTATTATCATTAATAAAAATATAAATAAATGACATGTATTATCATATTAGTGTTTTTAAATAAATGTAATGTACATTAAAATTAAATATATTACCGATCGTCAATAGTATTTGAGGTTTTCTCTAAAAATTTCTCATCATAGATGTCGCTTTGTAGTGAAGTTGGTGAATCGCATATAGGAACGTCACAATTTTTCATAAAAATATTTTTCTTGTAAAAATTTCGAACAATATAAATTTTATTTTCGGCCCAACAGTGAATTATTGAAATTATTAAAGGTAAATTTATCAAATTAGTTGTTCACTTAATTAATTTTTTAATATAAACATTAAAAAAAGAAAAGAAAAGAAAAAAAACAATTGGTTATATAAATGTGCAAAAGTTACAAATTTTATTTCAATCTAATATTATTATGAATCCAAATGGTTTCAATTCAAAAGCATTCATATTAAAGATAGTTTAAAAGCAAAGAAAAATATCAATACCGACAAAAAATAAGCCAAAAGTATTGAAATAAATAAAAATTTAAGTATAAATTGCAGGGCACCAGAATTAGACGATTACGTCAGTGAATCTAAACTGCCCCTACTACAGAATTTTGCGGCACACTCAACAGATTGAGGTGTGGCCAGAGAGGGCAGCCATTTTCTTGACTATCTGTCGCATAAGATATCAGGTAAATACGCAATTAATTATCAAAAAACGTTGACTGAAGTATTGCACGGGTGTGTCGTGTTGTGTGTTACTATTTTTTCGTAAAACGGTGTATAAAAAATCGAGCGTGCATCACCGGACGTGCCTAGAAAGTAGAAATAATTCGGTGTGAAGAGCTGGAGGAGTGCCATGCGTTGCAGATTCCATCCAAGAGACTCGACCGACCGCTATTCATATTAGCGTCCGTTATAATCGTGTCTTTAATGGTTTTAATTCGCTGATTGGAGTGCCCTCGAGCTTTTTACGTCCAACAGAAGGCTTTGGTAGTTCAGTAAGTAAATCGTCACCGAGGCTTTAGACCTCTGCGTCACCATCCTTACCGCACCCCCGGGTATCCCCACCTCTTATCATCTTTCTCGCTCTCTCTTTATTCTTTTTTCTTTTTCTCGTATGTTATCGTCAATGTTCACACACACATTACTATCTAAACGGTATTGCACTTCCGGCTATGTAAAATTCATTAATTTTAATATTTTATTTGCTGCTATTATTATTTCATTAATTTATTTATTCAAATATTTCGATCATTATTGATAGTTGACGATTTTTTTTTTTTTTTCCTCCACAACTGCATTTTAAAAAAAAGTGATTTTTAGCGAAATATAGAAAGAAAAAAAAAAACCAACTTAGTGAAAAACACTGACGTAAGTGGCAATTTTTTTTTCTTTCACATCGTATAGCAATATCGAATCGTCATTCATGCGCTTCTCGATTATCTTCCTTTTTATATATTGAATCACTCGACAGAAATAGTTACATGAATCTACGTCAATGTACTGTCAACGGATCTATCCGGTGCTTGGAAATGAACGTCATCGTTAAAGACATTTCGCATGAATACTTAAACCATTAAAATCTCAAAATATTCCAGTATTTTTTAATCAGCTACAATCAATTGTTTCTGAAGCTTCAAATAAATCAACAAGTAACATTTATTTTTATATTTTATTTTGTTGCATGAATTAATAGATTGATGTTTCAGCATGAATATAATCTAATCATTATTTAGATACTGATAATTTTTAATCTTACAAAAATAATGAAAAATTCGGTGTTTTAATAAGAAAAAAAAATTTATTATTTAATACGTAAGCTTGGTGTTTTGCACATAAATAAATACTACCTGTACTTAGATTTTAATAATTAAGTATACCCGCATCAATTAATGATATTGTGGTATATCAGACTTCATCTCGCAGCCTTCTACCCTACGTTCTAACATCCAATAAATGTCCACTTAAAACAGAGACGCAGAAAGAAAGAACTAAAAAGTGATGGGATGCATTGTGGGCCGAAGCCTCGGTCCAGACGATACGGGGTACCCTGGATCAGGTACGACCCACTCCATATCTTTTCAATTCCAACCCTTATAGTTGATTGTAAAATATTACATTCGATTATTATAATTAAAATTTATTTAATCCTATTATTCATTATTTCAAATATTCTTTTTTTTTCGTTTATTTCAGTTATTAATTAATTAAAATCAAGTAGATCAGCACAAGCATATTCATCAGCTCTTGTATATTATAAAGAAAAATTCCCACATGATATAGTGAATTATAAAACTAGTGATTTTTATTTAATTGGCTCAATGGTATTTTAATATCATTAATAGTTTTAAATTTATATTTAAAAAATAGTTTACAATTGTAGGACTAGGAATATACTGAAAATTGATCAAGAAGTTATACCTTTACCGATGGACAAGTTGGATTCTTCCTAAACGTTTGTTAAAACCTAAATGTTCATATTCACATTGATTATTATTTCTAGTTTTGTAGCTTAAAACAATTATTATATTGACTTGTCTTTCTTATCTATATAATCAAGTTTATATACTATCTCCCAAGCTAAAGTCTAAAGAGCATGTTGGTTAATTTTCAGGTAGAATTGTATACACCAATTTAACCTATAAATTCAAGTGAGTCATGTAGTATCCCCACTTGAATGACAACGCTTTTCTTTTTTGCTTGCTAATTTACTATCACTACTTTGCCTTGACTATGTACCACTGTAGGCCAAATCATCAGTGAGTCCAATTGTACATGGGTATCCATATATACTCATAATATTATTAGAAAAAACTATTATTTGTATAGTTTTCATTATATTTTATAAATGCGGTAGAATAATTTATAAATAATTGGTATCTGATTCGGTAAATTGTAAATAAATAGGTATCTTGTGATAGTTGATAAATTAGTAGCTTGAGGGTACTCCAAGAATCACACAAATATCATAGTGGCATGAAGAATCGCCGGTAATCGATTTTAGTTTAAGTGTGCAAATAAACTAAGTGTACAAAATGTATGAGGTGATTTTATGAATGTTTTATTGACAATATGATTGAATGAAAATGGCGTAGAGTTGTAGTCTCATAATTATTAAATTTGTAAATAATTTTATTTTGTGAGTAAAGTTACAATATAAAGCATTAAAAATTTATATTTAATCGCAGGTTTGATGGCGGCCATTAGAAAGAAACTAGTAATTGTGGGCGATGGTGCTTGCGGTAAAACCTGCCTGCTTATAGTGTTCAGTAAAGATCAATTTCCTGAAGTCTACGTGCCCACTGTCTTTGAGAACTATGTAGCAGATATTGAAGTTGATAACAAACAGGTAATTTGAACACTCCACCAGTATTGTTAAATATTTGATATGTATTAAATATCTCTTAATCAAAATTATATTTTTTTAAAATAAATTTAATCAATAAAATAGTATGGATAATTATTCATGATATTTCGATTATGTGATAATTGTTAAACTGTCTCATTAATCAATTTCGTTAATTCAATTTATAGGTAGAATTGGCTCTCTGGGATACAGCAGGTCAAGAAGATTACGATAGGTTGCGTCCTTTGTCATATCCAGACACAGATGTGATATTGATGTGTTTCTCTATTGATAGTCCAGATTCATTAGAGAACATTCCTGAAAAGTGGACGCCTGAGGTCAAACATTTTTGTCCAAATGTACCAATTATTCTTGTTGGCAATAAGAAAGATCTGCGCAATGATCCACACACAATTAAAGAACTTGGAAAAATGAAACAGGAACCAGTGAAACCTGAAGAAGGTCGGGCTATGGCTGAAAAAATAAATGCTTTTGCTTACCTCGAATGTTCTGCCAAAAGCAAAGAAGGTGTAAGAGAAGTGTTTGAGACGGCAACAAGAGCCGCGTTACAGGTAAATAAGAGTATTCATATTTAAAAAAGAAAGAAACATATAATTTTAACTAATAATCGGAAATTTCATAATTGGTATAATTTATTTATAGGTTAAAAAGAAGAAAAAGGGTAAATGCAGGTTACTTTGAGATATAATGGGGAATGGGCCCGTCGCTGACGGGTGAATAAAAACAAAAGGAATTGCGAAGCTAGCTAGTTCGAAGCTAGTCGTAATGCCGGAGGCCCCAGCATAAACTTTAACATACTGATGAATATCTTACTTTTAATTACTTTACATAATTAAACGATCAACAATAGAAATATGTAAACGCAACATCCATCCGGATAATATGAGAAAACAATTAATAATAATCTGATGACTATTATTTACCATTTGAACAAAAGTTTAAAAAATGAATTATTACATGTAATGGCACCAATCGACGATGGTCCGCGATTTTCTTTTTTCTTTTCGTACATATTAACGCGACAATGCCCTCGTCTGTCAGTTTATCAACGTGTATTTTATGCCATGTACAAATGTATGTACGTGAATGCCTGTATGCTCTCAACGTGAGTGCGCGTAATTGTTTGCATACTACATATTTGAAAAGACTTTTATTGTATCTTTTTAACGATGGCGTATAGTGCTTCATGTTTGAACTGTCATGGAAATAATATTCTGAAATAATGAAAAATTGAGACAACACGATTTATTATCTTTATTAAATAATAAATAAATAATAATAATAGCAATACACTTGTTACTGTTATTATTATTATTATTATTATTATTATTATTATTATTATTATTATTATTACTGTAACTATTTTATAGCTTATGTGTGGTTCATATTTGTTTAATATTTTTCTTTCTTATCTCTATGTATAATAGTATGATGATATATTGATATATCAAATTTCTTATAAATTAGATGATGATTGTATTTCAAATTTTTTTCTACAAATATGTGAACAGACGATGAAAACTGAGTAAGACGATTAATAAATTGGAAAAAGATAACAAATATTCATAATAATTTTAACCATCAGCTATGGAAATTATATGGATGAAGAACTGATTGTAAATTGAACAATGTTTAGGATAAATAAGGAAAGTTATTTTTTTTTTCTTTCTCGAATAGTATCATCTATCATACATACATTATTGATATTTTAGGGCAATGCAAAAAACTTTACAAGTACGAACTCGTGGATTTATGCATGTCACATACTTTCAAGCATAAAATTAATTTTTATTACATTACTTATAACATGAATGAAGAAGATGCTTTTGTCAAATTAACGTAAATAGACTATATCAGTCATTCTGATCTTTAAAATACCATGTAGGCTAAATGTATTATTATATTTTTATTATTATTATTATTATTATTATTATTAATTATAATAATTATTATTATGTTATTATTATATTATATTATATATTATTGTAATACGATGACACTAACGAACTGTAATAGCGGCTATACTACTACTACTACTACTACTACTACTACTACTACTTATTATTATTATTATTATTATTATTATTATTATTATTATTATTATTCGTATGATTATTATATATTTATATACTCCGATAAGAAATATGTCCCTCGTGTTGAATATTCGTGCGTGCATATTATTGTGGCCTTGCTTCCACATTTTCTTCCAGTTCATTTAATTTTTTGTTTTTCATATTTGTTTAGCCGCACGTTCAATTAAAAATATCATTCAATTTTAAAAGAGTCAATATTGTGCACACCAATATAGACTATAATAAATTATTTTTTGTGCACTTACATATGTATATGTACAGTCGTGAATTTTAAAATGCTATCATCATCACGGCTGTGGTCTCTGTCTCTTGCACTTCTTAATTAAGAAGTCGTAAAATAAAAAAAATAAAAAATAACAATAAACGATAAATTACAATCTAGTAATCGATATTGATACATGTTGAACAAGTATACGCATACAAACATTAGCGTATAATAAATAATAATGATGATGGTGATGCTAATAATGATGACAATGATAATAGTAATAAGATGACAGGAAAGATGATTTATTAATCGGCTTTAGATTTTAATAGCCGTAAATTATGTAATTTTGTTCCGAAATTGTGATATACCTCTTAATTCATAGCCGCTCTATAAAAAATCGCGACACAATTGCTGAGAACGATAATGCATAAATTTTAATTGATGAAAAAAATGCCAAAATATAGTTTAAAAAGCTCGTTGCGTCGTTACTTTATTATAAATATTATTTTTTAAAAATAATTAGTTAACGTATGCACGTGTTTTATAAACGCAACTTCGCCGCGATTTTTTGGAAAACACTCCAAGGCTTTTTCATTGCACTATCACTGTTTTTTCTATCAATAAAGTATAAATGGCTTTAACTTTTTCGCGTGAAATACGTTTCTTAATTAATAAAGACCTCCATTAAATTTATACATTAACAAAAAAAATAACAACTAACGAATACAAATGTAATTTTCTTAATCATAGATTTATTATATTACATAAAAAAAAATTAATTATACATGATGTATTTGATTTAATATTTTTTTAGTTTTAAATATTTATTTTTTTAAATTCATTTTCATTTTACAAGTGATGTACACATCACAATAATAATTACAACCTATTTAAAACATTTATATCATTCATTATTCGACTACATTTTTTAGTATTTATATGGACACTTTATTGATACTTTTAACTGGTGTTATCTTTTTTAGATACAATAACAATTTGCATCTATTTTGTTACTCTTTTTTTTTTCTTTAATTAACAATGACATAAATTTAGTAATTGTACTGCCAAAATGATTTTAATCAATATTTATCTAGAGTATAATAAAACTTTAATCAATTATAACATATGTAATGTACTCGAATTCATTCTTTATAAAGTTAATTTATATAAATACAACATTTTTTAATACTTTTTTGGTAAAAATAAGGAAGAAAAATTACATATGTAATGATTTTAAGTTTTGGTATAACATAGAAGATACAACATAATATTTATGTATATTTTTAATTGTTAGAAATATACTCCATTATTCAATCAATAAATTAATTTATGAATTTTGTAATAAATACACCATATCAATGAACAAACATTTATATTCGTACACACAAATTTATAGGCCATACTAATTTTTTTATTTTTCTTTCTTATTTTTCTTTATAAATTTATATTGATATTAAATTAATAATGATCACACGTATATTATCTACATATAATCTTTTCAGATTTATAACGAGTAATATAAATTACCAAAAAGAAAATTTTTTTCTTTTCCCCTTCATAAAACTTGAAACTTTGGTTACATTTAACAATTACAAAAAGCAAGACAGTTAATTGTTATTTATATAAATGAATATTGAAAAATTTTATATCAACATTAATTTAAATCGAATATAACAGTAAAAAATACCTTTTCATAATTTATCGAATAAAAATATATCATATTATTATATGATTAATAAAACGATTGAGATTATACGACTATTTGTGCTTTAACATTGAGTTAAGTGTTAAATAACGTTTTTCAAGTTAAATGGGTTAGGTGGACGGTACTAATACATAACGATTAATATAATTTTCAGGACGTCTAATGAGAATAGCAGGTCCCCAAGAATTTAAAAAATATCTGTACGATGAACAAACGACAATACAATAATATGATTTAATAATTACCTATAAAATTACTTATGGTATTTACAAAGAGAACTAATTATTTTTAGCCCACAACTATTCATCTCTATCTGATCATGTCATCTAATTATTCGTAATTTTTTACAAGTGTCCTGCACCTTTTCAGATCTATGATGACAATTAATAGATTCTATCATTAGTCGCTAGGATTGAGAGTTACTGCTGCTACTTGATGTAACTGTAATTGATGACTCACCTTTACTATCAATACTAGATCTAAAAAATTGAAAATTAAATAATTAAATTATTTAATAATAATAATAATAATAATAATAATAATAATTAATTATTTGGCTGAAAATGATAAAACTTACTCTTTGGAACTAACAAGTGAAGGAGTTGTATCTTTTCCAATATTACCATCATTTGAAAAGAATCGTGCTTTTGATAAATTTTTCCCATCAGTTCGTTTACTATCAACTTCTTGATTACTTCCACTAACTTCATTTTCGTCATCAGGTAAACAAGTTTCAATCATAGCTTGTAGACATTTTACAAACAACTCAGCACTTTCAGCAGTTCGATTACATTTACTAAATGGACCAGCAAATCTCCAGAGTCCTCCGAATCCGCAACTTTGTAAATAATGTAACTGTTGGCCTGTATCATCACAAGCAATCATATTTTGTATTATTGCTTGAACTGCCCCAACTACTACTTGATCATGACAATAACTTAAAACATTTAAAATTTTGGCATCAAGAAGATTATTTATAACTGGAAAAACTTTTGGAAATACTACTGACGCTTCTGCCAAGTATTCATATAATGTTCTTGTTTCATCTTCATCTGTTGTATATTTAACCAAGGTTGCAAGGACCGTAAGTACAAGAGTTTGCGTTGAAAGATCAGTTAATACTTCAGGATCTAAAAGTACATTATTTTCATTGCTGACACTTACTCTTGTACTTCTATTTTTCGTATCTGATTCTTCAACCGATTTAGCTTCTTTCGTGGTTGGTACAGAAAAAGATCGTTGAGTTTTAAATAAAATTTTACCAGATTGATGCGTTGATGGATGCTTTTGTTGTTTTGCTTGATTAATTGCAGTTTGATCAAGTAAATCCCATGATTTTTGTTTACGGTTTGATAGATTAATTGTATTAGATGATGAATCTGGTCCATTAGAAACAATGACATCTAAAAAATCTGTACTACCAGATTCTATAATATTTTTGGTGATAGAATGCCTTACATGACATCGACTTCTTACTTCTTCAGATATAGAAACTAAAGCTGCAAGATAAGCAACACTTTCAGGAGTTACTTCAAATTTATCTCTTCTAAAAGGTTTAGCAACGATAGTTAATAGCATTGTAAGTACTCGGCTTGTTCGTGATACCGTTGTGGGTGTAGGATGACGATAACCTTTTAATAAATGTCCTACAAGGGCAAAATGAAAATTCGATTTAAAAGATAAACCAACAGCATGATCTAATAATTTAAAATGCCATTCTAAAGGTTCTCTTGCTGTCATCATAACTTTTTCTAATGTTGTATCATCAAAAGTTCCTTGAGAATCTAATGTATGAAGATTTTGTTCTAATAAAGCAAGACCTGAAGCATAGAGAGGTGCTTCATCCAATTGAAGTATAGATGTTGCAATCCAAAAAAGATACCGATGAATTGGAGATTCTGGTCGTAAAAGAGGCTGAAGTCTCGTTAAACATATTACAATTGCTTCTAATAACATAATATCATTAAAACTTTCTATAGCTTTAACTAATATTTTTAATAGTTGTTTTATATCATGATCTGTGATACTTTTACTGATACAACCAAAAACAATTAATGCTCGTGGTTGAAGAGCAGGATTGAAACAGAATGCCAAATTTCGAGCTAAAAATGTCCATGTCTTTAACCAATCACATCCTGGAATATCTCTCATACAGGCTTCCATTATTTCTAAAAGTGCATCTGTTATTACTTCAAGACTAGTTAATGATAATTTTTCTCTGTCTTGAATACTACAAGTTGTTCGTTCATTTGTGAACCATTTATCGTTAGAAAGTCTATAACTGGATCTAAATGCCGTAACTGCTGCTGACTTAACTTTACTGATACCAAAGAGTAGATAAAATTTTGGTAAAGAAAATTCATCAAGGCTCATACGTAATACCCGATGTGTATCTTCGGAAAATGATGGAGAACTACATGTACACAAAGAATGAATTATATTGATAACTAAGCCATGAGTTGAAGCTCTCATACTTAAACTCCCTGAGCATACAAGGAAAGTAACAGTATGAAAGAGATAAGGTAAGTGTTTTCCAACATCTAAACAATTGTTGAAAGAAAGCATAAGTAAGTACCTCGCTAATATTGCTATATCATCCCACAACATGTGCTGTTCTAACAATGGAGTTGGAGAATTACAAGTTTTATCGACAACTCGACAAAGTCGTCCAATAACTTTTTTTGCCACTAACTGGACATTACCAGAAGCAAGAGCTACTGCTGTATCAGCCATAATTTCAACCATTTGTGATCCAATTCCAGAACCAACACTTTTTTTAATAAAATGATCCAAAACAGTATCAATTAATTCAGGAAGTCTTCCAATTGTACTCCAAATTTTTGCTTGAATACTTGGATACATTTCTACTTCTTCAATTGTTAAAGTAATTAATTTTTCTAATATTTGAGTTACTTGTCTCTGTCTTTTACCTTCATCATTAGGTTTATAAAATCGCACAAGATTCTTTAACCAAGGAGTCATGTATTCTAAACAAAGATGTTTTAACTCAATTGTTGATACTTTAAATCCTTGCATGCATTCTTCAAGAAATTCTAAAGTTAAATGTGGATCATTGGCTGCTAAAGTTTCACTCAAGTGTTTTATAAAGATTGTATTGTTTGATGGAATACACAATCCTGATGTTTCAAGTAATTGACCTTCAATTTTTAAATCAAATGTAGCAGTAAGTGCACACAATTGATTGTAAGCAGCAGTTCTTAAATTTGGATCAGAACTTCCAAGATTAAGTAAAGCCATATTTAAGAGTGTTCCTGGTACATCTTTAGGCCGTATCTTTGGATGAACAGACATAGAATCAGGCTGTGACAACAACCATCGATTACGTATATGCATTATTGCTTGAACTATACTGTCACAGTCATTGTGAAGAAAAGACAATGGTCCTGCTTCATTTGATATAGTTAACGTAAATTGATTATCATCAACAACTAGACAAACTTCTTCAATTTCTGATGCATAATAAACGTCATTTAATAACACAGAATGAGATAAAACTTTGCATTTATCAGCTGAAGTTATTTGAATTGCTGATGGTCCTACTTTTATAGATACTTTGGTGTCTTTATGAGAAAGCTTGACAGCATTGGTGAAAACTTTTAAATCTTCATCAAGAGTCAAAGTAGTTCCTGGTAATTTTTGTTGTTCTGGTTCAATTAAATCATTGAGCCTTGTAGGCGAATCAATAAATACAACTTTTCTATTTCCTTTTAATGGTGCTAAAATTCTATCATGATATTTTGTATATTCTCTTACCCAATTATTACAATTATATATATAAGCTGCATGAATATTATTATAGGCTATTTCAGGTAATACATAAAACCATTTTTGTAAAAATTCTGTTCGAAATCGATTGTCAGAACATGTATGTGTAAAATCTACTACTAATTCAAATGGAGCGTGATAGAATGGTTTCAATGTCAAAATAACATGATAAATCAATAAATCACCATTAGTTTCACCAATTTTATATCGTCTAGCAATATAATAAAATACTGGATTTCCCTGTTTACTAGTTCCAGCTTGATAAAAAATATTTAAACTTTTAATACTTTTAAATTCTTCTTTTTCATGCATATTATGTTTTACCATTATTTCTTCAAAATTTGTTGATGACATATCAATACTTGACCATCTTGCATACGAAAATAATAAATGTGAATCAACAGGTTTGTGCTCTGGTGGACCAAGATAAGCCAATAGTGTTGCCATTTTATCAAAAGGCCGTCGTCCAACAGCTTTATGATCCCTACTACTGCTTAAATAATCACCTATTTTTTCCTGATGATTCCAAAGAAGTCGATGAAGGGCTAAAACATTAGCATCAGACACAAATGACATTGGTGGATTTGTTTGATCAACTGTTTCACAATCACTGGCAATTTGAATAAAAAAACGCCGGCCAATTTCAAATCGTGTCCGTAAAAAATCATTAAAGGGAAGCATATGCTGTTCTTTACTAAACTCAACATGATTAGCAATATTTTGTAAAATTTTAGACATTAACATCAATCCTCTTTTTATATGAGGAGGCACTGGTTTATTGACAATTCCCATTTCTTGAGGCGAAACAATTGCTGGATTAATAAATCTCAAAAAAATTACTGTTCCAACTGCACCAATATTAACCTGTGGAGATTGAGGAAATCTTTTACTTAAAACTTGATACAAACAATGACACATGGATCTCAATTGTGGCGGAAATTTATCTGCCGACGACACAATTGCATCAAATACTTTAGTTGTTAAAACAATTAAATTTCTACCATTTTGAATAATATTTTCATTAGAATCAATAATTCTTGCACTATCTACTTCAAAACTTGTTGATGGATCATCTAATAAGGGTGTAATGAGAGGTTCTAAAAGATTTTGAAGATAACTAGCACCATATATTTTAAAACAAAAAGCCATTATTTTACTCCCAAGGCTGTTACCACGAAAAAGTGTTTGCATACAATCCGTAACTTCTACTTCTCGGTAAAACATATTCCATAATAGAGGGGAAAGTAAGTGTTTAGCATCAAATAATGTTACAAAAACTCTGGCTAATTCATCCATTTGATTTGAAGTTATTACATTAGCAAGCGCCATAGCTATAGGTAATTCTCCTTTATCACTAATCATTGTTACAAGCTGAACTAATTGCTCAAATCTATCAGCTAAAACTGTTTCGGCTAATGTATCAAACTCTGTACCTTGTTGAAGTATTTTAGTTAATACTTCCATAAAAGCCGCTCTAGTTTGTAAATCTTTATTATATCCTAAATCAATAGAATGCATTAGTCCACTATCAATATTTGCACTCAATAGATTACTCATTGCTTGAATCGTTGCATTTCTAAGGCTTGATAATTTTCCACTAGTCAATTGAGATGTCGAAACAACTTTTTTTTCTTCACATGCAGCATCATTGCAATCATTTAAAAAATTCATAAATAAACTGAAATATTTAAGAAATAATTGAGATTTGGCTTCCATAAGATCACCTCGATCTGATTCTTCAGGTTGAAGAGGAAGACCACGTAAAAGTGAACCAATAGCCTCCATACATGCTTGCTCTAAATCTCTAGTAATTGTTGTCAAATCTTCATTTTTTTGCTGAGGAGTAATTTGATGTCTTGTATCCATAATCCAATCAGTCAAATATTCAACCAATTTATTTCTAAATTTCATTTCTTGTCTAAATGCTAAATCATCTCTTCGTTTCATCATTGCTTCTACAAGTTGACAAAGTTTTGTTTTTATACGAATTGTGTAAATTGTAGTATCCAAATGTCTAACATAACGTACAATTGCTAAAGTCATTCCTTCAATACTGGTCATTCCCAAATACTCGGATGGTTGATCTGATTTAGACTCCAAAACATTTTTCATTATAAAAATAGTATGCTCTATAAATTGAGTGTTTGCATCTATGACTAATACTCGTCCGGATTGATCAAAAAACTTATCGACTATGCATTTAATTTGATCAAATAAAATTGGATACAGTGCTGGACTCATTTCTTGGCCTACAAGTTCTTTGACATGTTTTTGAATCTGTGCTCCAAATTTTTCATGATTAAAAAATAATAATCGTAAAAGATTTAAAATAAATTGAGTAACTAGACAATATTGAGCATCTTGACTTGAATTAATTAAACATGAGGCATCCAATTGTTGTTTTATAGAATTTTTTTTTAAATCTAAACTGGGAATCATCCCTGTTGATATGGGTTTACTTGGAGATTTTTTTTGAAGACATACACCACCAAGAGCACACAGAAATCCTGTCATATTGGCCCATTCATTTATTTGCTCTTCTAATTCATGCTCTGAATTTTGATTAGAAGCTCGACGTTTTCCTACAGTTCTATGGAAAGATTCTACTTGACCATCTTCTGCTTTATTCTTTGAATTTCCAAATTTTATTGTTGATTCCCAATTTCTATAAGTCTCTTTCCAAGCTGACTGAACACCACTGGCACAATGTTCAATTTTTCTCAAAAGAGCCATTATTCGCTTCTGTAGAGCAGTTCGTCCTGAAATATAAACATATAATTAACATAAATAATTACTTTTATACTTTAACTTGTCTTACCATGGCTATATTCATGATAACCTGATATCCTACTATCCCCGCTAGCTATATACAAATTTTATAATATACTTTTCGTAATAAATAATATAAGACAAAATTATAAAATAAAATTTTTAATTTAATTAATTTATTTTTAAAATTAATTAAATATAAATAACTTACCGGTCGTTAATGCAGTAGAAGTTTGAGCCAACTCAATATAAAGATGATAATTAGGTAAAAGAGAAGTAACAGCAACTTCATCACTTCCACATCTAATATCTGCTTCTTCACAAAGTAACGAGAAACATGAAAGAGCAACTAGGACTGCTTCCATATCAATACTCCACAGATACATAAAAAAAACAACTTCTAATTCGATATGAGCTTGATTACAAATTTGTATTTGACTTCCATCATTTGCATAATCCTTATTTTGAGATAAAAATTCATTTCTTCTTACTAGAATTTCTCTTAACCACTTAAGAATATCAGTACAATTAACAATTTGGTGTTGGATAAGTTTTTGAGAAATTGAAAACAAAACTTGAGAACTAATAAGCCAAAAAGTTTTAATTGGAGATTCTGGATTCCAGGCTTTTATTTTATCAGGATAATGAAGGACTAGAAGAGCTTCCATAGCTTCATTGGCAATGTCAGGCATTGTTGGTTGATGAACAAGAGAAACTAGACCGTTGATTAACTCAAGTGTTGAGCTCTGTATTTCATGACCGTATTTACCTTGATTATAAAGCATTAACATTGAATCAGTATGAATTAATTTTACTATCCACAATAGAAGATTTTTATGACTTGTTATGTCTTCTCCTCTATCTTTGTATTTTCCTTGTTCCTTCCCTTTTAACGTTAAACTTTGAATCATTTTTAAAGGCGTCGGGTATATATAATTTGGTGTAACTTTATTTAAAGTATCAATAAATAAATTTTTCAATTCAACACTTTGAGGATAAACTAAGTCAATCTGAGGCCACCATGCTAATCTTGGTTGAGTTGCAATTCGATATAAAGAACTGATGAGAACAAATTGGTAAGTAGCTGGAGCACTTAAATTAAGACAACTTTTAATAACTTCATCACTATGATGTCTAAGTCTAAAGCAACTAATAAAACAATCAATCATTAAATCAATGTCTTGATTTATTGTGCTTTGTCCACGTGAAAAAGGTTTGCAGGTATTGAAAAGTAGTACCGTTAAATCTCCAATAATTTGTTGAACAAGTGTAAATATCACATTGTTTGATTCTTGATTATTTATATATGTAGCAGCTTTACAAAGTTTAACACAGGTGATCGCGGCAGCTTCTGTGATATATCTACTTGATCCTCCATGTGATCCTAAAGCTCGTTTAATTCCATCAAGAAATTGTTTTTTTTTAGAATGTTTTGGAGAACATGGTACACCTATTTTTGTATTAACTATTTCTTCTAAAACTTTTGGTGTTAAAATAAGTAACATTATTTGTAAAGGCCATCCTGATACATTTTTACCTTTCTTATTTTCAGCATACATATCCAAAACATCGAACAATTCACCACAAGCTTTTGCTAAGTTATCATTATATTTTTTTACAGCTTCTGCTGTTTCATTGGTTTCTCGCAAATTATCATTTTGCTTTCGTTGTACTTCAGCAAATTCATGAGGATAAGTATCCATCCAATTCCAAATTGCACGTTCTAACGCATTCATTAAAACTGTGTGAGATGATTTTTTGAGCAGTTTAAACTTTTGAATTATTTCTGTAAAATATTTGTTATTTTATATACAAAAAAACACACACAAAGACTTTAATATTTCAATTGTTAAATTAATTTAGACTTGAAATTAAATTAATTTAATATTTATTATTATTATTATTAATAATAATAATAATAAAATTTAAACTAATTTTTTATTAATTAAAGTAGATAATAATTATAAAATTTACCATTTAAAATTTGAATAAGCCGATCAACGTCAATGTTGATATGTTGAATTAATTCAATATCACTACAATCTGGATTCTCTTCATTACAAACTGTCAGCTCTTGAAGATGATCTGATATTCTGTTAAAAACAGCCGTGTAGAAGTTGAGACTTAAAGCAAAAAGTACTTTGCTGGCGAGATTTTTTATGTGCACGTGGTAAGAACTGTCATTGGATATATCTAAAAAATTAAAATAACAAATAATTTAATATTAATGATACATTAATAGATAGAATAAATGAAATACTAGTAAAATAGTAAAAAAAAGAATTACTAATAAATTGACAAATTGGTCGAAGTAGAAGTTTAACGTTCATCGTTTCATCTTTACTGGAATTATCTCTTGGTTGGTTTGACAAACACTGTTCAAGTGTGTCTAGAACAATGATGATTGACTCATAGCAATTACGTTCCTGGTCAGTATTGTGAAATGATCGTTGACCTCCAGTTAACATGTCATTGACACGTTGAAGAATTTTTGTGAGATTGGATATCACAAGAGAGAAACGATGACGAGAAATTTGTATTAAATACTTTCGATTTTCTTGTTCGTTCAGACGTGAGTTTGTTGTTTGAGGCTCAGCTTGACATGGTAGCTAAATGAAAATATGTATAAATACACATATAAATCTACAAATGTATAAGATAATTTTAAATTCATAAATGATTAATGTAAATAACAAAAATTAGTTTGTATTTTATTATTTTCACTACTTCCTTATAGTTGAATTGTGGTAATGACATCCGCCACATTAACCGGAACCGCGTGTACGCTGATAAATGTTCTTTAGAGAGGGGATAGAGAATTAGAGGGGCAAGAATAAAAAGATTTTCGATTGATATGAATGATAACTATGGCATTGTTAAAAGTTCTCAGAAACAATATCAAATGTCATCAGGTTTTTTTATGTTCACATATTTACACTATTCTTCACTGAATAAAACTGAATATAATATTTTAACAACAATATACAATGCTACAATGAATTAGAAATAAAGAAATATGACGTAAATAAAATAAAAATAAATTATATTAATGATGAAAACAAAAACATGAAAATGTAAACAAATAATAATTGAGGTGATAAAAAATAATAAATATATAAAGGATGAAAAGTACCTGGGCCTCAAAACGGTTAATCAGCGCAATCGCCCATTGTTCCGGCTTCTGTGTGCCCATGGCCCAGAGTACAAAGTGGATCAGTGACGATTCATCATGTTGATGCAGTGGATTACGAGAAACTCGCGATTAAAAAACGATATTGCAATGCCGTCATTTAGGATGAGGTTGTAAACTTGTGTGTCAAGCAGTGAAGAAGTCAGCAAAGCCAGCCAAGCAAGCAGCCGGTGAACGAACACGACAGCGAGCGAGGCGCTATGATCGTTGGGGCGGGGTGAACCGACGACCTAGCTAGCACTAGTACTAGCTAGCGGGTTTTGGCTTTTTCGTAAAGCAAACTGCCCTGATGAAGAAAGAGGGGAAAAGAGAAATCTACTTCGACCGATACCCACGCGCATTCATACCGACGCATTTCCTCCCTCCATCATCATTCGCCGTCGCTCTTCAATACCAAACAACCAACCAATCAGAATTTTCTGTTAAGCTTTATTCTCTCTTCTACTTCAAGGTACAAGCCACATATGTTGATATCTCTATCTCTCTTATACTTTTTCCTCTCATTTAGTATTATCATTATATTGCATGACCAACAGCACCATTCATAAACTTATCATCAATTCTCTTGAGTACTTGATAAAAATCCGATCGATTTTGACACAATCAATTTGAGGTAGACATTCTAATCTAGATAATAAAATGCCCTTTTTATATTCAAGTTTTCTTTCATTAATTATAAGTTTATAATTTATTTAAATATTTTATAATTAATATTTTTTTTTTTTGTTAATCATAAATTTGAAAATATTTTTAATGATAATAAAGATAAATAACTAAATATTTACTTTGAATTGATATATTTTATCACATTTCGAATTTTTTATATAATAAAAATATATTAAATTTTGATATAAAAAATATTATTTAACTATATAATTATAAATAGTATATTAATAAATAATCCACTGTTTATTTTATCACTTATTTTTATACGTATATACAATAATCTTTAGTCAACTGTTATTACAGAGTTCAAGGCACGGATCGTATGTTGTCGATGCTTCTCAATGCAATTAAGATTCTTTGGATCGACGTCCGTGATGCCAATGTTGAATGAAAAGTAGCGGTGTCGTTGTGAAAGCACAATGACGTGATTCCTCGAAACATCCCCGATGCGATCTCTATAAAAATAAAAAAATATAAAACAGATATTGATTGCAGTAGGATTGACGGTAATAATTCAATCATATTAACCTACAAATCAATTTCACGAAATGATATAAGTATGGAACAATCTCTTGCAATACTAAATAGTAAGTACTTTTGTAGAATTATAATTTGATCATAATTTAATTGAGTTTTGTGACGATTACATTCATTTGGCAGTTTTATTTGATTAGGTTGTGGAAAATAAACCATTTGCTCATTCAAGATAGATGAATACGATGAATACATTGCGTAAACTACATCTGTATTAATACAATGTAATTGTTGCATAAAGAAAATACGATTTAAAGCTGAACCTTGGGGTAATTTTCCACTAGGAAACTCGCATGTCTACAGTAAAACATAAAAAAGTTTAAATATTATTATTATTATTATTATTATTATTATTATTATTATTATTAAAATAACAGTTTTTTATGTATTTAAATTCAAATTTATAAAAAGTATAGTGTAAAATATTATTGTACCTGATTGAAACGTTTTAAGTTAGTATTAACTTTGCAAATTGTCTCTAGATCTAATTGATAATACTCTAGCTGAACTTGTTCTACAGTTTTTTTAGACTTTTTAATTGGATTTGATAAAATAGGATCATTTTCGCTTACAGGAAACTCTCGAAGAATTGCTTCAGAAATGAGATAGCTCATATCTTCAATAAGTTGTTGTTCAGTATCACACGATGAGCCATAAGAATCATTTAAAAACCATTCAGCTAGTAAATTCTTGAGATCCATGAGTTTATTTTTTTCACTCCAAGCATGAATACCATTTTTAAAGACGATAAAATTGTTTTGTGGAGATTCTACTAGTGATTTAATAGCTTGCTTCACTCTATTTCTATTTCCAGAAAAGAGATCACATGGACAGTAGTTGCTACGTTTAGATATAATTCCAGTTGATACCTAAAATATATTTTTAATATGTTAATTTATCGTTTATACGCAATTTATACGTATTTTCAGTTCCGTCATTATTAATAAGATTATTTACCAAGTGTCATATTATTGACATAAGAAAATAATATCAAATGATAAGTTCATTTAAGATATGTCTAAATATTTATTTTTACAATTATTATTATTGTTATTTATATTAATGAATCATCATATTTTTATATTTCAAATATATTATTATTCTGATAAAAGTTTTCATTATTTTTAGAGTATATTTTAACAAATTATTTGAAAATATTTCGTCAAAACAAATAAGCGTTGATATGATAAGATTCTTTGAACATAAACAAAAGTATATACTTCTAAATAAAAATAAAAACAGCAACATGTTGATTGAATTATGAAGTCACTGTTTTGAAAATAATCTATTAACTTTGATGTCTCTTTAAAATTTATTCATTTTATCCAGGCAAGTATAGACAAGTATGATACAGAGTATTTACAATCACAAGACTTTTAATTAGTTGAATAAATTATTGTGTAATTCAAATAAATCTGGATTATTTCATTCAAGTTACAGGTTCAACTTATTGAAATAAAATTAAGTATTAGTGAAACGTTTCACTTAACCCAATCTTATTTTCATATGAGACATGAGAAATATCAAAGAGTGTACATTACAAATAACTTTTTATTATTGATTAGTTTAATGCATTCGACATTTTACCTTATAAAATTGATTAATACAATAGGGACATCTTTGAAAAAGTCGATTTGCCTCAGGTACAAAACCTTGTTTAGGTTTTATCTCAATGCAAAATGTTGGCTTTTCAGTGTTTTTCGTCTTTTCCTCGAGGCTTGATGGTAGCAGGCTATAATCCGGCAAAATAATCCCGTATTCTTCAAACAATCTTTTGTCACGTCGATGTTCTATAACATAAATACAAACGAAAATGACTTTGATTACTTAATGAATCATCAACTTTAAAATAAATATGACTCATTACCTGGCCTATGTGCTTCAACACGTTCACTCCAATCAGGTATATCTCTTACGGGATTGCAGTAGACAAACTCTGGTTCTTCAACAAATTTTCCCAGGTACTTGGAAGTTATTTCTTGAAAAAATTTATACTCAAACTCAATTCGTGCTCTTCCCCCATCTACTGGTATCTCGTCAGTCGATTTTATTTTACGAAATCTCAGCACGTTTCTAACCTGAAAATTTTTACAAATGTCATTCCCTTTCACCCGTTACTTTACTGGCATTGTAATGAACCCCAAGCTATATAATATAACATTTACAACTGTTGGACAATAATTTTAAAAATTTTCAATGTTCCTGATACTTTTTTTTTTATAGGCAAAAAACGAATCGATAGATAAGTCTAAACCTGTCTGCTCCATGCTGACGTGGCAATCATCGCCTGAATGGTCTCCAACTCCATGTGTCATACGTACATTTTTCAATGCAATCGTCAAGTTTTTGTTTTTGTTTTTTTTCTTTTTCTTTTTCCCTCTCTCTCAATGAACTTTGCCTTATTCATAAGAATAAGAAAAAATATATCATGTTCACGATAAAAAAATAATTTTATAACAGTAAAAAAGATATTATTCACAGCTTTAATATATCTATTGTTTAAAAATAGTTAAGTAAATTCAATTGTCTCAAAGAAAACGTGGTTAGGAAATTTATCTACATCAACATTATTTAATCCATAATAATAATTAATTAAATTTTATTTTATCGTTCAAAATATTCACAGTATCTTTTGTGTTTTATGATAAATTAATAATCTTAAAATAAACTATTGAAAAATGTTAATTGATCATTAAACAATAAGTACTTACTTTTGGTAATGAAATGACTAAATTAGCATTGCCTTCGCCTTTATAGGTGTATCCTTCAAGCCAAGCTGGATTTAATTTTCGAATTTTCATTATTGAATTTGCATATCACTTTTTAGTGTAATTAAATGATGTTTCTGAAGCTCCAGTATCGATAATAAATTCACCTTGTATCGTCTCTCATGAAATTTAAACTGTAAACAAATTGTTGGAATGAGGTTTAATTATAGTAAATGATGTAGATTCAGACGACAAAGAAAAGGTGGTGATAATGACGATGATTAGGACAATAAGGAGAATCGTGATTTGATGTATGTAATGCACAAATGCATGTCAATCGAGAAAGAATAGTTAGACGTCTAGTCACGAGGCCAAACGACGAGAAGTCGAGGCTTGTACATAGACGGGGCAACAACCGCCGTTGACCTCCTCACTATCCGTTGCTCGAATCACATGGTATATCTGATGATTCTGCGTGCGCTTGTAGGTCGCTCGACACTCAATCAATTGCAACTAAATATCTAATAATATTAAAATACTAAATAATATATACTTGAAAACGAAGAAATCATTTATAAGTGTATAATAAATTTGACTATTTATTGATCATTTTTCATATGTAATCCGTTGTGAAAATAATTTAACTCATTTTTAAAATATTATATCCCATATCTTTTATTTGATTAAAAGAAATATTTAAAACACTACTATTAAATAGTAAGATTTTATAAATGCTATTTGTTTATTTTTAAGCTTATCTACTTTTCTTTTTTCCATGTTTATATTTATTAAAAATTTATTTAAAAATTTTTTGCAATTTTAAATGGAGGATTTAACGGGAATTTAAAAGGATAAATAAATAAAATAACAATACAATGTATATATTCGTGAAATTCCATAAGCACGAGGCCTTTGTTTTTATTATCTCTGTACAAAAACAGTCGAAAAAATTATAGATTTTTTCTTTCGTTAAAGATTTAATTTTTTCGAGCTCACGGCGTATATGTACAAGCGGGAAATTATAGTTTTGTAACTTATTAACTAAATATAATTAATTATACATTGATATAATAGATATAGTATAATATAATATAATATTAGTAAACCTACATGTCTAGGGATTCGAGTGTTTCCTCGTAGAAGTCTGCTGCATATATTTTTTTGTCAATAGATTTTTTGTTTCTGATCTGTGCGTGGTTTTACCACGAATACATTTGTATTATCTGATAACAGCAATTTGTTTTTTTTTTTTTTTTTTTTTTTACAATAGAATTTCATCAGAAAGTGGTTCGGCTATTAGTTGTATCAATAATTGCGTGAAAAACATGCAAATGTTTCATTCGTAAATATATGTACTAAATACTCTACATCAATTCATATTCAATAAATTTTCTGTTTTATAAAACAAATAATTTATCCAATGTATTTATAAAATTTTTCGTATTATTCCTCTCTATAACTTGATTTTCTAATATTTATACAATTTTTTATAATAATCGTTATTAGTTTCTTCAATATTTAACTTTTTTTTTCATGATTATTATGTTGCCAGATTTGGACACTTTCGTCTTATTACACGCACTACTTCTCCCGTTCTCTTCCCCTCAACCCATCTACCGCTCAAATTTTTTTTATTATTATTATTATTACATAAAATTTTTTATTTATTTTCATTTCTTTCATTTTCTGTCATCCCAGCCGAACATTATCTTTTTTAGAAATTCATTCTCATCATGTAATGGTTTTCTTTAAATTTAAAGTCAATCCCAAGCAGACTAATGAAAGTAGCGCATCGAGTATGACGGATTTGAACAATTAGAAAGTAATAAATAATAATAAAAATAATTTTTTTTATATTTTAAAATGTCAATATTTGATAAACTCGTAATATGATCAATGATTAATTTGCTGCTTTAAAACAAACAAATCTAATGCAAAATTATATAAAAATGCACATATAAAAATAGTTCAGAATAACGAATTAAATAAGAGACCAATGTTAAATTATATAATCAATTAATTGTACAATTGGTGGTAGCATTCACATTTGATTGAACAATATAACTATGTAAAAAAAAAAATATTCTATTAATTAATAAAAATAGCAAAAAAATTTATCAACAAAAGTGATGACTTTTTGCTCGTTACAAATCAACTCACGCCCCCATTTCCGTCTCTATCACGTAATATCACACCCCTGATTATTCCAACGCCGAGTTTTTTTTCCTCATTTACCATTTACATTCGTACATTTAGGCAATAATCGCACTTTACATTCACATTTAAACATACATTTTACATACTCACACCCACCCACCCACACACACTTTCTATAACCCGTTCGCATTTATTTATTTTTTTTTTTTTATCATCGTTTCGATTTTGTCTCGTTTTTTTGTTTTATACTTTTTATTTAAAAAAATACTGAATTAACCAAGCTAAAATCACAGACTTGCTGGCACCATCCCAGCGGGTTTGTACAAATTCTTCCTGAAGGACTCTATGTATAATTACAAGGTGTGAAAGTATGTATATATAGTTTATTACAACAATTCATTCATGAAATATTATAACATCCTCGCACGCATCTGACCACAATTGCAATTAAATGCAAAATATCAATAAGATCTCTCTGTATATTATAATCATTTTATATATGTATACATATATTTTTGTTTATACATAATTATGTTGCATATAAAAAGACAAAAAAAATGCATCTGGTACAAAAGTAAATACGTATAAAACACGTACGTTCCTCATTTTTTGTTTTATTAATATTTTAATTTTTTTGTTTTGCTTTATATATAATGATAATATTTTTCGTAACCTAATATTTTTTATTGATCAAAATAAATTTTAATTTTCCTCAATTATTTTTCAGCATTTTATTAGAAATGAAAAAATAAAAATTTATACAAGTAAACATTTATTTACATTAATAACAGAAAATAATTATTTACAAATGATTAGAAACGTACGCGAATACAATATAATTCATTGGAAATTTAAAAAACAAATATTAAATATAACTCAGCGTGCGTACGATGACACTAGTTTAGCCGTAATTAATGTAATACCGACGCGTAACCGGCGAAATAGGACGAATTTGTTCAAAAATCGCTACGTGCTCATTGTACCGTCATAATAATTTGATATATGTATGTATATATCTATACCTTTTTTTACATTATTTGTATCATAAATATCAATATATAAATACATATATACCTTTTTATTTTAATTTTTATTATTTATATGCTTTCACAGTTTGTAAAATCGAATCATCATTTATGTACCGAGATATTAAATATTGTCTTTCTCTCTCATACATGCATTCACTTCGTTCTTCCTTTCTCTCTCTCTCTCTCTCTATAGATTCTTCTTTGTTTTTATCTACGCTTATAATCACAGACGTGGTTACTAATTGCTACGTACACAGAGCCTTCGTCCAACACCGTACGTGACGAATTTACGCGTCTTGGCCTCTATTCTCATCGGAACGATTAATCTGCGAACGTAAATTCAATCTTTGCACATTATTCAGGGATCATTCATCCATAAGACACAAAAATTTATTGAAAAATTTGAAAAATAAATATAAAACACTTTCGGAGTCAATGTATTAAAATTGATTATATTATAAAATTAATAAAATCTCTCTAAATTTAAAAGATAAATCTGTCAATGTTTTACAATCACATGAATTTATAAAATATCATTTTATAAATACACTGGTAATAATGTACACTAGTCAATCAATTTGTCATTTAAGCTTCTCCGATAGCGTTTTATCATCCAGTAAATATTGAAGCAACAAAACATTTATACATTTGTATCGTTTCTCGTATATACTCTATCTCTCTTATGGATGGCGCAGGTAGACATTTTTAACACATGTACTCTTTCAACCATACAAATAAATTTTTTTTTTCATATCTCATTTTCATTTTATACTGCTCACTCACACAGAGAAATCACAGCTGTTGCAAAGGATGTAATATACAATAATAAAAGATCATAGTGAGCATAATAATGCACATATTGATACTCACTATGAACGTCTACATACAATGTTATGTGCCTATATACATTTACACATAAAGAGCGATTGATTGATGCTGGGTGACGGTGGTACTGTTGTTGTTATTGTTGTTACTGCTGCTGATAACTGGTACTGCAAAAATCGTTGTAATCACTGGATAATGAAGGCAGGAGAGCTGAATGATGTTACGAGCTTCTTGAGAAAGCCTCATATCCTGGCTGGTTCGTAGGATCCATCTTACATATCCAGATTAATTAATAGTGGTAGTGGATTGTTGTGTAACCCCACAATGGAGGTTTTATGGAGGAAGAGAAAAAAATAATGTATGTGCTTAATATAGAATTAGAATTAATAGTTAAAGTATTGAGATCAGTTTGCTCGTATATGAGTTTCATTGATGATCGACCACATTGACGATGACGTTGATCAGCCATTTTAGTGTGTTGTTTTATTATCTCAAGCGCATGGGGGAAGAGTCGGATGGACGGACTGGCGAATGGACGGGAGCGTCCAATATGGCGTTGTTGCATTGTTGTAAGAATAATAATCAGCTTGGCAATGATTTGATGTTGTTGACTTGAGTTGATTGAAGTTGATGACAATAATTGGCAAAACAACACGAGGAAACACAAGAATCGGACGAGTGTTAACTCGTCGGGTCAGATTAATATTAATTTTATTAATTCAACTGGAGACAAATGCCGCGATTTGCTCATTAAATTGCGAGTGCTCAAGGATTAAAGAATCCTTACAACTCTCGAATTGCTGTTGTTGAGGAATGCCAAGAGATGTAGGTGATGATGATAAACCAGATGACATTGAGGACATCGAAGATGATGAGCTCGATGAGTAGGTTGAAGAGGCCGATGATGACGATGAAGATGGCCTTGGAGTAATTTCTTCAGGGTCCGGTTCTGTTCGTTCATATAATACGCAAATCGAACCATTTTCACCAATTCTATAGGACACTTCAGATGGATCAATCCACATGGTCAATTCACTTGGAAATAAATTGTGCAATACCGTCGGCAACAAACCAACATTCGCTCCCGCTTGTGCTATTACTGGATCCATTTTACCGTTAATGCGTAGACAACGATAACCGGAACCTCGATTTGGTCGATCTGGAAACCAATGATCTCTATACCGTCGTCGTAAAACTTCTGTCAGTGACGATTTAAATTCTTCAAGCTGACTCTCCGACAGCTGGCCAGCCTGAAGTCGGAGTAGATGTACTAGAAAGTCCGCAGCGGACACTATTTCCAGTCTCATGATTATAAATTTTATATGGCAGACAGTATTAATCAATCAATCAATCAACTTGTTTCTCTATACGCACTCTTTCCCCCAGCTTCGATTATATTCTCCACGTTTCTTTTTTTCGCCACGGTAAAATAACGTGATGAGATCACGGCACACAGCAGCGATATACTACTTTCCAATCCAATTCAATCTCTTCAAAATGGCGTCGCCACTGAGCGTAGCGGTCCGAATAACGTTGCTCCTCCAGCGCGATCGAATGATATTGAATCTCTGACGTTACTACCGCAGTAGTTTGATGTATTTTTGTTTTAAAAAATCGAGCTTTTATTTTAGCGTATTTAATATTATTGTTAAACACACTGTACTCTATTTGTTACCTCTTATCTCTTCCTTTTATTATCACTTTTTTTTCTCACACAATCTTATTTTCTGTTAATTTTTATCGTTAAATCTTCTTTTATTTAAACGATAAATATTAAGATGAAGAATAAATTCACGATATTAATATGAAATGAAAATTTATCAATAACGATACACCACACCAATAATATTTGTCCTACACTGAACCGCACCTCGTCACTGCCGAAGACTTTCTAATGGCTGCGATCATCGATGCCTCATAACAAGCTTCGGCTCTTTGTTCGCATGATCCCCAGTGGTGGTAAGTTTTACCAACCAATCACAATGCCTGGCTTTTACCCCACTTAAACCGCTCCCCCGACGATCACGTGACCAATCATCTGCGCAGAAACGACAACGCAAAACTCAAGCAGCTGTCTAGCCGTGAACTGTATGAACATACCACGGGCTATCAGGGGGACAAAGACGTAAGGGGTCTAATCCCCCAACTCAATTTCTTTCTCCCCTTATGTGTATTTATGTGTAAGTATGTATGTGAGCGATTGCGACCCGTACCTCATCGTTTCCATCACCGTCCGACGAAAAATTTATTCGACAAACAAGCGTCTGGAGGGGAAAATATATCCAAAGCTTGGAAACATGTTGCTTCTCACTATGTATTTCTGAAGCAACAATTTTTATTTAGTCACGTATTCCATATTACTAAATGACTAAAAAATCACTCAAACATATCAACGATTCAAGGTAACATAAAATAAATACTCGATGATTATTGTAAAAAAAAAAAAAAAATTAACTTATTTATCAACTAATCGTTTATTTTATTTAATAATTTCAATTCTCGATGAGTAGTAGATTCATTATTAAACTAAACACGCCTCTGTCATTGGTCCCTTCTCTTCTCTTTTTGTTGTTGATCAAGTGCAACAGGCTCTCATGAACCCGCATGATGCATGTAAAACGATAGCTCCAGCAGCAACATAATTCGAGACTATAATACGGGAATAGAATCACTAGAAAGTTTGCGGCTTGCAAATCATTTTTGATTATTCATTCGTTTATATCTAGAAAGACACGAAGAGAGTAGTTGACTAACATAAGAAACGATACAAATAACTTGAACACACACATTTTTTCAACAGAGTAACAGCACCGTTACTATAAGAATAAAGTCAATGAGGTTCTACAGGTCGACCTTAATGATCATCTAAGATTAAACATCAAATATTTAGAAAATTATTTAATCTTCTCTATTTAATAAATAGTAGATAATAACAATTGATCAATTAATATTTAATAATTATTTTTCATAAATAAGGAATAATTATCAAATCTTGATGTATGTAATTACTACTTCATCCTGACATCACTTTTAGAGTGAGGTACATATAAACTAAGGATAAGAAAGTATATTATACTGATACCAAGAGAGAAAGCGGTGTTTGTGTGTATTAAGATCCTTTCCAAAATTGTCTTCTGACGTTTTCACCGTATAGTAATGACTCGACTTTAACCAATGTATGTGTAACGGAATAAAAATCATTCAATGTATTTGATACAGGATCTATGGATCATTGAAAATCCTAAAACACATGTTGATCACCAAAAGTTTGTTCTATTAATAAGCAAGAAAGTTAAGGACGTGACCATAGTCACGATTACATATACGTCGACGTAAAACTAAATTATTCAAGAAACAATTTGATAACGGAAATATAATCATGCGCCAATTTGATTAAAAACGTATTTAAATGAATATTTTTATATTATTTTTTTGTATTTAAACTGGTATTTCGTCACAATGGGTTATCGAACGAATAAGTTTCGTTGGTAGTGGAAGAGAGTGGAAAGCCAACCAATGAAATGAATGTGGGAGAGAAGACTAGTATATAATAATGGATTGCTTCAAAAATACATTTCAAATCCAAGAAGTAATAAAAGTAAAATATAAAAATTTTTATAGCTGCAAAGTGCATAATGTAAACAATGATAGTATTATTTTGAAATTCTGAATTAAACAGTATTTCAAAAATAGGAAAAAAAACTTATTTTTATATTTCTCTTTCTATATTCTCTAAGTGAGATGATATTAAGGTTTTAGGAAGAACGAAAATATGGAATGATGTCTAAAGTATGCACATGAGACTCGAACCAAAAATGCACCATAATGAAAGATAAATGAACAACAGGTAGAAATTTACTATAATACGTATACCTGAGGATATTTTCTATTATATTCTATAGATGTAGTAAAGTTATAGGAGGATTATGTTCAAATTACAGAGTATTTCTACCTGAACAAAATCAATCGTCAAGGGTAAAATTTTCTTAGAGAAAATGAACAATGCAATGTAACTGAGGGATAATAAGATTCCAATGCAATGCTGGTGGCTTCTTTTTCAATTACCAGTAAAGATATATTATGGGGTCATATTTTTCAAAATTTGAAAGCTTTACGCAAACAAAACTGGAAAAAAGAAATACCTGCAAACTGCACCTACACTGTGAGGTCCGATGAGTTTTACAGAAGCCTTCAGTATCTCGTGATTGAGTTAACGACCACAAAGAAAGCATGAATCCTGCTCTACTCTAGTAAGTGAATAAGGAACTAACAAAGAGGAGAAATACCTGCTCGTAAGCGTGAATCCTTAAGCCAAAGGGAATCATACAGCTGCAGTAAACCATAGTATAATGGTTTTGTCCTAAACAAAGAAAATCTCGAGTTGTTCCTGCTTTCATATTAACTTTTATTGCCAACACGATAGATTATTTCACTATCAACATTTAAAGTAGGTGACATTGATTGTACAAAAATAATAAAATCATAAGGAAATTTTGAAACTGGAATATGTTGGTTTAACTTAAGGAAGTATAGTCTCAAATTGCTACTGTTTTATGTTTCAATAGTTCTAGTGGGAAGGGAAAACGTGGCTTTTGGTCGATGGCAGATGGTGAGGGCAGCTGGTAAAATTGAACCACGCCAACTACTCAATGATCGACACAAAGAAAGAAGAAGACAAAGGACGAGAAACAAAAAAATATATATATAATCGTAAAGTTGATTATTTTTTTTATTGTAGGCTAAGTAGTGTCTCTCTGTTTAAGTAGTTTACACCCACGGTACTATTTTACTTTACCGTGGGTGTGATAAATAGATATAATACACAATTCACTACAGCTTGATGGTAGTTTGGATCGATAAGATGTGAATTTCTACACAGAGAAAATATTGCTGTAATATCAAAATAAAATTTTTTATTACATGTAATAAAAAATTAAACTTTTTAAAGAAATCATCAATTAGAAAGTCATATGTTATATTTTCAATATAACGAAGGAGTATTTATGCAGACAATATTTTTTCAAAGTCATCATTTTTTATGTGGACATTCAAATATAACAGTACATGTACTATGTAAGATAACAATAATAATAATATGGTATTTATGTAATAAATAAAATCCATATTCAGATATGCATAACAGAAAAGTAATGTAAATATATTGAATGTCAACATGCAAGTTTCGTGACATTAGAAAAAAAACAAAAAAATAGTACTGATGTAAGTGTAGTACAATATATTTAATTAAATTTATAAAAGTTTTAGCAGAGTATGGATAAAAAGTAAAGAAAAAATGATATAAAGGTGACAATGAATGAGTGTAGTTAATTTAAAGCTTTTGTTTGCTGTATTATATCTATAGTGATCTCTACTGTCGAATAATGTAAGAAAACAAATCCTACCAACTCCAACTGATGGTGTTACTGTATACGACGTATATGTGGGATACACGTCGAGTAACAGGATACGCTTATTTCAAGGGAGAGAACTCGGCGGAAACGTGTTACGATCGTCATGGTAGACGAATAAAGCCACCAGAAGGAAAAGAAAGACATATGAAGATTCATAAGAGCGTAGTATGTTTCACAGGAAAGCCACGTCCGTCTCAATACAAAGAAAGCCAAGTATATATACTCGAATAAATACAAGAGTTTCAAATCTAATATAACGCAAAGTAATGTTAGTTGGCATCAAAATTTCGAGTGCTTTGCTGTTAGTTTGTACAAGTATATTGTATATAATGTGGACAGGCTGCACAACTAGAAAAAGCAATTGTATATAATTGATGAATGTAATAGTGACATAAGAATAACAGAAAATGAGAAAAGCAAAGACTTGATGAGACCTGGAATTACTAAAGAAGACTGATATACATATACGTGAATATATACGGCAGAAAAAGCCGGAGGCGAGAGAAAAAGGGGGTCTGTGCTGACTGAGTGGCTTCTGAGACTTGAAACAACTTGAACGAAGCGCATCATGTAGTAGTCTGTGAATTGTTGCTACCAGTTCTGGCGGCGTTTCAACACTGTTGCCAAGCGGAAATTGTAAAGCTCGTAAATAAATTGCAGGACCATTTTTCCAAAGTTTGGTTAAACTTCATCGTTGTGTTTTCTCAATCCATTTTTGACCACCGTGACCACTATATTTGCTCTACCACTCTAATACCAGCTACATATAATTATGTATATTCAAAAATAAATAAAACAGATAGACTTTCAATCAACTTCTCTCAATGTTAGAGGGGGAACCAGTCAACGGGACAAGTAATTCCCACGCTTCGCAAACCCTTCAATACCCGCTCTTATACTCTTATGCTATTACCTTGATTTAGTTTTCTCTATATATATTTTCCCGCATTGTAGATTTTTTATTCACATCAAATTCAACCTTTCTGTCCATTTTATTTAGGACAATGCATGTATTTACTATTGTATTGTTATAAGGTTTTGTAAAGAAACGAAGAAAGCATATCAACTCTTTTAGAGCAGACTAATTGACGCTACAATTCGACAGTATAAAGTTGGCGTGTAGTTCATGTAGTTGTGACCTCACGCGAGAGAAACACTCCAGTGTTGCCACATTTTCTGTACGGCGTCAATGTTTTTCTCAACATCGACCTCTTCTTAAAGCTGACATTGCGATATCAGCATATCCATTTAAGAAAGTCAAGTTGTTGTTCAACCATCTTTTTGCTCTGTTTTTTTCTTCACAATTGAGAAAAACATGATTACATATATATATATTTTTTAATAATTATATGACTTATCGACTACAAAAAAGAGATAATCCTTATCAAAACCAGAAGAATAAGCTGATTATTTTGAACAAAAATACGGCATAGTAAAGATAATTTTATTAAAGCAAAAAAGTTTTTCTATTGATTGAAATTACCGTTATTATAATAACTGTGATCAAATCATTAATGATTATTTTATCATTTTTATTATTATATTAGATTTTTTATTTTTTATCATTATAAATTTATAATTCTTCAGGTCAAAGGCCTAGAAATGAATAAATTTTATTTAAATTATTACTATAGGTCACACAACGTCACATTTACTCCATTTTTTTATACGACGACGTAATTTGTAGTATTACTCAACATCTCCACATGATGTCAGCACTTGCTTAATTCATCAACTAAATCATAAAAAATATCGATAAATTTTATTATGTTAACAAATAATATTGAAATTAAATATCCTATAAATACTTATAAATATATGTAGTAATTCATCATTATTTTTATCATTGCAAATATTATAGTGTGTAGGTCTTTCTGGGTTATCTCTACGTCATTCACACGAGTACATAAATGACTATATAATTTTGTTACATAATAATTAAATACTTACTAAAAAAAGTTTGCTTTTTTAATCCATATCGTCGCTGTATTTAAATCCCAGTGGTAAAATAAAAATAAACAAATTTTTTATTTACTATCCACCGATTCGAACACTTGGACTTATCAACATTTTATTTGCCAGCATCTTGTCATATGATATTCATTACTTGTTTATGCACATTTTAATATTTATAACACTTATTGTAATAAATAAATTATTTTTTTTTTTAGTAAAATTACTTATTTGTTGGTTAAATAAATTGACAAAGAGGCATGGCATTGTGAACAATGTAGACATGCGCGGGAAGACTACCATTACCGGCGCCAACGGTTAATATTGACGCATGCGTTTTCAATTTTATGTGTATATATATGCGGTAAATATACATATATGCGGATAAAGTGCATATAATGTAGAATATATAAAGACTATATAGTCTGACTATATGATCTTATAGTCGGACTGAGAAAAGAGTTCCTCATGTGCTCTGGTGCGCTTGCGCAGTACCGAAAAACGTGGTAGAAGGGGTAAAAAAATGAGTGGTGGGGATCCCGAAAGCATTGAAGCAACTGAGGAACTCTATTCTCAGTTCGACACTATTGAACTTGGAAAAGAGTTTTCTGATAGTATTTGAACAATGGAAAATTCCGTAAAATTATTTATCATTATTATTTTTACATGAATTATTTTTTATACAATGTATTTAAAGAATAAAGAATTAATAGTAATCAATTATAACGGATCTGACAAGTAACTGAAAACTTAATTTTAGAATAAAGGACCAACGCAATTAAAAGAATAATACAATAGACTGGTATCGTTCTTAATAGTTTTTATATTACAGTCATGTATTTTCGGCTTAGCAGCCGATCTTTTAAGTATATTTGCACTTTATTGTGTATACTTCCTACATCGGAGTAAATAATTTAAAACAATATTTTGAATGTAATTGTATTATAATTATTGATGTTTTTCAAGTATATTGATGTATTAATAAAATTTGTTAAATTAAAATTGAAAATAAATAAATCCGTTTTCCTCTTGAATTATGCTTAGTACTAAGTTTTACAATTATTATTAACACTATTAATAATAGTAATAAATAATCTTGGTATGTTAAAATAAAAATATAAATGATTTTATACTTACATTAATCCTTTTCTATTTTATACTGTTTATAATACAAAAAATTATGAAGAAAATGTTAAATATATTTTTTCGAAAAAAGTGTATCATTCATAAAAATATATGTATATATTTTTTAATTTTACTTAACAATAGTATGTTTAGTTTAAAATTGCTTTATTCTATATCTTTATTTCCATATTCAGTTTGTGTAAATATTTCTTTGGATTCTTTCAAAGTTAAAATTTTATTTAATTCAGTATTAATCTGAGTTCTTATATGATCTATATCTGGAATTTTATTAGAACAATTGTCTGGATTATTATCTTGGTATATTTTGAGAAGTATATTTAAACAACCTTGGCGAAAATCGTCATTGATATCATAAAGTTTAGCCGATGATTTTTCAACTTCACGTTTGGGAAGTAATTCAGGATTACGTTTTAAAAATCCATTTAACCAAGCATTACCAGCTGACATGGTCGTATTGGAAAACGGATGTTTGATATTGAGAGTTTCAGCAAATTGATAAGCAATTTCTTTTATGTCTTTACGGTCTGGAGCCATTCCGACTTTTTGTAGTTTTTTTATGTGTGCAACTAAACTTTTTTCATGTTCTTCACTTAGAACAGTTGGACGACCGTACGGAATTTTACATTTCTCTGCTTGAAGATGTCTTCTCAACGTTCTAGAGGGTATTTTATAGTGTCGACTGGCTTGGTTTACACCCATTTTTTGACTTTTTACTTTTTCCATTGCTTCATGAAGATTTTCTTCTGACCATGATCCTCGTAACGTAGTTCTTACATAAATTCTTGGCATGTCTGTAAAAGATAGAATTATTAAAAGTACAACATTTATGATTATTAACCATAACATTCTGATGATTTAATTTATTACACAAGGGTACAATCAGCTACAGCATTCGATTACACATAAAATTACTGTAATATCAATTCATTTTCTATTTACTTCTTTAAAATAATTGTTATTTTTGATTTATAATAACTATATTTAACAGCATTTTGATACTCACTAAAATTAATTTAGAAAGCTTCAATTGGAATGTCAATATATATATGCCAATTAATACAAAGTTATAATGATGAATGTTTTTTCAACATTAATAATTTAATAAACTCATATTTTAAGTTTATGAGCACATTTTAAATTATTTCTTTTACTTCTCTTCAAAGCTTTAATTCACAGGTCAAAAATTTTGTAAACCAGCAATATGTACCTGTCTATTCTATGGATGAATAAAAACATAAATTCAATTTAAAAAATACAAATTACTTTTATTGTAATTTTTATCAAATTAGAAAAAAAAAATAATATTAATTAAATAAAAAATAAGGTTGCTTACTGAATATTTAATATTAGAATATAATAACAAATACATGAAAAGTTTAATCTTCAAATACTAAATACTTCATTAATATTCTTTTTGAAATTTATAAATAAAACTGAGAACCGCTGGTAAAATTTTACATAAAATATATGGTTGATAATGTAGATACATACGTATGTAATATAAACAACATAGCTACATATATATATCAGAGAGAGGGCAGAAGTAGGTTTTTCGTAACAACTACGCCATAGTTTAAAATTTACAAGCGTCATCTGTAATAATCGTTTAGTAAGTACATAAGTAGACATTCAAGTGTTGTTTGTGCCAATATAATATTTATATAAATAATTATTATTTTTATGATAAATAAAAATTTACACGAAAATATCAATGCAATTATTCAAAATGAATTACATGAACAGTTTTGTAGGTAATAACTTACAGTGTAATGATGTTGGTTTACAGTTAAATAATGTAGAAGTTTTGTATACAAAAATTCAAAAAGTTTATCTCAAACCACAACTGAAAGAGGAACGTCAACGAGATCTTAGAATTAATGTTGAAATTCATTCTGGAGTTAGTCCCGTTTGTCGAAAGGTATTTAAATAAAACGTTAAAAAACCTTCAATAGTTTCCAACTACGTATTTTTCTTTTTTAATTACACCAAAAATTTATATTTCAGACATTATGTGTTCTTATATCTGATGATGATGATCCTTGTTTTCTTTACTCTCTTCTTATAACAGAAGATGACTTTAAAATTTTAAAAACACAACAGGGACTGTTAGTGGATTTTGATAATTTTGCAACACAGCTTATCTGTTTATTAGAACAATGTCATGGATCAGGATCCAGTACGTTGAAAGTGACTCCAAAATTTTTATTGCTGTTATCTGAAGAAAATAATGAATGGTTATTTAAATTAGTTGAAACTAATAATTTTAAGCATTTATGTCATTTAAGTTTGAGCATAGCTCCGGCTACTGATTCCAATATCAAAACTCATATGGCTATGAAGATAAAACAATTGAAAGAAAATATGGCTAATAAAAATAAAGATATTAATTCTATGGAAACAAGATTAAATACTTTAATAGAAGAGTTAGAATTGAAGACGAGAGATTTCGAACAATTGGAACAAAAATACCGAGCAGAAAAAAGTCAATTACAAATGACGACAACTCATCAATTAAGTTTAGAAAAAGATAGGTAATATTATTGTTACTTTTTTCAATTTTATTTTTAACTTGACATTTTTTAACTGTTTTCAATATGTATAAATATATCTATATATATATATATATATATATATATCATATTTTTTTGGTAAAGGTTGGCTCAAGCAAAGCTTGAATGGCAAAGAACTGCAGAAATAGAAAAAATGGAAATAGAGCGTCAGCATAGTGAAACGTTGCAGCAACTTCATACAGAGTTAGCTGAATTACGAGCACAGAATAGTTCATATAAAGATAGACAATCATTTTTGGAGGCAACAAATAAAGAACAAGCAAAGCAACTGCAACATCTTGAAAAAGAATTAAATGTCACGCAGCGTGACTTAGTTCAGTTGAAAAAACAAAATTCTAAACTGGATACTGATTATCATGAAAAAGATAAATACGTTAATGATTTAAGAACTCGAGTAGCAGTATTAGAACAAGAATTAAAAGATAAAACAATTTTGATAAATAAACATCTGGAAATGTTAAAAAGTAATAAAGAACAAAAGCAACATTTAGAAGAATTATTAGCTGATAAGGAAAATCAAGTACAAAGAAAACATAATGCTTTAACAAATGTAGGAGAAGAAGTTATGAAAGCAAACGAGATAATCAGAAAATTACAGACTGACTTATCTTCGACTAAATCAAAATTAAAGTTAAGAACAAGTATTGCACTTGAGCAAGAGAGGCTGCTTGATGTTAAACAAAAAGAATTAGGAGAGTTACATATTAAAATAGAAGAGCAAACAGCAGAAATAACAAAATTAAAATTTGATGTTAATTTACAAAAAGAGCAAATAAAAACATTACAATCACAAGTTGAAGAAAAAGATAAAACGATTAAAAATAATGATAATGGTAAATATATTAATCCTTTCAAATTAGTAAACTCTTATTTTTAATAAAAAAAATTTTTTTTCAGTTATTAGTTGGTTAAATCGAAGATTAACTGATGCTCAATCTCCACTTCAAAGTGCCACAACGCCAGCACCCATAGTAGTACCATCATCATTTCAAATGACACTTCCACGTCCATCTAAATATTTATCGACAAAGTATGATACAAGAACACCATACCATAATGTTCCTTTATCGGCAACTTCATCTAAAAATCCTACAACACAAATTTCAAGTACTAATCAAACTGGTCGATTAGCTTCAGGAAGAACAACAGGAGTAGGAATTACGGACTCCACGATTGGCTTAGTTACATTTAGCAGAACGGGTCAAATTACAAATACAAGTACACCATTAGAGCGAATTAATGCAATGAATAAATTACCTAATACTTTACCGGAATCAGTATCAAATCCAGTAATAAATGAAAATAACAATATGTTACTCCAAAATGTTGGAAAATCTAAAAGTACTAGTGGCCTTACAGGTGGTTTGCGGCGAGCTATATCTGAAAAACCTACATTGCCTTCAGCATACTTTCCTAAAACATTACACTGATAAAAATCAATATCACAAATATGCCTTAAATTTACCAATTTATGAAATTGACTTCAATAGTTTGATTAATAAATATTTTTTTAATATTCAGATAAATTGAAATGTTCAATAGTACAAAGTTAAAGGATTATGTACATAAGCATCTTAATATAAAATTAATTAAATATTAATTTTAAATTGAAATAATTCAATTAATTAAAAAACGTAATATTTATAACGTGACAGTATTACGTGAATATTTTTTAATACAATAATATAGTTTAAATATCATTCCATCTACTTTATATTTTTTTGTACATAAATATTAATTTAATTAAATTTTATTATACATCATAATTACAGTAATATAATGTATTTACGTTATTAAAGCTCTAAATAATCATTGCAATTAAGTGACGAATTTATTTCAATAAATTCAATTGTCTTTTATACTGTTAATTTTATCACGATGTTGATTCTTGTTCGCCAATCAACGGGCGATCCATTCTTTTACGTTTACGCTCACATTTTGGGCATGGCTTTTTAGAATTTAAACAGTCAGTATGAAAAACAGCATTGCAATCACTGCACTAAAATAGACATTTTTTATTTTAATAATTATTATTTTATTAATTTTAAAATATAAATAAATAAAAAAAAACATTATTACTTACTCTATAAGTAGACTCCATGTCAAAAGGATAAATTACTTTAGGATTGTTGCAAACTTCACAAATAAAACCTTTTTGGCGGCATAGCCAACAATTTAACACATGATTTCGAGCAAATTCAACAACTTTTTGAAGTTGTTGAGCAAGAACACCTGAAGGTACATCAAGAAGATCAGTAACTGAATACTGATGAATATGTTCATACAAATATTCTCGTGGAGTAACTTTTTTTTGTAATAATTCAATAATTGGTTCCCTGCAGGTAAATAAATAAGCACGTAGAAGATTTAATTGTATTCTCAATGTACGTAATTGTGCCATGCTATCAACTGCTGTATAAATTTTGGGATTCAATACTTTAAGGTTCAACAAAGCAGAACAATTGTTCAAATATTCAGCTGCTTTTTTGCTGACGGGATAGTGCTTTAAATCCCAGTTATAAATTATTCGTGAAGGTATTAAAAACTCTTCAGTAGCCATACAATCATTGCAGTAATAGTTTCCAGAAAATGCACAGACATGGGCTTTTGAGAAAGTCATCCCAACGGCAAGTCCACAGTCTAAACAACTATAGTTTTGTACATCTAAACCTTTTTCTCTTGGTAACTGTCCAATTTGATCATCTAAGTTATCTACAACCTATAGAGAGAAATAGAAAATTAATAATCGTTATTCTTATTAAAATGATTAGGATTTGAAGTAATAAATAATTTAATTTTGACGTACTTTAATTTCGGGTTTAGTCTTTTCTTCCTTTACAATGGTTTCTGGTGTGTATTTGGCTAAAAATTCATGGAGATCTGGAGATGTTGCATAGCCTGCGGTATGATAACTTTTTATCAAAGCATCATAAGTAGGTCCATCTCCAGGGGTACGTATATCTGTACCAGATTCTCGAGAAATAATAGATGAAGTCATTGAAGATTCACCATCTTCTAGAGATGTAGACCATCCAAGTTTTCCAAGTAATGAATTACCAACTGAGGTTCCTCCAATTTCTTTAGTAGTTTCTTTTTCTTCTTCATTAACTATTTCTTCTAAATTTTCATCTTTTACAATCTCCAATACATTTTTATCCAGTAATTCACCTTGTGAGTTTTTCATTTCATTTTCTTTCACTTGTGATAGTTTTAATTCATCAAAAGATGTTGTTGTTTGTGATATATTATTTTGTACAACTGTTTGATAAGTAGAATTTTCAGTATTTAAATCTGGTGTTTTCGTACCATTAGCCAAAATAATTTTTAGAGCTTCATCTTCAGTAATGGTTGAAATATTTAAAATTGATTGCGAAGAAAATGAACCTATACTACCAATAGAACTAGCAGTTTCAACATCTTCAAAACCACTTGAATTCATCATATCACTACTAATAGTTTTAGCAATGTCAACGGCACTAAATACAGGACATGATTTCATAGGAGGGAGCCAAATAGCAGCCATAAGAAGTGGTGTACTAGACCAAAAATTCAACAAACTAGTATTACAAGCCAGTTCAAATGAAATATTATCTAAACTCTCAATTAATCTCCTCGCAACTTCTACATGATCTGAATCTCGAATAAATGCTGAGCGTTCATAGTAAGGCTTCAATGCTGAATTATCCCTTTGAATAGATGCGAGATAACTTGAAAGGAGGCCTTCATTAAGAGCTAACCGTATCCATGCACGACAATATCCAACTTCAGTTGCTATTTGTTGAAAATTTTGAATTTGATCAATTATTTCTCGATGAGAAAATACTAAAAGTGGACCCCAAAAACTTGGTTGTGGCATAGCATCGAAATCTGGACCACTTAGAACTTCTGTTACTCTATTCAATAAACTGTCTTTGAGTCCATGTAAAAAAATAGCTTCCAAGACAGAACACAAAGCCATTGTTTCTTCGCAATTACTCACTGGAGTCCCTTCAGATATACCTTCGACACCCTGCATTTCCATAACGGCTGTATTCAATTGTTTCCTTAACGATTCCTTCACCAAGTTTTTCTTGTTTGTCACTGACTTTAGCAGAGAATACATTTTTATTTTTTAATAACAATAACAATTTGTCATATATCACATCGATTTTACTCTGATGATCGTTAAATACGATCATCGTCAAATTTCTTTGTTGAATTAGTTTTGTATTAAATGAATAATATATCTTCAATTGGTGAAATGATTTAAAAATAATTATCTAAATAATATATAAATAACTGCACGTTCAAATACCTTAATTAAAGATGATTTTTATATATAACCTATATAATAATATATAATAATATAAAAAAAGTTCTAACTTGTCATTGTTGAGGTTAGATTTTACAATACTCCAATATTTAAATACGTCATCATAATAGATATATATGTATATCGTGCGCACTTCGTCACAATAGATATTGTTATTTTAGTTTTATTTCAATTGAATTACGATTTTTAGTTAAAATTTGATTTCTGAGTAGTTTAAAAAATTGAATGAGCCCAAAATAAATGGTTGATATTTGAATACTTGAATATTTGAGGTGAATAACCTATCTATGTACATGAATAGAGATACATTTAAATGAGTTATTAAATTTTTTTAAATTAAAAATATGTATGATGAAAAATAAAGTTGAAGATTGATGTAACATTCAAAAGAAACCCGTTCAAATATATATATATGTATAAAGGAGAACTTGTAGAACTGGCTAAGCAAGAAAATATCATGCACTTTTGATGATTTTGTTTATACGTATACGTATATATGTAACATTATATGTGTATATATGCATCCACATACATGGAATACATGTGTTGGAAAACACGCAGGCGCGAAAATATGAGACATCGAAGGTGTGGAGAGAACTTCTAAAGAGGGGGTATACATAGAACGGTATATTCGTGCACTCGCGCGTTGCTCGCTGACTTTTCTATCCTTTATGTTTTAGTTTGTCTCAGCACATCCCTTCGACCTATCTTGGTCGTGCGTAGACGTTTGACTGCATTTTAGCAGTCAACATCTACTTCAAGAACTGTTAATAAATATATATTTGCATGTAGATCAGCAAATAATGAATAATTGTATACTTTTCGAGTATTCATAAGTGTTTTTTTAATGTTAAAATATTTTTTTGTATTATTTATATCTGTATTTCATTTTATGTGAAAACCCGTTTACTATGGACAACTCTATAAATGTTCAGTGTTCAAGTTTGTCATTACATCAAACAATTCTGCACCTGTTACTGGATAACATATACATTTACACAAACGCTTTATTAATTCCTTGAAGACAATGGTAGAAAATTTCTAGTCTAGTAGTTTGAATTACTTAAAAATCAAGACTATTGTCAAAAGAAGTTTCCAAGTGTAACTAGCAAGAAAAGAAACAGGAAAACAGTGAGGATAGGGCAAAAAGATACAAGACTTGTACCTGTTCCGTTCATTTCTCTTAATGTCTTCGCATTTCTTCATATTGGCGGCGCTATACAAGGATTAATCGTTATTCACTATTATAGGATAAATTTAGAAATTAATTGATGATGTCAAAGCATTATCCATGTTGTCTGGAACACATCGATCGATCGTTAAGGGAGTTTCTGTTTGGGAGACATTTGTACCCGTCTTGGGCGGAGCCTTGGCCCATTTTATTGTCTGTGCTATTGACTATGACAAGTAATTCAGCTGCCAATATTTCATTCCAAACTATCTTCTCTATGCTACGATAACTTTACCTAATTGCATGGATTCAAGGTCTTGCGTGATATAATCAGAGACGATGTCACAAGAATTGAAAGCTTTTAATGGATTTTTAAATGATAGTAATAAATCAAGTAAAAAGGAATTGCAATTGATAGGAATTGCTAAAAAATATCAACTTAATATCCATGAAAATATAACTGAAAGCTCCATAAATTATTTAAATTATAGTAATAATGAAAGAATAAAAGTTGATGAAACAATGAATTCGAATAAATTGAATTCAATTTCAAAATTTCGAGCTCAAGAAATCGATATAATCAATGGTATTAATACCAATGTGCCTACCATGATAATTTCGACGACAACAGAATCTACTATTGATGTTCTGAGTGGGTTTGTAAACAACCACTCTACCTCGTCGTTGTCGGAAACAAATTTTAAGTCTTCAACTATGAATCAAGTGCATCAGTCGCATGGAAAGAACAACAATAATAACAGTGCAACTACTACTTTTTTAACTATAAATAGTAATAATAATAATAATAATATTAAAGTTCCAATAATTGATATGAAAAAAATAAATTATTCATGTTCACTATATACTTCAACTATTCGTTCTCCTCAAGCACCTGGCAAGGTAGTAACAACATCTTCACTACCAACTTCCTTAACAGACCTACCAGTGAACCATGAATCTCGGAAAACGAGATCAGAACCTGGAAGTTTGTCTTCGGTAACTGTTAAAAATCCGATGACAATAAATTCAACTCCAGGAAGAATTTCAACAGCTGCTCGAATTTCTAGTCTTGATGGGCTTGATTCTCTAGGAGTGAATAATAATAATAATAATAATATTAATAATAATGGACCAAGAGTTAGTGTATCCTCTGCAATAGCTACTTCAGTATCAAATAATAATGCTATTATACATGGAAATAAATCAATGTGGGATAATAATTCAATGGAAAATGAGTCTGATTATGTAGTGGATCCAGTGCAGGGCAATGCTTATCACAAAGGACAGTTTCTTGGAAAGGTTGGTTGCACCTTTGATGGTCTCATTATCACATACTGGTGAAACTTGTTGAAATAACTTGTTCATTAAAGTATATTTTGTGCTGTCATTGAACCCTCTCAGTGTCTCTTTAGTTTTAAATCATGAAAATATTAACTTTTGTATCCGTATGGTGTTATTTGCCGTGAGAATATGGGGACGAATCCCCTCAAGAGTCGATTCTACCTGAATCCATCCAAGTCACACAAGTGTATTATGATATGAATGTTGACTCTCGCTCTCGTACCAACGTAGAGCCAGTTCGATGTACTTTTTTTCCTTGACTCTCAACGGAAGTCGTTTCGTTCTCACATCTCTTTATCTCTTTCTCTTTCTCTTCGGTACCTCCTGCATACACAGAATACTTTATGTAATAATATTTTTCCAAGGCATTCCGTTTATCTGATTTTTTCCTGAAAAAATTTATCGTTTAATCAAAGTAAACGATTGTTTGTTCAATTCTCAATTTTTACGTAGACGTAACTGAATTTTTGGCATGTCAAATGACTAAGAAAGCAGACTTATTTATTTTTGGATTATTACGTATTTGTCTCGTGACGTTTACGTCTGATTTGATTTTCTATTAGACACATGTACATAAATAAATATACATACATATATATGTATCCTAAATATATATCATCAATATGATGAAATTTATTTCAACAATGTTTTCACATTTAAAACTATTTCCCATATATATAGAATAAAATGGAATAGAAATATTAATAAATTATTTTTTTTTTTTATACAGGGTGGCTTTGCAAAAGTTTATCTGATGACTGATTTAGCAAATGGAAAAAAATATGCCTGTAAAATCATTCCAAAGAATCGTATGCAGAAAATTCATATACAAAAAGTACAAAACTTTTCTATTACTTATCTTAAATTACTTAAAATATTACCTTAATTATTCTATTTATTACTCATGACTTAGATTGCTCGGGAGATAATGATTCACAAAGACTTGAATCACATAAATGTGGTACAAATGCACCATTATTTCGAGGACAATTTAAACGTATATATGCTATTAGAAGCATGTCCTAGAAAGGTAAAAAATTTCTCTTCGTTTTACAAGACTATTAATACTTAATGAGCGATATCAATAGTTTCATTAGATTATTATTACATTTTCTTTTCATTTTAGAGTTTAATGCACGTGTTAAAGTACCGAGGAAAAGTAACTGAACCAGAGGCTAGATATTATATGAAGCAAATGGTAACTGGCGTAGCATATATTCACTCACAAAAAGTTGTTCATCGTGATCTAAAACCAGGCAACATGTTCTTATCTGATGGAATGATTGTTAAGATAGGTGACTTTGGCTTAGCAACACGTCCTGATGGTCAAAGAAGACGAGTGTAAGTTAAAATTATGAGAAAAGTAGTAGTATATAATTTATAAAATACTGACATAAATATTATTAATCGATAATAAAAATCTGGTTCACGGTTTATTCTAAAAATATGACTACAGTGTAATCTTAAATGTCAAACGTGAGAAAGGAAGTAATGAGTATTTTCAGAACTGTTTGCGGGACGCCGAATTATATTGCTCCGGAAGTATTATATAAGCAATCATACAGTTTTGAGGCAGATGTATGGGCTCTTGGATGTATTTTATATGCTTTACTTGCTGGACAACCACCTTTTGAAGCAGCGACATTAAAAGAGACTTACTCAAAAATATGCAATAATCGTTATAAAAAGTTAGATGATACAGTAGCTAGTCGTAGTGGACAAGATCTCATTCGTTGTCTTCTTCATCCATTACCCGAGCTCAGACCATCTTTAGCTCGAGTTAAAGAACATCCGTACCTTACTGTAGAATATGTGCCCGAAAGATTAGCACATTCATGCTGTTATCGAGTTCCAACACTCCAAAATTCATTGACTGATTCCAATGTCAAATCTACCTTTACTCCACCTACCCTTTCGGTACCTTCTGCTACTTCTTTATCTTCAGCATCATCTATGACTTCTACAACTCGATCCAAACCCCGACCCATACTTCAAGAATCTCAAACACTTTCACGCATTGCTGAAGTTTCTAAACCAAAAACTATTGCCGCAATAACGACAATGAAACCAATCTCAGCTACTCAAAGTGTGAAGGAATCGAAACAAAAATCGAAAGTTGGACATTGGCTTGTAAAAAGATTTCCAAAACTTACCAAATTACGACAACAATTTGGTACCTTTTTTTGTCCTGACAGAAAAAAATCATCAGAAAGTGCAATGATGCATCGAGCGCTAGAAACATGTCTTAGTGAAGTTCGTTTTAATAGAACAACACAAAATCCTCTTGCAATTGATGGGATCGTTCCCCTGTTTATTACCAAATGGATAGATTATTCTAATAAATACGGATTATGCTTCCAGTTGTCTGATCGATCTGTTGGTGTTTTATTTAATGACAGTACCAAGATGAGTTACACACGTGATCGAAGGTTAATTAACATATTTTTTTCGTTACTAATGAATAATCAAAATAACTGTTAATTTATTTATAATAATAATAACATTAATTATATACATTTAATAGGAGAGTTGAATATACATCGCCAGATGACGAAATTATTCGTTACTCTCGTGAACGTGATGTACCTTCATTTATGCAAGAAAAGCTGGAACTTCTTCGACATTTTACTGAATACATGGATGATCACTTAACTAATGGTTTGCTTGTTTATTTATTTATTTACTATTATTATTATATATATTTTAATGTTTAAAATATTTTTATGATGAAAAATTTTTTAAATTGATAGGTGGAGAAATAGGGCAATACGATACCACAAAACTATCGAAAAAAAATTCAGGAAATGTTCCAAGAATGCGTCGTTGGTTACGTACAGATAAGGCTATCGTGATGGAGTTAACGGTACCATTACTACAAGTCAACTTCTTTGCTGATCATACCAAGATCGTCGTGTCAGAAGGTACACGAGCTCGAGATTATCTTGTGACATATATCGATGCTAATAGACACGCTACCTCTTACTGGTTAAATGATTTGCGTGATTTTGGATGTACCACAGAACTTTATGAAAGATTAGATTACGTTTGCAAAGCTTCACGTGAATTTGCTCATCTAGAACACAATGCAGCGTGTTCTGAAATTTCAATTAACTGCGGAACGACTTTAAGAGCTTGAGCTTTAATTAAATATGTCTTCCGATGCAATATCTTTAAAGACAAAAAATAATTATTATTAATAAATCTAAAATAGTAGTGATAGATTAGCCATTAATATAAGTCTAATTATTTTTATTAAAAAGAAAAATATATTTTTGGATATTCGTCAATAATTATTAAATCGATATAAATGAAATTATTTGAAAAAGTGACGAAATCTAGTGGCAAAATTTGTTGGTTTTTTTTTTAATAAAAAAATATGTTACATTTAACTGTTTGTTTTATTAACAAGTTATTTACTGTTATTATAACTGTGATTTGTTAAAATCATTGTATCGTAATAATTATTTAGTAAGTAACTTTGTAATACGTATTAAATATCGGGATAAGAATCAGTTAGTTATAACTATGACATCAAGTGCACAATATATTGAGTATAAACAACTTATTAATGCACACGTCGAATGTTATAGTTAAGAATATATATATATATATATATAATAATAATATATATGTATGTATTTATTATTTTTTTTTATACAATTTTTTTTGTTTCCTTTCACTTAATTTGTGTATACTTGAGAAAGGATCTCGTGTGTTATATGCAGCAAAACTGTATTTATAAGCCAATACAACGATCTCAAACTAATTTATTCTTTTTGTCTTTATTTTATACTCTTACATTATTGATTATCCTTGAATATTGATTTATTAAAACCTAATTTAGTAATATTAAAAGAATTTAGAATTCATATTGTGTGACGTAAATGAAGATTTTAGCAACTGCACTACCAGCAAAAGTAGTCTTATGATAAATTTCCATGCTAAGATCAAGTTCAATTTCTTGAGGACCGGGTAGCATACGTGTAAGAACGAGAATTGCTTGGGTAGGTGATGGTCTTCGAAGAGCAAAACAAGATTCTGTCGCTCTTGTAATTCCCGGTGGTGCTCTAGCATCTACTAATGCCATACTAAACCTCATTATAGATCCTGGTAAATGCGTACCTCTCATGGTGAATAATTCTAATTGTCCTGTTGGTGGTAGAGGAAACATACTGACAAATGTGATGAAATTATACGAATAATGGGATGGTGATCGGAAACATGCCAAATCATCACTCGAACAGTAACGAGAAGATCTAACACATCGGCTGAAATAAAAAAAAATTTCATTCATTAATAATTCTCGATTTAAATATTAAATTTATTCAAATTATTTACTTTCTTCTTTGAGGATCTAAATGATATCCTGATGGGCAATTAATTTTATTACATCGAAAACTACCTCTAGTGTTTTGACACATTTCACTTGGATTTTGACAGACACGGCCAGTAGCACATTCATCAATATCTATTTGAAAATTAATCAATTATAATTATTCTAAAATAATATTAAATTTAGATTTAAAAAATACAGATTTTTAAAATGATTAAAAAATTTTAATATTTAATATTATAAAATTCCCTAAAGATACCTTGACATGTTCTACCATCAATTCCAAGTCTATATCCTTCGGGACAACTGCAAGAATAACTTCCAGGAGTATTATCACATATTCCAACGCAAAGATTATTTTCTTTAAACTCTTCACATTCATTAATATCAGTGCATGATCGTTTATCAGAATGAAGTCTGAAGCCATGTCTACAAGAACATCGATAACTTCCCCAAATATTGATACAATCATGTTGACAGATTCCAGGTGTTTTTTCACATTCATTAATATCTTGACAAGAAGTTCCTTTTCGTGATTTTTGAAAACCTTCATTACAAGTACACTGATACGATCCAGGAGTATTGACACATTGCCCATTATTTCCACATATTTTGCTGCCAAAGACACTACATTCATCAATATCAATACAATCCTTATTTGGTCCAATTACATGTCCGGGTGGACATGAACATACGTAACCGCCTTGACGATTTTCACATATTTGTTCAGGTCCACATTCATGACTTTTTTCGGCACATTCATCAACATCAATACAGTGGGAAGTAGCAGGATCTAATACCCATCCGGGCCCACAAATAACTCTAGATACACATCGATAAGATCCAATAGTATTTAAACATCTTTGAAGAGGTGAGTGTGCACAAGGATTAGCAGGTCCTCGCTGACATTCATCAATGTCATTGCATTGTCCACTTGATCCTCGTTCAAAACCTGAAGGACATGGCTTAGGTTCAGTTTGTGATTGAAAACGTGAATCAATTGACGGAGTAACTGTAGTAGATTCTGCAATTGGTATAGTTGGTCTTTCTGTTACAATTATTGGTGTTGTGGTTCTTGATATTATTTTAGTCATAACTGTAGTACTTTGAATAAGTGGTCGAGTGGTTTTTGAGAAGGTACGAGTAGTCTGGTTACGTAGATTTTTATCACATCGATAAGAACCTAGTGTGTTACGACAATGATAACCCTCTCCACAATCATGAGTACCTAAAAGACACTCATCATCATCTTCACAAATTTCTGTTGCTGCATTAAGAGTGTATCCAGTTCCACAAGGAAGGAATCGTACACAGTTATAACTTCCAAGAGTATTATCACAACGTTGTGATGGAAGACAGTCATTTTGAAGTTGGCATTCATTAATATCAACACAGGCCTATTGTATTTAATAAAATAATTGTCTTAATAATTAATCATTAAATGATAAAACAAAAATTTAATAAAAATAAAAATACCAAAGTTAAATTTTCTCGTCTAAATCCTACTCGACAGTTACAGGTAAAACTGCCAATAGTATTTACACATTCTTCATTACTAGTACATGCATCTTCTATTTCTTCACATTCATTAATATCGGTACATCCACGATTTCTAACAAACTTCATTCCCTCGGCACATTTTTGTAAATTTTTCAAATTAGGTGTTGATAACTCTTTATCTTCTATGGTAGTAACTTCAGTAAGTGGTTCTGGTAATTTAGCACAACTGTAACCACCAGGTTGATTATAGCAAACTTCTCTTTCACTACATAGATGCTCTTGCTCTTCACATTCATTAATATCTATATGTTGGAAAAGAGAGAGAAACAGACAAGTAAAAATGTTGATTACTTAATCATCATAGTATTATTAAAAATAATTTTAATATTTAATCGTAATAAAAATTAAATAAGAAACAATAAAACAACTCATTTAGACATTAAAAGTATAAAGCAATAAGCAAGCAAAATTGGTGCAAAATTACTCTGAAAGATTATTTTCAAAAAATGGATAAAAAAAAATAGAATTATTAAAAAATGTCATCAATCATAGGTACCTTCACATTGTCTTGTACGAGAATCATACTGATAGCCAGTAGGACAAGCGGGACGTCGTCTTGTATGAATGATCGTTGCTGGTCTTTCACATTTGTAAGAACCAGGTAAATTAATGCATTTTTCAGATAATCTTGCGTCACATGGAGATCTTGTAATACATTCATTAATATCTTCACATTGTTGGCTTGCTAAAGAATATCTGTATCCATCCATACACTCAGGAAGTCTTGTGACACAATCATAAGTTCCAATCCGATTTACACAATATTGATGTAAACTTGAGGAACATGTATGAAGCTTTTCATTACATTCGTCAATATCAACACAAGACCCATTAAAGATACGTCGAAATCCTGGAGAACATGAGGTTACCGTTTCACACACATATGAACCGTTAGTATTTCTACAAATTTGCGTAATTTCTGTACAGTTATGTCGACCAAGAAGACACTCATCAACGTCTTGACATTGTTTAGTGAATGGTTCAAAAAACCATCCTGTGTTACATAATGGAAGACAGTCGTAGCCACCAAGACGATTAATACAACGTTCATGATCCTGACAACCTGGGCCTTCTGTACATTCATCAATATCCACACATGTATTTCCATCTCTATGATATCCTAGTTCGCATACAGAATCTCTAAGCGCTGAAAACTTGGCTGATGATATTGGAGATGAAAATAAAGACTTGTTTAAATAAGCCTGACTAACAACATAATTATTTTCAACGTTCTTCGTCGCCGCTAGTTCATTATCAATTAATTCATTATCATTGTCATTTACATTAAAATGATCTTTTGAGATTTCTGATGCTTCTGAAGGCATTCTACATTGATAAGCTCCAGGAGTGTTTACACAAATAGATCTGATACCAGGACATGGATTATCAATTTCTCGACACTCATTTACATCTAACCAATAAAAAAATAAAAGATATAAAAATATAAATAAATAAAATATAATTTATTCATGCTTTTTACTTACATGCTTTGTGCTAATAATGACAGCATGCCACGTGCATCTGTTATAGGTTTTCAATTTTTAAAATTAATTTTTTTTTTTCAAAATTATATTCACAATGCATATGGTTATCGAGTTTGAATTGCAGTATTATAAATAAAAATAACTGACTTACCAAGACAAATTCCTAAACTACGACTGAAAAAAAAGCCTTTACGGCATTGAACATCGCATTCATACGCTCCTTCTGTGTTTCTGCATTCTTCAACTTGTGCTAAACAACCGTGAAGCCCTTCAGCACATTCATCAACATCTGCAATAACATGTTTAAATGTTTAAGATATAATAGTCTGATTTAAAAGTTAAAAAAATGATAATTTTTTGAATTATTTATTAATTTAATACCTTGACATGTTTTAGTAGTGATATTAAATTTGAATCCTGCTGGACAAGATTTAGATGCCGTCAGTTTGTGACAAGCAAAACTTCCCTGGGTATTGACGCATAGATGAGTATCATTAGGACAAGGTGATTCGGCAAGTTCAATACATTCATCAATGTCTGATATAATAAAATATGTCGTTTATTTATTTAACTAATTATTCCGAATCTAATGTTTATTAATTAAAGTCATTGTGATAACTACAGTGAAATAATTTTGTTACTTGAGCTTACCAATACAACTTTCAAGCAACTGATCCCATTGATATCCTGGTGGACAGGATTCTTTTACATCCCGTTGGTTTTCTATTATTGAGTGTAAAAACTCTTTTTTATTGGCAATACAAATATAAGACCCAACAACATTTTCACACTTATTTTCTAGTGAACAAGGATTTTCCTGGCATTCATCAACATCTTTAGAACAATAACACAGAAATGAAGCAACAATGCAAGCAGAATAACAATATAACATATAAAAAACATAAAAGAGAACATGAAAAACAAGTCACGCAAAGAAATGAGTTTATTGAATGTTGTCATACGTACCATCACAGACGCGAGCTGTTAAATTATATTGATATCCTGGTGGGCATTTCGATTTTGTTTTATTACTATCTCTCGATTTAGTTGTAGTTTTGTAAGTTGTAGTATTTACTTGCGATAATTTTAATTCACACGAATGATTATCTTTAGCTAAATGAAAACCTGGATCACACTCACATTTAACATCTGTTCCAGTATCTATACAACGATGTTCACATGGATTATCTGACTCGCATCTGAAGGTAATTAATTTAACAGTTATAAAGTACTCAACAACACTGCGAATTATTTCTTTGAATCGAATAATTTTTGATAAATTCCTTTAAATAAAAAAAGTTTTATTTAATACCGATTTATTGGGCCATCTGTTCTACATGTTTTTTCATCTTCTAAAAGAACGTAACCTTCTGGACATTTACAATAATAAGATCCAGGTGTAGGAATACAAATATGAGAACATAAAAGGCCTTTTAATAAAACGCAAATATCATCAATAGCTGCAAAAATGATTGAATTATTTAAATATAATATTGAATCTTGATTAAAGAGATAAATTATTATTCTTACGAGGAGTTGGAACAGTTGTCTGGCCATCAAAAGACGAAAATTTATAAGTGGATGAATCTGAAGTAGATAAAGTTGTTGAAATATTGTCTAATTTAGAAGAAAGAGTTGACGACATCAAAATGGGAGTTGAAAATTCGAAAATCAAAGTAGATGAAGTAGTTAATGAATCACTAGAATGGGTTGATGTCAATGTTGTTAACGATTTAGTTGTTTTATTAAAACTCGTATCATCATCACTACTTGTAGAGGTTTTTTTTGATTCAGCAATTGTAGAAAATATTGTTGTAGATGTTAAAGCTTCATTACAACATTCTAAAAATGCTGGATCCCAGGGATTACCAAATGAAAAATCACTAAGAGTACATCCTTGACCCATAGCACCCGTAAGTATTCCTAAAAGAATTCAAGTATTTTTGTAAATTTTATAAAATTCAAAATAATAATAGAAGTAAAATACCTAATTTACAGCCTTCACAACAATCTCGTTGATTGTTTTGAGATCTAGATGATCCTAAATTGATGTTTGAACTTTCCGCACAAGCCAGGCCTTTACGAGCATTTTGTTTACCTTTCTCACATCCTTTCTCATGATAAGCACGAACGCAACAAATATCTATCGCTTCCAAACATAAAGTTTGTTCAGCTTTAGGAACTCCCGGGACAGGCCCGGTATATTTCTCACATCTTAAATCTTCTTTTGCCCAAGATGTTCCAATATCACAACATGTTTTAAATCGACTTTGTGCTGTAACTTGGCAAATATTTCCTGAAATATTTCAAGATATTTTATAACATTTTAATTGATTAGTAACGTACTTAACTTTTAATATTTTTTTATTGTTATCATTTATCAAGAAAATGTTGATCGTGATAAGAATATTACGATATATGTATGTTATAATAAAGATGCTCGAAAGGGAATTGGAACAAGGTCAAAATTCTCTGGACCATTTAATTTTGTATAACTTTTATAAAATTATAAATTATTATGATAATGATACATACATATATATTCAATTTGAGATTATTATTTAAATATTTTTAAATGTTCAAGTCACGTATAGTATTATCTATTTATCTAAAAATCTCATTCAAATAAAAAGTAAATTTTTTACGTTTTTTAATGTGATGAATTCTTGTAATTTTCTTTTGCGTCAACAAATCATAATAGTAAGATAAATTAGTATTTAGGTTATTATGATTATTAAATTATTGGTTTTATTGCTATTCTAATTAATTAATAACATACCTTGAAGAAGAATAACGATTAAACAGAGATAGAAAGATCGCCAATCAGGCGACATTTTAAATCCAATGTAAAAAACTAAAATAATGAAATTTAATAATTTTGAATAAATCGTTGAATGAAATAGAAATGAGAGAGGACAAATTATCACTTAGTACACGAGCTATTGTGAGGTTTACACGTGCCAGCAGAAGCAACAACCGCCAATTACAAACTGAAGATGTTGAAGACTTGGTTGGTAAGAGACACTAAAGAGACACAAGAGCGTAAAAGGATTGAATCATGGGTGGTGGGTGCTTCGTCGCTCACTTTTTACACAATGTCATGTATTCCATCTTAACGCAGTAAGTTGATTCTTCAGTTTTTCGAGTCTTAAAGTTATCCTAGGGATTATTGAAACGACAGATGGCCCAATGAATTCAGTAACAAATTTTTAAGCAGACTGTGTGATAAAAAATAATGTAGTAAAATAAATCAAATGTCTCCAAGTCGATAATCTGTCTATTCCAAGAGTGTCTGATATTTTATTCAGTCAAGTGGTATGGTTGTTCTTAAGCGTATCGTTTTTTGTCCTGTTTTGAAAGAGCAACATGTGCGCAACGCAACCAATGATCTCAATAGCTATAATAAACTAGATTCTTCTCACGGTGATTTGATCTTTTTAGAAATTATAATGGTAATACACAGTTTAACAAAACCTTTTTTTTTCACAATACATTTGTTTGTATCAATTTAGTTGAATAACATTTATTTTGTTATAGTTGATATAAATATAATTGATTTTTTATTATTATATATTATGATATTGGATGATCTGAAAAATAAAAAAAAATTATTTTACAAAATAGAATAATTTGAAAATAATTAAAAAAATAATTGAAAAATTACTGTAACCATTTTCTGACGTTCTTCTCGAATTATTTTTATTTATTTTGTTCCACCAGATTTTATTCAATCTTTGTCGAAATTTTGGAGTCGTAAATGTATATAAGAGAGGATTAATAGCACTATTAACTGGTAGAATAAAGACAATTAACCAAGCATGAAGATCGGCTAAAAAGTTATCAGAATGATGATTATTATTACATTATATATTATTTTAAATTGAACAAGTTGATATAAAATGTGATGAATAATAAAACGTACAAGAAACAGGATTTTTCAAAAATACAAAGATTTTGAGAGAAATAATGGGTGCCCAACAGACTGCCTCGGTAAAAACAATAAGAAAAAATCTCATGGCAAATTCAGAATCTTTCACAGTTAAAGGAGTATTATGTCTTGTTCTCCAAATATTTGAAAACATTCTTAAATATACATAGAAATTAATTAATAATCCAAATAGATTTATTCCTAAAAAAATAAAAGCTGAATACTGCCAGCCAATAATGAAAGGATCATCGATGTGTAAAGGAAAGCACATTCCATTTAATCCGTAAAATCTTGTACTGTCATTCCAGTAAATTGCTACAATAAAATAATTTAAAATGACTTTCTTATTTACTAAAAAATAAAAAAATATAAAAGAAATAAATATAAATTGATTTACCAGGTGTCAAAGCAAGAGTTACTCCAAAAACCCAAATGATAATCATTGAAATAATAGCAGCATAAGGGGTTAAGACACGTTGTTGACTTTTAAATGGTGCAGAAATAATTAAAAATCTTTCAATAGATATAAAGGATAAAATTAATACAGAAACTTCAGATGACGTCATTGCTAATATCCCAAGAAAAGTGCAAGACCACGAAGACATCCATGTATTTGCATTTCTTTTGTAACTATTTCGAAAACTTATATCTTCAAATCCAATGATTAATAAATATAAACCCATCATCAAATCTGATACTAAAATAAAATCAATGATCGAAAGTTCTGATTGGTCTGATTAACATTTCATTACCAACCTGAAAGGTTTTTGATCATGATGCTAAGAACTTTGTTCTCGTTTTTAGCTGTAAAACGTCCCCAAAGTACTAATACATTACCTAAACAAGTAATCATGGCTATTCCCCAGACTGAAGCGCGAAGTATCGGTTTCTCCAATAAATGTGATAATGAAGATATTCCTATTTAAGTAACTATTAATATATTTCGGATACTAGGAAAATAAATTTTATTATTTTATAAAATATACCATCAGTAAGTGGGAAACATTTTTCCACATTAATTGCATAGTTTGTGCAGTAATAAAAATTCTTCAAATAGCTACAATATTAATAATTTATTATTTCAATTGTTGATTACTTTCAAATTAATTATAAAATATAATATAAGTTTACTTACATTGATTTTAAATTTTTAAATTGATCAAATACATTTTTTTCAGCATTTTGTATGGAAATTTTTTCAATTCCACTAAAAAATGTATCGGTAAGAAAAAAATAATATAAAAATATTAAATTTTTCATATACTTAAAAAATAAAAATACTCACAGAGTCCGAAGGTTCGTGAGTGGTTTCAATACATCAATCTCCAAGTTATCGATAGGATTATATCCGATTATTCTGGAAAAAAATATGTTGTATTATAAATGATATAGGTGAATCAAATTTACATTATATTATGTCCTATCATAATACTTATCGTGGGAATTTACAGTTGCGTTATTTTGAAATAAAAAGACATTTTTATAAAAATGTCTTCTACATTAAAGATAAAAATAACTATTTAATATTTACAATATACATATATGGTTTATATTAAAAATTATATATTTTCTCAAAGGCCCAGTTGGCTACTGATTCGAAATTATAAATTTTAAAATGATCGATCTTTTGTAAGCATTATTAAAATTTATATTTTTATGAGTAATCAAGTCATTCTGTGAGATTGTATACTTATCCCAATATAACAAACAACATCCATTAATGGAGGTAAACATGTTCCTCTTAATGATTCTCTTACTTTAGGGATTCATTGTCAGGTCATTTCTTTACAATAATCGTACTTTATTATATGTAATTTCTGCAAGGAGATAAGACAAAATTCTTATCCCAATTAATGTATCTATGGTTCCCATTGTAATTGTTTTAGCTATTTAGCATCAATACTTGATTTTTCACTTACAATTTTGAAAGTCTTTGCAAAGGACAGAATAAATTGTTGGGAATATTTGTTAAATAGTTGAATGCTATATTTCTGAATAAAAAAGATTTATTAGACGATTTTTTTATTTCCTAATTCAGCAATTGATCGTTGTATAGAACATTTTATTAATATTAATATTAATTATACTCACAATTCCGTTAAATTATAAATATTATTAAAAGCATCAATGTCGATATAGAGTAAATGATTTTTTTCCAAGTTTCTAAAATCAATTAATCAATTTGAAGAATGTATTTATGGTGATACTAAATATTCATTATTACTGATAAAAATATGTCTTTCTTACAATGAATTTAAAGATGGGAGTAGAGAAAATAAATTACTGCTTATTTTTTCAATTTCGTTATTATATAAAATTCTAAAAATGAAAATTTTTAATCATTAAAAGTATCAATTCTATTAATTTATAAGTATAAAAAAATTCTTACAACTTTTTGAGAGCAGGAAGATGAGGTAAAATAAGATTGTCATACCTTAGAATATTATTACTTAAATTACTGGAAAAAAATAATATTATTATTTGAATAATTTCATTATATAAAACTTATATCTTACATCCATTCAAGTGAAGTACTGTTTTCCAAGTCTGAAAAATCAGCCCTGATCATTTGATTATTATCAGCCAAAAGGGTTTCAAGTGATGATAATCCAGAAAAATGTCCTGGACTCAATTCTTTTATCTTGTTATTCGATAGTACTCTTAAAAACAATCAATTACAAGTAAATAATTATAAAATTATTTGGAAATATTTATTTAATGAAAAATGTAACTTACAGCGTTCGAATTTCCGTATATTTTGTAAAATCATTAGTGAGTGATTTCAATAAATTATTCGAGAGAGATCTATTAAAATAAAATTAGTTTTTTAAATAAATTATTATTACTTTTATTATTATACAGTATAAAAACATTCTTACATGGTAGTGACATTTAGCGATAAGTCTTGTGGAATTTCTTTATATCCTTCACAAACAACTAAACAATTCTTACATTTACATTTTTGTTTTGGACAATGGGATGGATCTGAAAATTTACTCACTAGTTAATTTATATATGTATATTGTGTGGTCATATAACTATATTGTTTTTTATTTAAATATTATAAAATATATACCACAAACGGAGTCTCCAAGTTTTTCTTGGTCTTTTAAAAACCATTCCCAATTATTTCGATCATCAGCTTCTTCGAATTAATTTAATTTTATTTAATACATTTTCAAAATAAACTATGACTTTTTAATAATAGAAACTTACGACAATCAGATGTATTGTTATCCTTTTGAGGGCACTGATTTCCTTCATTACACCAACTTCTTTGAGGTATGCATTCGGTAGAATTTTCACAAAAGAATGTTTCTACTGGGCAGACATCTGAATATATCATTCCAAAAATTATTATATAAACGTCTTTGCATACACACATGAAAAAAGGAACAAATAAAATGTATATTACCAAGATTAAAATAATAAACTAATTCTGACAAAATGATGATTGGAATCAATGTTAAAAATCCAATAAACAGTATTTTTCTATACCGCATTTTGTGAGACAACAAAATTATTTTTTAAAACAATTCAGAATAATTAATTTTGTAAAAGTAAATAAATCTTTTCAATTGTTCTTTAAAGAGGAATTGTTGAAAACTATAATAGGTAATAATATCAACTTCTATTTGAAGCACATATGATTTCCCACTCTTTAAAGCACCACTTAACATGGTATTGCGCATTCACAATCTTTATAATATAATTTATAAAGAAATATATAATAATAAAGTCATTTAATTATTATGAGCATAAAAAGAAAAAAAATACTATAAAATATATTACCTATGTAATATAAATATTAAAGTCAGAATTAATCAAGTCATTTTTTGCTGGTGGTAGTGAAAGAAAATTTATTTCCATTTTATTAATGATAGATACATGAAGTTTACAGTGTACATAGCAGTCATAAGCCAAGTACCACTTTTTAATACACTTTTTGATAGTGATTCATATAAAAGGAGCATTAATTGGCATTATGAATGAAAAGAAAATCATTGGATGTGTCCATTAAGCCATCGAATGGACAATATTTATTCCTATATTTATTGAAATTGCTCGAATAACCGGCAAATATATCATATAATTAATAATAATGTCTTATAATTGTCATTAAAGTTAAGGATAATATTTTTATTATTTTCATCAATTTTAATATTTTTTTTTTTTTCATTTTTTCTTACTAATTATGAATTAAAAATTATCTTTCAATGCCGATTATTCGCAGCAATTGTTCTCAATTATTAACATGTAGCAATTATTAATCATAATAATTAAGAGTTATATTTTTTACCGTAAAACGCCCACTTTTTTGCGTTATACGATTATTTGAGAACGAATATACATCTCGTAAATTGATAATAAGTATTTACAGTATGCTCACCATCGAATCTTATTTTTTCAAATTATTCATTACGTACCAGAAATAATATTTTATATGACAAAAACTTGCTTCAATTGTTAATTTTTTATAGTCATGTCCAAAGATTATTCAATTATCTAATTTTAAGCTATTTAATAAATTATTCTTAAACTCAAACACTCAAGTATTATTTTCTAATTTATAAATGATAATAGTGGATCGAAGTGATAGTAATCTAAATTATTCTTCAGTTTTGTGATTCTCATTTACAGTGATGATGGAATTTTTATTGCGTATAAATATTAACTCACACGTAAGTTAATTTTAATGATTTATATTTTCAAGTGATTCATTTTCATTTAAAAAATTATTCAAACTATTTCACATAAATATGTATCAATTTAATGATTTTATACATAAAATTATTTCAATTTATACAAAATGATTATGTTGGTATTATAAGTATTATTATAATAAAAAAGAAAAATTGTATTTTAAATCAAGCTCAATGTGTATTTAAATATATGATTGAAAACATTGTTATAAATAATTTATAAAATTGACTTTTTAAAAACAAAGTTTTAATCAATCAATTATTCGTTACAAAAAAGATTAAAAAAAAAAAAATAAAATAACTTGAAAATATTTCACTACTTTTTTGAATGAGATTAAAAATGAAATAACTAAATGAATAAATGCTTAGCTTTCCTCATTGAATTGTTTAATCCTGCTTTGGAGATGACTACAAAAAACTTAACTTTGATAAAATATTAATTCGATGATTTCAATAGGACAATTTTCTCCAATATCACGATTCGCTGCGTTAAGTTACGTCTCTGTTAACATAAAATACACGCACTTCACATAAAAATAAACTGAAGTGAATAAAGTTATTATTATAGCATAATATAGTAAGAGTAAAAAAATTCAGCTCCCATATATTTATCATTCCTGTTTGAATAAAATAATGAAAAAAGGATTTAAAGTTCTAATGTTTACACCTTGGAGACATTCACCTTTAATTGATGAAGTTCCAGAGTTCCACTTTAGCTTGTAAAGACTGTTGCACCGACATCACCAACTTACCAGGATTTTCGAGCGCCGACGAACAATCTATAAGCTAATTTACATCTAAAAGAGAGTTGATTTCGTTTCAACATTGAACGCATTATCAAACTTGAGGGACTTATAAAGTGGGCAGTGGACAGTTGCTTGTGAGTGACTTATAATCTAAATAACCTGGATGTAAATCCAAGGACTGGCAATCCTGAATATGATGATCGCGTTGTGGTCAAATACATACGAAGCCTTCTTGCACAACAGTTGATCCTCCAGTTGGTGTTTCCTGAGACATTTCATTGAAAAAGTATATTATCACAACAATAAGTGATTATCGACAATTTCTTACGTCCTTCGCCGTCGGTAAGTTTTGTTTGTACTCGTCTAAACTGAATCCAGAATTACTGTCATCACCACATCCATCTGTCGTCATTGATGCATCATCACCCTATAAAAAAAATTTATAAATATATATATATATATATATATATATATATGTATATATATATATATATGTATTTTTTAATTTAATACCTATAATTTAATTTATTACCTGAGTAATTTGTTGTTTACCATCTTGCACACGTCGTTTTTTGCCATCATCCGCATCAGAACTTGGATCAGACCGTCGTTTTCTAGGAAGGGCATCACTTTGATCTTTAGGAGATACACTTTCAGTATTTCCACCACAATTTCCATTCCGATGATTTCCACCAGAAATCTGCGACAAAACCTTCAAGATATTACTACTTATATTATTTGGTAAACAAATAGAATGAATACATAAAACGGGATATCATACCTTTCTCTCATGTTTTAATAATTTTGGGGAGACATATTTTCCTAGGTCTTTTCGTTTAACATGTTTAGCTTCTACCCACATTCCATCTTTTAACATGTTTAGTTGTTCTGCCTGTAGTTCAACTAAAAATACACGAAAAAAATATTAGATTAAATAAACAGTATAACATATCATACTTTAATATTAAAACAACTTACTGTTTTCAACAAATGATTTAATATCATAAGTAAGATCAACATTAAGATTTTCACTTTTAGCAAAAAGTAAACCAATAAACCACATGGAACAAAAAGGACCATCATCTGGATTTAATGGAGGGAAACCTTCAGGATTGACATGTGCCAGCGTAATATGTGGATTCCTCTCTAGTGTACCTGTTAGAAATTATTAGGATTTTGCCATTTTGGCATCCGGGAAGATTAGAATGCTGATTATTCTAAATAAATTATTTATCTAAACATATCATTAAAATTTTAGAAATTAAATATATGAAAATTTAATCTTGAAATAAGATTTTACCTATTAAATGACGAAGTTTTGATTCAACAAGTCCACACCATTCAAGTTGATCTTCAGCACTCGCACTTTTGGCTAACAATACAATGTAATGCTTGTATTTACTAAAGAAATTTGGTGGATCAAATAACTTATCCCATGGTGCTTTCCCTAACATTATTTCCTGAGTTATTGCTAAACCATGTTCGAATGCCTCTTTCATTATTGTCCTTGTTGACATTGATACGTTAAATGTTGAATTTTGTTGTGGATATGCTGGAGTAATGATAGGCATCAAATGATAACGGTCTGACATGTTAATCTGTTAATCAAAAATTTTTTATATATCAATAAAAGTGTTTATTCCAATTTTTAAAATATTATTATGTACATAATAATAAATATTTACCCTAGGATCCCATACAGGAAAACCTAAATTTACATTATCAGGTTGTTTTAATAAAACCGGCTGAGGCCACTTCCATTTAGAAAATACTAAGAAAAATTTTTGGATTAATGTCGCGGCTACGGCATTGGGATACAATTGACACGTTCTCGCAACAAGCATCGCCCAGGAAACACCACCAAGATATCCCATTGCATTACTGTAAATTCCATGTCCTAAAATAATAAAAAATTATTCAAATTCATTTGTTCTATCGGAATTTTAATAAATAATGGAGAAAAAATTTACGTTTTGCCCATAATTTGATGGCTCTTAATGCAAGTCTAAAATTTTCTACGTTGGGAACCAATCGTAAAATTTCATCTGTTACTCGGCATCCATTAAGACTCCTAACACATTTTTGATCTAAATTTTTTAATAATAAATCATCTCTTAAATCCTAAAAATAATAATATAAGTTATGAATTTGTTATCAATTAACAAATATAATATTTAAAATGTATTTTTCAAAGAAATACTTACCATTGTGTCCGGTATTTCTTTAAGTGCTAATTTTGCAAACAACATGTCAATTTCTATACCATCAAAGTTCATTTTTATAACGGGTACAAAAGCTTCTTCTACTGCCTATTAAATATAAAAAATTAAATTTAATTATATACGTAAATTTTTTTTTTTTTTTTTAACTTATATTTTAGTATATTAATATTTACCCTCAAGTCTGAAACTTCTGACTGTTGTTTGAGTAAATCAAAAAATGATGTAAAATAATCTGATCTATAAATATGACGAGGAACAACGCATAAAGCATCAATATCAGCTCCTTTATGATGAACTCCTAATCTGTAGGATCCAAAAGTATATATTTTTCCACCAACATTTTCAGCAACATTTGGTGGCATATTTCTTGCAATACTTGTATCCTTTATCCATTGTTTAACCAAAGTATTTAATTTACTAAAAACAAAAAATTATAAAATTTTATATTTTGTATATGAAATAAATTTCTAAATACTTAAAAATATACCATGTATCATCGTTTCTAACTAATGAATTACCTTAAAATTTCCATTCGATGATTTAATTCAGCTTCAGTTTCAAAAACATTGTAAGGTTTAAGGGCTTCTTTTAACTCAGTTGTCTTAGTCAAATCATCTGGTTTTGGTTCTGCTACACTGATAGCCGATGTCATACCCAAAACCCGTAAATTTTGTGCTGAATTTGCAGAATTTACATTTGTTGTAGTGGTCGTGGTTGCATTTAAAGTATTATTACCTTGTGACGACCACATTTTGTTTTGTTGTATGTCAAGTAATATTAATCTACAAATGATAGTCAATTAGTTTTATTTGGCCAATTGTTGTGAATAATAATAAATATAATGATCCAGGACTGGTATATTCACTAGTTATTTATAATAATAAAAATCTTTGCGCGTTCTGTCAAGCATTCAATGACATGATGTCTCCTTCTCGCGTCGTCAGGTTATAATTTAAGACAAAGTATTCAAAATTGGAATGAAATTGATGTATGAAACATAATATATAGAGTCAATTGCACTTTTGTTAGAGATTAATTATTAGTAACTTATTGAAAAGTTAATGTTATGCCCTGAATGATAGTAAACAAATCACAGAATATCTCGATTACTCGTGAATAAACGGAATTCGTGCTTGTGTCAGATAACGTCTAGTCGTAGTATAAAAAAACTTTAGTAAATTAAACCTATTTTCTTCAACATAAAAAAGTTTCATGGATCTACAAAACTATATATTTAATTAGTTTTTGCACAATACACGAAAAAATAAATAATAAAATATGACGCGAGATTACTACACATCACATCACTACTGACTTCGTGTATATATGTTGCACGAATAACATAGCACACTGATTTTACAATGTACAACACCTTTGTGAAATAATGCGTAGAGAGTGCGCTCTTCGCAAATTAGCTTGCGTCATTTCCGATGGAAAATACGTACAATATAATGTCTACTTCTGCCATTTCTACAGTTTCATCAACCGATTCTACTGACATCTTGTGGAAAATTTTCAAACTAATAGTTGAATATTCGCATTTAGCTATTTGAGTTTTATCAATAAAAAAAGAAGAAGAAAAAAATAAAATATATCTCTAGTTCTATACGTAAATAAATATCACTTATCATTTTTTATAAGTAGATAAAATATAATATGACGCAATAAAATTCAATGACATTCATAATTTTGTACTATATATGTGTCTGATTTAAATGTATGTAGCATTGTTAATGGATTAAATTCTTCGATTACCATCTTATGAGATTGCAAAATGCCGATTTCACTTCATATAATTCCTTTCAAATTAAAAGACGTTGTCGAGGATATCTGTGTAATTAATTGTTTCAAATAAAAACATCTTGAATATAAACAAGTAGTAGTTATCTACCTTATGTAAGCTTGAGAGTACTTTTTCAACTTTACATCCATCATACATATTCAGATGTTGTTCAGTCATACAGAAATAAAGAAAAATGTTTTTGAGGCAACAAAAATTACTGATGAACTTTTTTATAAAAAACTTATCAACAGAAACTTTTACTCAACCAAAAATATCTCGAGTAAGAATCTTAACTGTTTTTGTATTTTACATAAATATATCGGTTAAATTTTTGATGATACTTTTACTTGTCAATTCATTGTAGCTTTTATTTTTTCATTATAGGTTGAGCAGTTTAAAAAATTTCTACATAAAAATGAAGGAGCTGAAATATTAACAGACTCTTTTGGCCGTCATCATACATATCTTCGCATTTCTTTAACAGAACGATGCAATCTTCGATGTAATTTGTTTTTTCATTTTAAACTCATTTTCAACATATATATATATATTTCGTATATTTATTTATTTCTAATAATAATTAATGTTTAGGTTTATATTGTATGCCAGAAGAAGGTGTAAAACTCAGTAAAAATGATCAAATTCTTACAACTGATGAAATTATAAGACTCTCAACCCTTTTTGTTCGAAATGGAGTAAAAAAAATTCGATTAACTGGTGGAGAGCCAACTGTTCGCAAAGATATTGTCAATATTATTGGTAAGATAAACAAAGAGTACTTCTTGACAAAGTATTAAAATGTAAGTAATATTCTTATGGAAAATAAAATATTTTTTAATATTTGACAACAAGAACAATTAAAAAATCTAAAAGGTCTAGAGAGTATTGGTATGACCACGAATGGTTTAACATTAACTCGTCAATTACCATCTCTTCAAAGAGCAGGTTTAGATGCTTTAAATATATCTTTAGATAGTTTAAAAAAAGATCGATTTGAAAAATTCACTCGAAGGCAAGGATTTCATAAAGTTTTAGCTGCCATTGATCTAGCGATTCAACTTCAATATAATCCAGTTAAAGTAAATGTCTATTCTTTTATCAATACATATATAACTAATTATATCTCAATTATTATACCACATTGAAATAAAATAATGATAATTATTTTTAGATTAATTGCGTAGTAATGCGGGGATATAATGACGATGAAGTGATAGATTTTATAGAATTTACAAAAGATAGACCAGTAGATGTCAGATTTATTGAGTATATGCCATTTTATGGTAATAAATGGGAAGACAATAAAATGGTATCATTTAAAGAAATGATGAAGATGATTACAAAACGTTTCCCAAATTTTCAAGAACTTAAAAATCCACCTAATTCAACATCTAAGGTATTTATTAAATTAAAATATATTTAATTAATAAAAATTAATGGTTAAAAATTTTTTAAGGCTTTCAGTGTACCTAATTATGTTGGCCAAGTGGGATTTATAACATCAATGAGTCAACACTTTTGTCATTCATGTAATAGATTACGTATTACTGCCGATGGAAATATAAAAGTTTGTTTATTTGAGGGACAAAGTGAAATTTCATTAAGAGATTTTATGAGGAATGGAGCTTCTGATGAAGATTTAAAAAAAATAATTAGTTTAGCAGTGTCTAAAAAGAAAAAACAGCATGCTGGTAAGTCTTTACTTTAATAATTTATTGCACTAAGACATCAATGATCAATACCCGGCCATGAAAATAATGAAAACAGATAAAAAATAATTTATTCAGTAAAATCAACAGTTTTCATAAAATTTCAGGCATGCTCAATTTAAAAAAAGTGGATAATAGACCTATGATTTTAATAGGTGGTTGATTTTTCCAATATTCATTCTTGCAGGTAATTTACCAAAATTATATTTTATTCTACGAGATAATATTACTTTTGGACAAAAAAAATCATCATTTCATAATATAACAACTTTATCATCACTAAATCAGTTCATCATTCGGCAATACTCATCATTGTCACACATTGATAATGCTGGAAAAGCAACTATGGTTGATATGAGTTATAAAAAAGAGAGTAATCGTTGCGCTAAAGCCCGTGGAATTATCAGAATTGGTTCAACAGCAAGTAAATTAATTGCCGAAAATAATATGAAGAAAGGGGATGTTTTATCTGTTGCACAAATCGCTGGAATTATGGCAGCTAAAAAAACATCAGAATTAATCCCTTTGTGTCATCCATTATCTATTAATCATATAAGTGTAACTTTAACACTTGTTGAAGATAAAAATATTGTTGAAATAATTTCTGAAGTAAGATGTTTTGGAAGAACTGGAGTAGAAATGGAAGCTTTAACGGCAACAAGCGTTGCTGCACTCACTGTTTATGATATGTGTAAGTCTGCAGCATCATTTAATGAATTAGAAATTGAAAAAATTGAACTCATATTTAAAACAGGGGGAAAAAGTGGTTATTTAATCAACGAATGAAAAAAATAGTCTCTCAATTTGTTATTCAATTTTAAACAAATTTTCTAATAAATTTCATTATTTGTTAAAATATTGTATAGATTAATTACTATCATTCATATTTTTCTAAATTAAAATTTCAATAAATTTAATAAATAATAAATTCGTGTATTTTTTCATCGTGTAAAAATATAACTTATAATACCGAAAAAAATTTTTTTATTCAAAACCGCATTTACTACAAAATTATTTATAATTATTATGTAAGTTTTCTTTTCATTGGTTCTTCATGAACCTTTACTTGAAGTGTTGATCGTGGACCACATTTCCAAATATTTCCATCTTTATCTAGAATACTAGCACTAGCAGTAACTTGAAACTGTGATCCACCAGAACTACTCGAAGATCCAGAACCAGACGATCCTGGGCCGATATTGGTTGAGCAGTTTGAATTTGAATTGTATAAATTGATGCTACCAAGAGACAGCAAAAATTCACAGGCAAAGAAATCACGATGTGGAACCACTGTTTGTTGGAGTTCATTACCACTAACTTCCAATGAATATCCACTTGTCTAAAATTAAAAATAATTTTATTTATATAAATTTTTTATTTATCAAATGAAACTAATAAATTCACTTACTTTAGAATCATAGTTTATTTTTGAAGGAGGTGATGTTGATATAGAGATACAAACTGCAGCAACTGAACGAAAAAGAGAAGCTCTTCTTCCATGTCTTAAAACTCCTTCGATTTTTAGAGCTAATTGGGAGCCTTGAGGAACACAAATAGGTTCTCCAAGTACTCTAGGTTGTGGAGAAACTGATAATTTAACAACAGTGGCTTGAAGAGCTTGAAAGAAAAATCTAGGTATAGGTAATCTCACTTTTCCTCCAGCTAGAAGTAGTACTTGTGAAATTAAACATTCTACTCTTGAATGACTGATAGCTTCTTCTTTTTCTTTAATCTGCCATGTTGGAGCTAGCCGTCTCACTTCAGCACAACATCTAGCTAATTGTCTCATCTCTACAGACTCCCCAAAAGAAAATTCTATTGGCTCGCCTTTCTGATATGATGAAGTAGAATTGAATCCACCGCAAATTTTATCAACACTATGAGCCATGAGCCTACAAATATCTTGAAGCGCTCGGATATTATTCAAAGATCCTTCGTCAGCATCAAAAGCCGATTGATATAATTTATGATAATTATCTGCACATGTTTGAAAATCTTGAACTGATTTTCTGAGTTGGGTCGTAATTCTACCATAACGTTGAAAGTCATCTTTGGTTGCATGTACAATTGATAATGCTATAGCCGGTGGTGGAGATGTACACAATGATCTACAAGAATGTAAAAGTTGAGCAAGAGCTTGAAGAAATTCACAACGTAATTTGGCATATTCACAGGCAAATTGAAGACTTCTAAGAGGAGTACTAGCGGCTTTTAATGAAGCACAAGCACTAGCATATTTCGAAATAGCGCCATTTAATTTTTTTACAATTCCATTCTTTTTTTCTTGATCACTCATACCATTTTCTTCGGCTAAAAAACTTTCTGCCGCTGTCAATAACTCTAAACCCGATAACCAAAAGTGTAATTGTTCAGAAGCAACAGTTTCTTTAAGACTTTTGAAAATTTGTGTTGCTATTTCATGATGACCGTATCTAGTTGCTCCTCGTGCTATTCTATACTTTGCCCAACCATCAACAGTTTTTACGACATTTTCAATAGCTTCTTTACATTCATTATTCCACTCATAACCACCTGCAACAATTTGGAACAGTAAAGTACAAAGCATTACTTTAATATGTACATCCGTCATGCACTTTAACTTTTCAAGAATATCAGGAAGTAGAGGTAAAAGTACATTATCTCCAAGACTTCCAATAGCACCTAAAGCTTCGCATAAAACTGCAGTTTGTTTATTGATTTGTCCTTTCTCTGAATTAGAATTCATTAAAGTTGATCTTATAGCATCGATGAAAATTGGAGAGTGAACAGGATGGGCTTGACAAAGTTTCACCATAGCAACTAAACACATTTTTAAATGATACAAGTATTTTTTTTCAAGAGCAAGTAAAATAATTAGTGACTCTAAATTTGAAATAATATGTTGAATATTATTAACAGGTTGACCTTCTTGATAACAATAACAGGCAATCCTAGAAAGAATTGTTACTGCTTTTACTGCGATTAAAGGATTATGTGAATAACAAGCTTCAATACATAATGTAGATAATTGACTATTTTCATCCATATTGGCGTCACAAGTTACTGCGTTTCTACTTAAAACTTCTATAACATCTAGAGTTCTTAGAAGAAGATCGGTGCTCTCGTTCGTATCTTGTGGTAATCTGGTAGTACTATCAATTAAATTTTCTACAGCTCCACGTGGCCATAAATGAGCACCACGTTTCGCTAGATCCAAAAGAAGCTTAAGAGATTGTCGCTTAACTGATAGACGGGGATCTTCTTGTAGATATTGTAAAAGAAGGTCTACTTGTCCTGGAACATCAATCAATGTTGCTGATGCCAGTGTACTCATAGCACTAAGAGTAACTCGAACGAATTCTACTGCCGGATAACTTGCTAACAATTCCATACATAAATCATTAACCATAGATGCAGTTGATGTATCATGATGCATATATTGGAGAATAGGAATTAGCTGAAGTTTCATTGAAGCTGGCGTTGCTTGACCTCTTATCATATCTGCAATTTTGCTACACATAGAAACAGCAAATAATTTTGATTGAGCTGCAAACATTCGTGCTGCATAAATAGCAGCTTCAACTTCAACAGAATCATGAGAATCTAATGATTTTCTGATACTATGATGAACTTGTTGACGTTCTGGAATTATTCCAGCGGCACTTCCTAAAGTCCTTAAAGTCAATGCTCTTGCAACAGGATCATTTGAATGCATTACACTGTAAATTCTTCGAACAAACTCATCAACGTTTAATATTTTATCTAAATGCTTTTCACTTTGTTGGCAAACTCTTAAAACCCATAGTCGTAAAAAATTACTCCCTAGACGAAATACATCAGCAAGTTTAAGCAAAGCTGAATTAATGAGAATTGGAAATGGGTATTTTTCGAATAACCGAGGAAATCTAACTATCGCTTCACATCTTTCACCAGTATTTTTTGACCTTAAACCTGTTAAAAAATTTATTAATATTTATTAAAACATATTTTTATAGATTTATATACAGAATTGAATATAAAATTATTTTACCTTTATCTAATTCAATAAGAGCAGAATTAGCATCTTGCTCCGGTTCTCCTACTCCAGATTCATTAAATGAATTCATATTGTTAATTAATTTTTACTCTAATAAACAAGTCAAGTTGTTAAATGATATTCATACCATAAAAGTTAGGTTATAATGCCCGAAACGCATAACACTCGTATAAAAATTAGACTGGCTAAATATTATATACTCCAAAAGTCCAACAAAAATATTGTAAAGAGAAGAGAGCATGCAGTTCGTATATATTGTCTTTCTTACTATAGTTATTTTATAGTATACATTTTTTGATGATTTTATCAGTCATAATAATTTTAAATCTATGTGTAAAATAATAATTGTTTAAATAAAATAACTGACTTGAAAATCAATTATTATATGTATTTCATTTATATTTGTTTATTTTTTATTTATCTTTTTTATACTAGTAGGTGACGTAAATTGCAATTTACTTTAGCTATCTAATATACATATACGATGTGAATTATCATCATTGTTTAATTGCTCATGACGATAAGTAAATAGCCTGATTAAATGTAAGATCACATGATTATAATGTGTAGTATAATTAAAGTGACCAATTTTTTTGAGGTCAATATAAAGTGTGACACGAAATTAAAAGAGTGTCAAAGACAGATCATCTAGTAACTTGAAGTACAATTAACAATGGACATTATTGAAACCAGAACTGTTGTGGTGACTGGTTTTGGACCATTTGGTAAACATTCTGTAAATGCTAGTTGGGAAGCAGTTAATGAACTTGCTAAAACATCAAATGAAAAATTGAAAACAAATTTTAATGTTCAATTAATAACCGAAGAAATTCCTGTTATTTACGATCACGTAAATGATCGAATTCCTCAAATTTGGAAGGAATACGATCCTCTCGTAAGTTGTTATTAATTTATATTACAATTATATAATTTTTACTCATTTGAATATTTTTTATCATATTGTGTTGTAGTTTCTTATTCATGTTGGTGTCTCTCATATGGCTTCATGTATAACAATTGAAACTGCAGCACACAGCTCTGGGTATACTCGTGAAGATATTACACAAAAATATCCAATTGAATGTCATGATAGTGTATGTAAATTAATAGAAACTGGAATAGATGTGAATAAAATGTGTATAGAATTAAATAAAAGTGGAATATGTGCAGCTTGCGTTTCAAAAAATGCTGGACGATATTTGTGCGAGTATACTTACTATCAATCACTTAACATTCAGCCAAAACGAACGTTATTTATTCACGTTCCAGATCGGATGGTTTATCCATGTACAGTAACTGCCCAAGCATTGTATTTTATAATAACTTATTTGTTAAAAAATTACATCAACAAATAAATAAAAAAATAATATATTTTAGAAAAGTTCATTATTAAGATATTTCAATATTATGTAATATAATCAATCATGCATATATTTACATTAAAGAAACAAAATAAAAAAATTAATTAATGTTTATAATAATAAAATTGCTAATACCGTATTACATTTGTACAATTTTATTAATTATGAAAAAATTAATTAAATAATTTGATAGAAAATATTAAAATACAAAATAACTTATTGATCTCCTTGATGAAATTTCGTTCTTACAGGCGTAATATTATTTTTAAGCTCTCGAAAGAAAGGCTTTCGTAACATTTCAGCAACGTGGCCCATTTGTATTGTACAATCTACGTGTAAGTTTGGTGGTAACAAAGCGCATTCTCGTTCAAAAATTGCAGCTAATCCATCTAATAGTTCGATAAATCCCATTGATAATGCAGCACGCCTCAATCTATTCAATTCCTGTCAACGAATAATTAAATATATTTATTGATTAAATATGTTGATTAAAAATTAATTTTAACAATAAATACCTTGTAGAAATTTTGGGTTTTTTCAGGTAACTTTCTTGCATGTCTTAGAATTTTTTGTATGTCTGATTGTAGTCCAACTTGTCTAATCCATGACGGTGCATTTTGTGAATAACTTCTTTTTTCTGATGGTTTGATTGGAAAACTTAAAACTTCAATGTCTTTGTCAGCAGAGTCAACAGTACCTAAACTATTAAAATTACCTAACCACGGTACAACATCAGTTCCTGGTTCTAATACTGTCAACATTAAACTACATTTTTTTTTTGTATCAGCCCAAGAATAAATAAATCCATACCAATCTGTCTGTAATAGGCATAGAGCTGCTAAATTTTCAACTTTTAACGCACCATGTAAAAGAACACAAAATGAGGGACATTTTCCCTCATCTCCATTATTTTCGGTATCGGATTCTTCGTCTAACGTTACTACTCCTTGCATACTTGGTGTTTTTTCAGTAGGTAAAGGTAATATTAAGTGTCGTGAAATAGAATTAGGGCTTCCTACATCGGCAACAGAAATAAAACCACATATTTCAATCGTTTTAGATATCGTCAACCCCGAGATAATTTCAAAATCAGTTTTTTTAGTATAATTAATCGGTGCCGGAGATAATAAGATTCTCGATCCTAAATTTCCACATTTTAAATATCCTTGAAAAGATACGTAATTCGTTTCAACGAGTTTCTGAAAACAATTGTTAACAGAATTTTTTGTTAAACTGCCTTCAGGAATAAGTATAGCACTATCTCCCCCAGCTAATTCAATTAATTTTTGATATAAAGAGAAATTTTGAACAAAGCCAGGATCTAAAAATTTAATTCTATTAGTAATTTTATTATTTACTTGAAAAATAAAAATACAATTATATGTGTTTTTTAATATATACATATATATATATATATATATATAACACATTTTGAAATGAATATTTAGTTTACCTTGTTGAGATGTTAAACAAACTACACTCAATTTTCCTGGATATGGAAATGGCAATGGAAATGAACTAGATTCTCTTGCTGTATGTACAGATTGTAACGAATGACCAAGTGACATAGGCCCAACTCCTGGATTTCCATCAGTTATTAAAATAACTTGGCAAGCAGTTGTGTTTCCCCATTCACTCATTATAACATTGTTAACTCCATGCAGAGCAGTTTCTATACAAGTTTTATCACGTTCTTCGATTATTTGTAATTTAGATCTTATACTGTCATAATCTCGAGTAAAAGGGCAAATAACATCGTATAATGATGAAAATACAATCTAATAAAAATTTTGTTAATAAATAAAAATTCATTAAAATGAAATGATAACAAAAAAAAATAAATACTTACTAAGGAAACAAATTCTAATTTGGAATTAACTTGTAAATAATGTAAAAGAGTATTTATTCCTTGTATTGCCAAGTGATGTCGTGTTATTAATTCATTTTGTAAGTTATCATTTACGCCAGCTCCTAAAACTGGACGTCTCATTGACAGAGACACGTCCAAAGCAATCACAGTCGGCATAATATATATTACTTTCTGTCGCCAATAACTCGAATAATTTAATATCAACTGAACTAAATTTTATATTAATTTTATATAATGCTACTGATAAACATTTTTAGTGAAAATTGGCAATGTTAAATTACGTTAGCATGAACATAAATATTTTTATCCATGTAAAAATATTTTCTATCAAGGCACAACAATTACATGTGCTCCGATGCTCTAAAGAAAAGAATAGAAAGTAATATAGAAATTCAACATTGAGCAAACAATCAAGAGTGCCAGTTTCGACTAGAATGTCGGTAGACCTCAAGTTTCTGTTAGCCGGTCGCTAGGTGTTACTTTGAAAAAATTTCTCTTTGTTGAGGTTTTTCACTATACATATATATATATATATATACTCACTGTCATTACGCAGACTGTACAGTACCGGACATAAATGCTGTGTGATTTTCCATACGACGGTATAGGGAAATCACATGTATAACCTTTAAAAAATTGAACAGCATTTATGTCCGGTACTGAACATATATATTAATATGAAAGTTGAAATAATTATTTTTCTAAAAATTTTTTTTCATGATAAATTAATATTTTTTATGGTTATTTAAATACTCACTTTTTGAAATCAATGATAAAAATATGAATTTTTTACGTTTCAACAATCAAATAAATAAAGTTATTCCATTATTTAAGAATAAATATAATATTTTAATTAATAATGAACTTTTCGTGATAAAAAAATATTCGACGAATGCAATGTCTTTGAAAATGAGATTTTTAAATTATTTGATACCTAATCAATCAAATTTTAATAATATCACTTCAGGTAAACAAATATATGATAAGAATAATAAGAATACGACGAGAAGTAGCTGTGAAAAAAATAATATTCAACAGATCGATATTTATAACAAAACATTCTGGAAGCAGAATTTTGAAAAGGAAACAATGATGTTAATTTTTCAAAAAGAAAATTATACAGAATTAAGAAAATATTTGAAGAAAATTGATGCAAAATGTTGTCGATTATTGAATAAACTGTCTACTTCTGAAATTATTCAACTATTAAATATTCTTATGAGAATCGATGAATCTCACATAACTAACACTAAATTTTACAATGATGCAATTTTAATATTGAAAATAGCTCTAAAACGTGATCAATTAAACTACCAAGAAACTTTTCTATTGTTATTTTTTGCTAGTTTAAAAAAAAAAGAAGGAGCTCAAGACGTTAAGTACATAAAAAAATGTTTACCATCCTTTAATAATTTATCTTTAGTTGACAAAAGTATTTTAGCAGATGCTTTATTCAAATGTTCAGTTAAATTAAAAAAATTTGAAGAAAGATCAATTGAAGAAGTTTTAGAAAATGAGGCGGAATTTTTAATAAAAGAAAAACATTTACTTATTCCATTGTGTAAAGTGATAAGACATGTTGGTCCTTCAAAAAATTTTAATGTTGAAAATTTTAATCGTGCTCTGATAAACTCAACAGAACATTTTAATTTAATGTTTTGTGGACATGTATTGAATTTATATGCAGAAACTAAATTAAGAGTAGACAATGTTTTATTAAAGTTATATACTGATGCTTTTGCAAGTCTAAGGCATAATAATATTTATCGGGTAAAAGATATTGATAACCTAGTTTGGTCAGCTGCAATGCTTAATTATCAGTTAAAAGATGAAGATCTTAGTGAAATAGAAAAATGTATTGAAAGAAAATTTGTCATATTCAAAGCAGAATACACCAAGTTACTCAACATTATTATTTCTCTATGGATGCTTAAATATAAATCAAAAGAATTAATTCATAAATGTTTTAGAAATCGAATCTTCCATCCAATCATTCAAAATTGTAATGATTGGAAATCTAAAGAGAAATTACAATTGTTAATAAGTTGCATTAAAATAGAAGCACCTGATATCGATATACCATTAGAATTAGTAGATCCATATAATTTACAAATAAAAGTTGAAAAAAATCATAAATTAATTTATAAAGAAATACAAAAAATAAGACATGAATTAGATTTAGTTGATTTAAATATCACAAATCCAATTAAAGGAATTCATATACCAAGTATATGTATGAAATATGGTGACAATAAGTATGCCATTCCATATTTTTTAAAAAATAATTTTTTCAAATTATTTATTTATATTATTTTGATGACCACAGGATTGCTTACGTTGATCTATTGGATGAAACTACTTGTTTAAGGAATTCTATTGAGCCTCATGGACTTATGAAATTAAAACTAAGACTGTTAACTAATTCTGAATGCAAATCAATAGTGGTATTTAAAAAATATTATTTAATAACTTTATAATTATTTTAAGTACTAAAAGATTGTTTATTTTACAGATAGAAAATGAATATCGTAATGATAGTAACAAATTGAATGAACATCTTTATAAGATATTGATGTAAATAGAAAAGATATTTGAAAATAATTTACTTTATCCTTATTTATATTGAAGGTTTTTATGAAATAAAGCATTTTTTTATGTTCTTATGAAATTAAATAAAATTATGAATAAAATGGAATAATTTGCTTTAGTCATCACTAAATATATAGTGAACCATCAGCAGGACCTAGGTATCGCATCGAAATGAGCATAACATCAATCAATGTCCATACACCTAATCCACCGAAGCTAAATAATTTTCCTATGCCTTCTTGCCAATGACCCAAATAAAATCTATAAAACATAAATGTTTAAAATAAATATTAATATTTATAAATATTATATTTTTTTTATAAATATTGAATATTGCATTAAAAAAAATTAATTTGTCCACCTGTCGGCACCAAAGCCACCTAGAGTTATACTCAATATAAGGGCAGTAGACCATCGATATCCCCCTGTCCAATTACATCGTAAATTTTTCATGAATTTTCGTCTTCCTAAGCATATTATATCGTTATTGACCGTACAATTTGTCCTACAAAAAAGAATTAGTGATTAAATTTAAATTTTAATTTGGATTATTAAATTAATCAATTCTTCAACTGACCTGTAATATTGTAAAGGTGAAGCTACAGAACTGCAAGAATTTTTTAAATGACACTTATGTTCCCAATTTTCTGTTTGATAACAATATCTACAGATGTATTGCTTTGTAAACGATCTGTCACCCTATGATGAAAAAAAAAGATTATTGATAATTGAAATACGTTTTATGCATTAACAAATAATTTTTACGTACTAAACAATCAATCACATCAGGAGCTGTACAATTAATGGAATATGTTGATCCATAAACACAATTTGGATTTATATCACACTTTAAACAATTTCCTCCTAATTCAGAGCATAATTTTCCTACTGAACATGTCCCAAAATTATCATCCTAAAATGAAAAATATTTAAACTCCAATTTTCTATAAATTCAAATTGTTACAGAATTTTATACATATTGTTTACCTTTTTATTACTATTTGCGGGTGTTACATTTGTATAAGCAGAACTCAACATCCCTTCTGTAATCAGTATAATAAACTTTTAATTTATTTTATTCCAAAATTAATTTTGGTTTAAAAAACAATATATATATATATGTGTATATGATGATTACCATATCCTGTATTGGCCTCGCGAATTGTATTAGATATCAAAGCAAATATAATAAAAAATACATTTTTCGAATTTATTCTAACGATATTCATTTTGTTGTTTATACCAATGAACAATCACTATTTTTATGATAATATTTGATTGTTATTCGTAAACTACACATTCATTTATATTACACACTAGACATTATATGTTGAAAAGTATATTGAAACTAAATAATTATATTAAAATAGAGATTAATCTCAAAAAATTATCAGTAAAAATAATTTTTGAGAAACACTGTTTTGCAAATAATTGATTCGAGACATTTCGTATTACAAACAATAATATTCATACGGCTTATTCCCACTAGTTTTCAAGAGTGTGACGTTTATATTATTCACTTACATATATATATATATATACATATATTTGTGTAAAGGCATATGTACAATGTATCTCTGATATCTATTAACACCGTGATCTAACACTTCCTTTTTATCAGCTGACTTCCGGAATCAATGTTTGAAGAAACGTTAGTAACTCATTTATTAGCCTTTTTTCTCAAGACTCAAATTACTTTAGTGATGAAAAATTATTTTTTACGTCAAAAACAACCGCAAATTTGAAAAGTTTCCTATTCTGATGATTTTCTAATATGCTTTTAAGTAATTGTTTCTTTTTTGTATTGCAGTTACGGTAATTATTATTTAAAATATCATTAATTATCCAGCTCAACTTGGTTAAATTTTTGTGGATTTATTTTTTTATGAACTTGTCTAATATTATAATTATTAAAGAGAAAAAGTCGTTGTTAAAAAAAAAATATATAAATATCAATAAATAACTATAATTGTCACTTAATAATTTCACCAATCATATGTATGTTCTCATTAAAAATAATTCATCTAATTTGAATTGTTTTGTTGACGTACATAAAACTATAAATAATGACTATAAATGCAACAAGTTTAGATTATTTACATAGAGATATTTTTTAATTTAATTCAACTCTTTTCAGATAGAATATAAATAAATATACTGAAGTAACAATAAAAAAATGAACTCAAAAGAAACAAATCATAAAGGACTGAGTGAAGTGGACATTCAAGTGGAGGAAGTTGAATCAGATAATAATCTAGTGACTGATGAAGATACCAATAGCAAATCTACAAGAGAGAATGGTATTGCCAGTAAAAAATATAAATTTTCAAATAATATTTATGTTAAACAAAAAAAAGAAAAATATTACATGGAACCATTTTTTGTAGTATCTAATAACTCACAGTCCTCAAGAATGGATCCTAGTATTACAAATTACGAAGAAGTAGGTGCTTCAACACAATCGAAATTTAAGTATAGTGGCAGTCACAGCAGTAGTACAAATATTCCAATCAATTCTCACAATCTAACAATCAATTCTAGTAATTCTAATGTTCAATCAAATCATTTGAATACTTGCTTCAATGTTGATACATCACTTATCGCAATCACATCAGAAGTTTCATTTAAAACAAGTGAGAATGAGTTACAAGAAGACGCTGATATGATAAATAACGTAGATTACAATTGTCAAATCAATAAATGTCCACCAAAAGTGTCATGTAGTACTCGTACAACTCCCGAAATTGACTTATCGTGGTCTCAGAGTTCATGTGTTTCAGAGTGTCTTTTAAATAATATCGGAGTTAGTATTGGTTCAACTAGCCAAGGCACTTGCAACTTTTTGAGGCCTAATATTAATGGAAATAAAGATGGTTCTGGTCCTAGTGGGTTATCAAAAACATTTAAGGTATAACAGTAACAATTTATATTATTTAAAAATTATTATTTTATGTATTTACAATGAATATAATTTGTCTTTAAGCGTGACCAAAATGAAAGGCGAGATTCTAGTTCAGGAAATGAGGGAGAAGATTTTTCAGATGCAGAAGATTACTGTATATATACATATAAAGGAAATGACCAAGGCAACGTTGACGAAAGAGTTCGAGAAAATTCCAGAAATGTAGAAAATTATGAAGCAGCGGGATTACAATCAAGTGGAAGATCAAGTCCAGAAATGGATTTTCTTGAAATGGATTTTGATCCAGGACCTTCTTGTGAACAGGTAATATTATTTTAAATAATCATTTTTATTAGTAAATTTTTGTCTTCTTAATATAACCAGTTCTTTTTTAGGATACTGGAGATAGTGATTTAGCTTCTATTACAGAAGATATTCAAAATATTGCTTTAGATAATATTGAGTCCGATTCTGTATTTTTAAATGACTTGAGCAGTGGAAAAGTAGTATCTCGACAATCTGTACCTCTTTCACCCCAACCATCTCACAGTAAATCTAATGTCAATATGGAAACAAAAAGCAAAGAAAATGAATCGCCCTTTGGAAGTATGACTACGAATCATAATCAAGCAGCTCAATGTCTGCCTAGTACTAGTACTACAACCTGTTAGTTAATAATAATAATAATAATTATTATTATGCATTTTCTTCATGTGTTGAAGTAATGTTAAAAAAACTATAATTATTTTAGCAAAACTAGGGAGTCAAAATTATTACAATAACGCTGGAATTCCTTCGAGAGAATCACATGGTTACCATAATACGAGCGGAGACTTAATATCTCCAGGAGATAATAGAGATGTAGATTCTGAACTTTGGGCTGATACTGCTACTGCCGTACCACTTCCTGAAAATTCTGGATTGCAATGGTTAAAAGTTAATCTCAGTTCTACTTTGTGGCATCGAATGATGGCAAAAAAATTGATGCTTCATAAGCAAACAACTTTTAGTCAGAGTGAAGAATCAAACTTAGTAAGAATAAATGAATAGTTAACAAATATTTTTGTATTAAAAAGTAATAACCAACAATAATTTGAGAATTTTTTATTAATATTTTATTTTGACAATATAGTAATAAAAAAAAATTGCAATTACAGAAACTAAAAAATCAATATTTCATTGTTTTTTTTTTTTTTTTGTTATTGCAGGAAAATGAATTATCTAATGATAAAATAGATGATTTTCGACCAGTGGAAAGAATTATGCTATGGAGTGAGCAAGAAGCAGCAATGAAACAAGTAACACAAATTGCAACATCTGCGTGTGGTGCCACATCAGCTGTGAATGCTCTCGTTAGTACAAAATTTCATGAATGCTAGACAAAATTAACTAAAAGAGTAGTCAATAGAATAAAATATATAATTGTGTTAATTTCAGCTGGCCCTAGATGTGCCATTTTCTCCAGAAGTATTAGTCAAAGGTGTTGCAACGCGACTTAGAGAACCAGGGACTCCATTACCAAGGTATCTAGTAAGTCGATCGCAAGCTGGAGCAACCCATAAAGATATCATTCGAGGGTTATCTTTAGCAACTAATGGCGCAGTTATATCAAAGTTTTTTGCTTTTTATCCTGAACGAGCGATATCTCTTTCACATTGGCTTTATTATTGGATATCTAGAGGTGCTATTTTGTTATAATAATCATCTCTATTAATATTTTAGTATTTTATCTTCTTTTAGTACTATTTTTTCACTGATTATTATTGTTTATTATTTTTACATAGGTGCAGCACCTATAGCCACTTTAAATCTTCAAAATTGTGGCAAAGGATGTAAAATTCCTGATGCTTGGCATCATCAAATGATTTTTGGAGTCAGTCAAGCAGGAATTTATTTAACAAATCCTTTAGAGTGCCTTCCTGAGCAGGTAAAAAATTTATCTAATTATAAAACTTAAATACACTTTATTTTTATATTCTCAGAAATAATTACTTATTTTTGTATTAAATATATTCAGCTTGTTTGGCATCAATTAGTAAGTCCAAGTGTCTTATTGATACGTCGTGCGGATGTATTAGCTCATTGGAATCCTACTACCGATTTGACTGCATTGATGAGAATGGATCATCGTTGGCGTAGACTTAATGTACTTGGTAATGTTTATTTTTTTTTTTTTCAATAAGTAAATGTATTTTCGAAATTTTTTCGACGTAATCTCTAATTTATAAATTTAGGGCAAGTGGTGAACATGATTCGTGAATCTTCAGAGCACAATCGTCAACCTGTGAAAGGATCTGTAAATGCTACTCATATCCGAATTCCTGCATCTTATCAAGCAGGAATTACATTAGTAATGAGGTCTGATGTACCAGCAGCGGAAGAGTTGTTAAACGCCGAGCAACTACCATTACTCTAGTCTGATTTATCAATATTAAAATTTAAAAAAAAAAAACTAATAAAGTTAAGAAATAACATGTATATGAATAATGATAAAAGTAATTTTCAAAATGGGCTGTAAGTAATATAATTCTAATGATTAAAAGTAGTAATATAAATCCTAAGCCATAAAAAATGAAGCAGACACGCACAGAGAATGTTAATTTTTCAGTTGAGTAATAATAATGCGATTCAATCAACGAATACACTTTGTGTTTTGAAAATAATTAATAATAATTATATATAGACATTAAAATGATTTATCAATACCGTAATTCGGTTTTATATAAGCCTAAATTGTGAGATAAAAAATAGTTTCTTAATCATTTATAACTACATTTAACAATATCTGTCAATGAAGTCAAGTTATTGAAGGGAAATTAATAATTTTAATCCACCATAATACCTAAAATAAAAAGAAGTTCAGATATTCGAAAATTCGGTTTTTTACTGTAGAGTTCAATTATGTATTTTTTCATTTTTATGAAAATTAATAAACTAATATCACTTATGTTAAAAAGAATTTTAAAATTATTTTAACTATTAGGTAATATTAAATAACATTTAAATACCCCTAAAATAATTAATAATTGAAAAATTACCTATAATTACATCAAATTATGAAAGAAAAAACAAAAAAATTTTTTAATTTGAAAAAAAATGTGTGTATATTGTCATACTTTCAATAGATAAGTTTTTTTTTTTTTTCTAATAATTAGAGTGCATAAAACTGAATCATAGTTATTTATAGTTGATAATTGTAGTTTACTTTATGGTTTATTACATAAAAAAGTGGATAATTCAAATAATTTTTTAATCGTGTACATATAATAAATTTTTCCATTTAAAATGATATTTTACATATATTTGATGAGTTTTAGGACATACTGTAATAAAATAATATTTTAGTTATTATCGTTGACTTTTTTTTACGAATTATAAAATTTTAAAATGAAGGTGATAAAATTTAATATACCTTTCTATGAGGGACGCTCTCATAGTTGATGCTATGGCAGCGGGAGTAGCTTCATTGAGTTTGAATACACTCTCAATTACTGATATCTCTGTTCCGGTTGTGTCCATGCCACAAAAACTGGCCCAATCATTTACTACTAATCCTGCAGCTATTACATCACTACCTCTATTAACGGTCCCAGCCTATAAATTAATAAAAAATGTTTTTAAGTACTTATTAATTGTATTAGAATAAATGTAAGGATATAATTACCACTAAAGGTACTTGTAAAAGTGATGACAATTCATCCTGTTCTATAACAGAAGTTTTAGGATGAATTAAGCCACCTTGATTCGATAAGACCGAATAAGATCCAACTAAAACATTACTGGCTACAGTTTGTCTGAATACCTCTACATTTAAAGTATCTGCTAAAATTTCTTCTGTTTCCTGAAATTTATATTATTTATTATATTATAATTTATATTATATTTGGCCAGAACACAATATGGAAAATATATAATTTTTACTTTATCAAGATCCGGATGGGTAAGAGCTACATAATCATTACAAGCAATAACATTTCCAAGAGCAGAAAGTCTTTCTTCTACTCTTTGTACTTTAACAGAATCAGGAAGAGAATTTCTGATATGCTGTAACTCATTATCTGTCGTTGTATTTGGTACTAAGAGTCCATGTCTATTTCCTAAATAGTCATTAGTTTTTATTAGTACAAAGAATCGGAGATTATTTTATTACATTAGTATAATAAATATTTAAAAGATATATTTAACATACCTACAGTTAATCTTCCAAGAATTCTACATCCTGCAATAGATGCATGAATCACAGGAATAGTTTCTCCTAATTCAGCCTCAAAAACACTATAAAAGTAAAAAGAAATTAGTAATTATTAGATTTATGTATATTTAAATAAATGTAAAACTAAATAAACATAATATGAAAATGTGTAATACCTGTAGAAATTTTCAGAACCACCAATTGCCACCAAACAATATGAATTAGTTAACTTTGAAAACACGCCGATTTCATTACTGTTTTCAAACTGAACTCGAACTGCCATTTTTTCGAGTAAATAAGATCTACATAGACGAGGGGACAGAGAAATTTTTAATTAATCAATTGATCCTTATTGAAAATAAAAGCTAAAATTTTCTTCCAATATATCCGTAAAACTAATCACTATAGAATATCTCGGCTTTTCTCTCTTCTGTTATAAATTACACAAATTCTCGACACGAGGTTACGATTTCTTATGCATGGTATAGGTATTGCGAAATACTATGTAATTTACACAAAAAGCGCCACCAATTGAAGTTTTTTTGAAACAGTTGTTGTTAATAATATTTTGTTAACTACTATCGATAAAAAAGTTTACAAACTTATGAAAAATTATTTAATTATTATACACATATTAATTAAAATAATATGAATTTTTATAAAATATTCAGAATATTAAATGGAAAATTTATTAATTTATTTGGATGATATAGTAGATGGACTAGATGAATGTTTTCCTGAAGAACTGCTCCGTTTATCTGATTTAGATTTTTTTGATATGTCTTTATATCTTTTATCAATTATATTAATATTAGGTACAATTTTTGGAGCAGACGATGATGAGGATATCTCACTACTAGAAGAACTTTTATATTTGTCTGAATGTTTTGAATCTGAAATATAGATTAAAAATGATTAAGTTTATTAAGAAAAAAAAATAAATGGTAGAATAGTAAAAAATTACGGAGTATATTTACTTGTACTTTTTTTGGACTCTTTTTTACTTTCTGATGAAGGTTTTGGTGAACCTTTTTCTTTAGGCGGCTAAAATAGTAACATAAATAATAAATTTTTATTAACACTTATGTATTAATTAGATGATACATTGCATAATTTTTATTCAAACCTGATATATTTTTATGCAGTTGGAACAATACCAAATGTGTTTTGGGATATCAATCTGAGAATCCTGGATTGGAGGGCTATGACATTCTTGGTGATATAGAGCATGACAATCAGCACATTCAACAAGCCTATTTCTCGCCCCAACATCCATACCCTTACAAACCACACATGTAAGATCGTCCTCCAATATTTCAGCTAATGGGTCATCACTTTGTAATAAATCTGGTGGTGTATCTCGAGGAGCTATTTCTTCAATAGAATCACTCTTGCTGAATTTGCCAGAGTGTTTCGATGATGAACTAGAGCTTTTACTTTTCTTGCTACTGCAGCTACTGTGATCACTTAAAACAGGTTCTTCAATGGTATACTAAAATTAAATTATATTATTAAAATATTACACAAAATAAAAATAATCTAGCTGATTATGTTTCATTGAGATTCATTATTTTCTTACCTTCTTGTGTAAAACGTTGCACAACATTTTGGACAGACCATATTTTTGTTTAATAGCTTCATCTAAAAGTGTTCTTAATTGATCCATTGAATCTTTATTGCTTGAATGAAGGAGTCTAAGTCCTTGAACAAATTGAGGATCCAACTCAAATTGAGTCATATTTATTCAAGATAATGATCGTGATAGAGTTTAAATTTTGAGCACTCCCTGAAAATTTTATAGGTTATGTTAGATTATAATGAACGCAACAATAAGATGGCTTAAAAATTGCTTGTTAACAATTAAGCTTTATTCGAATATTTCTAATATTTACTTTACTCCTGATAATGTAGAATTATTATTAGAATTAAATAACGATATTTTTAATTTAAATTTATGTATATATATATATATATATATCAATTAAATATTCCAATAATTATATTAAAGAAATTGAATCTATTTTTATAGCATTGGCTGAAAGATATAAATGTGTTCGTCGATAATCAGAATGCATCTGACAACATTCAAAAGATATAATCAGTGTTTAGTACGGAGTTGGTGTCATTGGAATATATTTATAAGTATCTTGAAATAAAAAAAAAAAAAAATTGAGAATAACCCAATGGCGGTACATATATGTAGTAAATGTAGCTATGGAATTGTAAGATTTAAGGATTTACATATTTTTGTAGTTAATTTTTTCTTTATATTCTATTAATCCTTTTTATTTATAATATACTCCAAATGATAATCTACTCCGAAAATAAATCCGCAAAAATAAAAAATTAAATGCCAAGTGTTTGCATTTAATTTATATAATGATCATTATGAGTATTTATATCTTATGTACACTCGCAAAATAAACTCGAGTATTGAGTAAAAAATAGGATAACTGCAAATTGGGAGAATAATTGGAGTGCACTGCAAATATACAACGATATATTTGATTCCAAGAAAGGAATTTGACGAATAAAAAGAGGGAGTAAAGAGAGTGTGATACAAATTTGACCAATGAGAGACAAAAATAATAAGCTTGGAAGCAATTGGATTTAGGAAGCAGTCACAGGTACATAGTTGTACCATACCAATCTACTACTACTATAGTTATTTCATTTCTTTCTCTGCCTTGTATCTCAGTCGGTTATTCCTATAGTCATGATAATTCTGTCTCTCTTACTCTTAACATGGTTGCCAAGGTGTATGCATCTTTATCCATCGATGCATTAAAACACGAGCGCCCAACTTTCGACTGGTAGTTGGCAGCCGTGCGTAAAAGAAATAAATAATCAAAGTGACCATGAAGTGACAAATAAAGTTGGAAGAACAATGCTTGTGAGTGATAGTAAAATTTAAGTGTAGCGTGCTCTTCCATAGATATACGCGTATGTTTTTAACGCTAAGAGGATAAGTGAAAAACGTGGTCGAGCAAGACGCGCGAGATCATAAGATCGCAAACAAGAAGTTGAGTGCAAGCAAGTGTAAGAAGGCCCCGCCGCGCGCTATGCCCTCACATTGATGCCGAGGGTGACATTTCAACTATTTATTCGTCTCATTTTGTGCCAGTTTCAAGTGTGTTTCCGTACTTTTTCCTGGAACAAATCTCACTTGTTTTACTCCTTTGCATACCACGGCTTATTCATTTGCCTCCAACAACCTCACTCGTGCCAGTCGGTTAAATGCACCAACACGCACGACAACTCTATCTACAGATTCACGCTGGTAAAGAAAAAATCCATGAAAATCTCCAGCAGCAAAATATTCAAGTAACCTGGATAGATCATTAAGTCATTTATTTCACTCATTCTTTTACTCCAAAACTACTCAAGTACCTCAAACATCCATTGATAACCTCAACAACGTACAGAAACGCACAATTGAACAGTTTCCTAGGTGATATCTTCTTGTAAATCATGATTCTCATGATTCTATTTACTTTAAGAGTCTGACAGTGTTAAGCTTAATAGCTAGTTAACATGAAAACAGAAAAGAAATCAAACGAACCAAGTTGTATTTCAAGTACTGTCGTCAAGGAGGAACCTGACGGCGACACGGTTAAAATTAAAGAAGAAACATCAGGTGGTAATCATGATGATGCACCTGGAGAGGATACGAATGAGTGTCCTAGAGATCCGACTCTTGATCCTAGTAATGGAGAAACCAACATGCCAACTGATACTCAGAATGGAACTGGCAATTCGGCTATGTTAGGATTGGTCAAGCAAGAGAATGATCACAATCCTAATGATGATATTTCTAGTGGTAAATATTTATTATTATTATTATTATTATTATTATAATTATTTTTGTTGATAAAAGCTTCGAGATAATTAATAAATAATATTAATATTTTATAGATGGAATCCAACCTTTGGTTAGCAATGTGCTTGGAAAACAAATGGGTGGTGGAGCTGGTGGAGAAGCTCAATATATGCAGCAACAAAGCCAAATATTTGTATTTTCCACGACATTAGCAAATAAGGGTGCTGATGCCGTACTACAAGGTCAATTTCCATCAATTATTGCCTATCATTGTGCTCAGCCAGGAACTAAAAAATATTTAGAGGTTCATTTTTATAATTAACTATTTACAAATGTAGTTTCAATCTATTATGGTAATAATGATGATAATATATTACATAAATTTTATAGAAACATCCAAATAAAGTAAATCAATTTCGACAAAATCCTGCTCAATGGCTAAATAATCTTGCTATGATGAAACAAAAAAATCATCAGCCAACACCAGGCAGTGGATTTACAGCAGAACAGCCCCCTGATATACCAGTACTTGATCCAAATGCTCCAGCATTTTGGAATGAACAGTCCAATCTTAGAAGTCTTAATGGTAATAACTCATTGGGTAATCCTGAGACTTCTCTAGATGATACAAATATAGATGTGCCTTGCCTTGTTCCAAATTCTCCAGGAAATCCGGGTAATTTTTAGTTTCTTATTTCTATTACTTAATAAAATAATTATAATAATAAGAATTTCTATTAATTTTAATTAAAATTACAGCGAATAATCAAAATCCTGCAAATACCACGATAGGTCCAAGTCCTAATTTACTCGGAGGAACAACGAGTCCAGGGCCGGGAGGGCTTCAACCATCTCTTCAAGGTGTCAAAGTTCCTGATGAAAATCTAACACCACAACAAAGGCAACATCGAGAACTGCAACTTGCAACAATAAGAAAAATGCACATGATGTTATTTCCAGAACATAAAGATGATCCTAGTGGTGCATTAGATTCAACACAAGGTACTCCAGTACCTACTGGTGTTCCTGGAAATCTTCCACCCGTTAGTACCTCTGGTAGCCAGTGTTCAAGTAATATGGATTGGCATAAATTACAGCATCAATTTCTTGATGGAAAAAATAAGGTAAGTATTATTTTTTCATGTTTTTAAATAACTCATTTAAAAGTTTTTTTTTATTTAAATATATTTCTCGTTTAGGTACTTAGAGAATTTTCAGTCAATAATATTTATTTCATTTTTTTTTCTAAATTTCAAAATAATCATTAAAATAATATATAATTATAAACAATTTCATGCCAACATATGTTCAACGTTTTAAAGTACTATATTAAATATAAATAAGGATAAAACACCGAAGATATGTAACAAAATTAACTGAGAAACTAATTTTATTCGAGTCTTTTATGGCCAGGATAGTGATCACTAATTATTATCAGGGAGGAGCTGGTAGTCCTGGTTCAGTTTCGCTTCGTGGGTCTGGTATGATTGGAGGTTTACCTCGTAGTCAAGGACCTCCACCGCCATATCACCAGACAACACGATCAGCTAGTGTACCGATTGCCACACAAAGTCCAAATCCTTCTTCACCGAATAATCCAACGAGTAATTTGTCGCTGCCATCACCTAGAGCTAATTCTGCATTAAATTCTCCGGCTGATTGTAATAGACAATTTCAATTAAATTCTCAACGACCTGGACATTTACCGGGGCAGAGCCCGACTAGTCAGGACTCTCCAAACGCTGGATCAACATCGGCGACTTCCACTACGAGGTTAAATCATAGTAATCCAGGTACTCCAGTTTCACATTCACATCTAGCATCATTGAGTCCAAGTAATACGACACCTCAAAAAGAACCATCACTCGATTTTCCATCTAATCAACCACCCAACGGTGAGTTTCCAATTTTATTTTCCATTATTTGCTAAATTTCCTCAAGTGCGTCTGTATTATTTCATATTTATTCTATTTAATTACCAACAATACTTTTAAGAAGTTAATATTAATTAAAAATTAAGTAAGTTTTTCTTTTCTCAATTAGTTAATCTTTATTTTAGAATTTTAGATGAATATAATATATTTAAAACTAGTTTAATTCATTTTTCTGTATTGTATTGAATAAAAAGTTATAAACACATGAGGGAATTTAACATAGTTAATAAATAAATATCGTAATAAATAGTTTATATTGTTATTTGTTACAACATTTATTTTATTAAATAGTTGATGGAATGTTCTGCCGGACGCTCCAAACTCTAGCTCAACAAAAACAACAGCTAGGAGGAACAGTAAATGCTGCAGGAGTAAAAGAAGCTAATTTAATGCCAGTTCCAAGTCCGCAACAAATTCAATATCTTAATACGTTTGAAGGACAAGAATTAACGATTCAAAAACAGCCTAATACTAGTCTTAAAGACGGTAGTTTACAAAATAACAGTAGTGTAACAACCAACGCAGAGATATCTGGAAGAATGATGTCGAGCAATATCGATACGAGTAATCAATATCCAGCAAGATCTGAAGGATCAAGTCCTTCGATAGAGAGTATGAATCGAGGTTTTGGTGCTTCCTTACATAGTCCTCATACGCCTCATACACCTCATACACCAGGTAATGGGGCACCTCAAACTCCAGTTGATGTGAAACCAAGTAATAAAACTTCCACAAGCGCACAAAGTAGTCCTGTACCATTAAATCCATTAACAGATAGTATGGGACCACCTCGAACAGTACCAGCGTCTCCTAATACAAAACCTGAAACATCTCCACCTTCTTCCAAGGATTTAGCACAACCGCCACCATCACAGTCTCAACAGCCACAACAACCGCCATCACAACAGTCTCAAGTTCAATCTCAACAACAGCTGCCACCTCAACAGCAACAACTACAACCACAACAGCCACCTCCAACTCAACCATCTCAACCACAACAACAGCCATCTGTATTAAATCAGAACAATTCGGCAGCTAATAACATAGTAACACCAATGAGTGGTCCTATGAACGCATTTCCATGCAGTAGATCGACAGCTAATGTCAGTCAGCCATCAGATAATGTACCTTTAAATCCAAACAATTTAGTAGGGGGAAGACTAGGAAGTATGGGTTCAATGAATGCTAGTCATTTTGATCCAATTACTTCTCTAGCACAAATGAGCCAACAATTAACAAATACAGCAGCAAGTAATGCTCTTGGAAATGATGGCCCAATGCATCCAGGAAATACAGGAATGATGCCTTTTAATAATCCTCATGGAATGCATATGATGCAGATGGGTCCAAATGAGATGAATGGTGGTTGTCATATGGGAGGTGGTGTAAATGAGCCGAATGATGTAGGAGGAATGTGTATGGGTCTCGGAGGACCTCCATCAAGTTATAGTCCAACTACTTCTCATACTGGTAGTCCTGTTGGACCAAATAAAATTGGTCATTCTATGATGGGACATGGAATGATGGGTGGACATAATGGACCTCCAGGTGGTTATCCTGGTAATGATCAACATGTACCACCACCTAGATTGATGGGTCAACATGTAACAGGTCCCAGTCCTTATAATGGAGCTAATATTCAAGTTAAACCTAGTGCTCCTAACACAATACAGTACTTACCAGCAAGGCCGAATGTTGGTCATGCACCTCGAGGCCCACCAAGTCTTGAATTTCTTCAACGTTTTACAAATCCACTGACTAATTTAGACTCAAAAATGCAATCACCTTCAGTAAATCTTCAGTACTTCCCAAATGGATGTATGCCAAATAACATGGGAGGTCCTCATTCAGGAATGTCAGGAAATATGGGTAGCGCGGGTCTTCCTGGAATGGGTAGCGGAGGTCCTAGAATGGATGGTCAACCGATGAATGCTGGTATTCATCCGTCGATGAGGCCGTCTGTGGGAAATATGCGTCCACAGCCAAACATAATGCGTATGCAACATATGGTTGGTGGTGGTGTCTTCCCCGGAAGTCCTATGGATCCTGACAAAGTCTTCCCACCGGATATGGTACCACCTTCTCAGGTGCCAAATCAACAGAATCCTGGAATATATGTTCCTGGTAGTAAAGCCAGTCCAATGGGTCTTGGTCCACCACCAGATGCATCTCAACCACTTCCTCCAAGTATGGGTGGTGCTACTGGAAACTTTAAAAATAGTCCTTTTGTTGGAGGAGGACCTATGGCTGATCCTAATTATGCTCAGCAATTCCACAACTTTCAGCAACAACTCTACGCCACAGGTACAAGAGGTAGTGGCCCACCTCATCCTAATCTTCATCCACCGCCTAATTCACACTCACATCAACAGTTTTTTATGCCTAAGTAAACATATATTGAGTGAATGTTGTATAAAAATAATTTTTTTTTTATTACTGATCCGTCAGAACTGAAAACATCACCCAGATGGGTGGACGTGACGGTGATTGATAATCTACAAATTATCTGTTTCAATTTCTTGCCCACCACTTTCGCAAGACTCTACTACAAAATATTGTTCCGTGCAATATATAATAAATAATGAATTTTCCATGTCGAAAATTTCGGCTTTCTGTAAATTTTTTGCGTCATTATTCCGTGCCTGTTAATGAATCATCGCGGTGACGTTGTAAATATTTGTGTAAAATCTGGCTTTTCTGTCGTAAATATAGTAACATTATTATTTGTATCGCTCGGAATGTTCACATGTCAGAGATTTATTGCGAACAGTGGTATGACACAATGTCATAAATATGTTAATAAAGAGGCAAGAATTTTTATGTTGTCTCTTTAATAACAATAATTAAATTTATAAAAAATATAATTAAAAATTTAAACAAGAGTCCATCAAGCCCCGGAAGAAAGGATTGAAAAATGTATTAAAGGTAAAAAAGTAGATAAAATGAAGAAAGTACATACTCTTTAATATTATTATTATTATATAACAAAAAAGAGACAAAAGTGGGGCAATGAAAAAAGCTCAAATTCGTTATTGTATATATACGCGATATATATAAATATCCCATCCATTAAACATAACTTCGATAGCATCCCTTTTTCTCCTCTCCTTTTATGAAATTTTTCGTGACCAACTCTGTGCATAATCATGACCTCATATAGCACATAATTACATAAAAATAATTATAATAATCATAATAATATTGATAATAATAGAATAATAATAAATATTAATAATAAAAATAATATTATTAATAATAATTGACTAATTATGTTGTTGATGAATGATTTTTATTATAAATGAAATAAAGATATTTACAAGAAGTCAGTGCATGGAACCGCTCCAGCAGATGTTATTGATTGTAGTAAATGTAGAAATAAACCTAATCGAATCATTGATCCTACCACAAACTCAGCAATATATTACAGTAAACTAATAACATTGAATATTTAATTAATCAAAAACAATACGAAAAATGATTAACAAATATTTCTTTCCACGTGTTTTGTTCTGTATAATGTCACATAATAACTTGTGTAAAAGTGCATTAATAATTTTTTTTATAGTTTCCTTTCTCTTTGAGAAAAATACTCGATTACATAATGTAAAACTTTTTAGCTTTTTTTACTTTTGTTTTTCAAATCTGAGCAAAAAAATCTAGAATTACGTTATAAATTTTCTTTTTTATTAATTAATGTTAGAAGAGAAAAGCACATTGCCATTATTTGTACACCAAAAATGTCCATTTAAATTTCTTTTTAAATATTTCAAAATTATTTTCATCAATTTTTTTTTCAATCTCGCATAATAATATCACATAAATAATGGCAAAATGAACGTATAAATTATGTAGTATTTAACTTATTTTAATACTTTGTTAATCTACAGTTTACAGACAATCGTCAAAAAATCAAATTTTCTTATTTTTGGCAATTAAATATATATATATATATATATATATATATATAATTATTTGAAATTTTAATTTTTTTTTGTTTAATAGTAATGTAATAAGTATCAAGCTGGATGATTTTTCACACATCATTATCACGAATTCGAATGTAGGTAATTTTTGCGTTTTTTTCACCTAGAATAACATATTTTTATTATTATTTGAAACAAAGATGATATAAATTACTATTAAAATGTTGCAATATTAAAATAAATTTTTTTAATAAAGATTAAAATTTTTTACACAAACTAAAATTAGAAAAAATTATATATAAATTAGTAAAAAATAAATAATAATTTACCTCTTTTTTTCTGGAACAAAATCATCCCATTCACTTAAATCATACTTTGATAGATCACCATCTTCATCATCGTCATCGTCTTCTTCATCTTCTTCTCCATCATTATCACACTAAATTGAATAACAAAATTCAATGAAACACATTTATTCATTAAGATTTTTAAAGATATTAATTAGACAACGCTTACATCATTTTTTAATTTATCCGGATCTACATCTGGATCTTCAGTAGGGACAATTTTATTATTGGAATCTTTTAAATTATTTCTGGTAGGACTGTTATATCTGGAATCTTTAGAGTCATCATCAGAGCGATCGATTTTTCGCTTTTTTTTACGTCTTCCAAATTCATCATATTCATCGTCATCATCATCTCGTCGTTCTTTATATTCTACAACTCCTCTATCGTTATAACCACCTCCATATCCAGTTCTTTCTTCAACTTCTCCAAATTTAGGAGCATTGCACATGTTGCATTGCTGTCGTCTTGCCCAATTAACATTTCCACACTTGCTACATTGCCAATCGTCAGCGCTGAATTAATACAACCAATCAATTCATGAATAAAATTAAATCTAAGATAGTTTTAATATTTAGAATTATATTTGTAAAGTATTTTTAATGTACCTGGGACTCATTGTTTATAAACTTTTTTTTTTTTTCTATTATTATATTGAGCAGATTTCAAAACTTTTTTTTTGAAATATTATTTATTTGATGATCTTATTGATAAAATAAATTTAAACATTTTATAATAAAGTAATCATGATAAATTTATTATATCAATTTGAATAATTCTATTTTAAAATAAATTCTCGAATTGAATGAAACAAATAGTTACCTAAATAATCCACGACTTTTTTCAGCAGCCACTTTGCCTATTTCTTGACCAAGCTTTTTCTTCTTCGAATATTCGGCTCTATCTAAGTAAAAATAACGTAATATGATTGATATGAGTGTAGATCATATGTTTGATACATGAAATGCATCAATATACCCTTTCCACAACGATTGCACGAGTTTCGCCTTGCAAAGTTGATATTCCCACACCTGCGAGTGAATAATTAATTATGTATGATTTAGACAATATAATGATTTAATATTTTTATAAATAAAAAATCGTCAAGTAGTTGTCTTACGTACTGAGAATCGGGGCATACCCAATCGCCATCATTAATGCCCCTTTGATTATCCTCATCAGTTTTAACACTATCCATTGCTAAATCTCCAGCCTGCTACTGAAATCACGATTAAATCGTGATACTTTTCTCAATTAATGATGACTTTAATTAGTCTAATTGTAAAGGGAAAATGTGCAAAAGAAATAACATCTAATCAACAGATGTTTTAAAATATTTCACATAAAAATCTAGAAAAATTTCCTAGGAATACTTTAAACTATATTAGAGTTTATAATAATAAAAAAATTTTCTCATTCATATGATATACAAAATTTGGCAGATACTAAATAAAATAATGTAACATTAAATATTCCGTATCGACCGATTGTTCTGTTCAAATCATAATAATGACACAAAATTTATGAGTGAAAATGTAAAAAAATAATTTCATCACAGCTGAGCTAAGTATAACTTATCAGATAATTAAATTGTCTAATTAGAATTTGCTATTAATTATTTACGATCTGACTCTGTTATGAATAAACTTTTTCCACTCTATTCATTTGAGATCTTGCCATTTAGCACTGTAGACACCTAGTGAATATTGATGAAAAACAGACACTGAAATATGGCAGCACTGATGGCTATGTGTTTCTTCAATTTAAATACTTTTAAAAGGGCAAAAAAATACTATTCTTATGATATAATAATAGTTTTATAATAATTAATTCAAGTTATTACTTATAAATAAATACATTAATTTGTTCTATTTATTCGGGGTGATAGAAAAAAGCATGATTGACCCTTTTTTATTTATTATATATTGTATTTATATGAAAAGTGGTTATTAAAAATAAATAAGATAATAATATTATTTAGATGATGAGTTGTATAAAAAATTGAGTTTAATTGGAATTTCTCAATAATAATTTATAGACAAAAAAAAATGTTTTATAATTTTTATCGACATTCAACAAGAACGTAGCTAAAGACGATTTCTGTTATATCAACATAATATATTTTAGTTTACCAATTGGCCGGAAGTGACAGAAAGCATAGTTTTTTTTTCGCTGAACAAAGCATTATGAGCATAGCATAGTATGTTGTTATTATACATAAAAACCACTATGCTGTACAATGCTAGTATTAGCTTGTACCCTGTATATTTTCCGTTAAATTGCTGTAATAAATGCAAGTTCAAAGTGAATTAAAAAAATGTGGTTTATCAGTTGATATCAATAACTTTAGGAATTATATATAATCTTTTGAATGTATTCCTATGAGTGGTAAATAGGTAATTTCATAAAACATTATTTTATCACATATAATAATAATAATAATATTCGATTCTTAACGTTGATGATACTATGTAAAATAATTATATTCTTCTTAAATTTACTAAGTAGCTCAAAGATTCCCTGAATTACTTGTACAAATATCTTTGTATTATTATAGCATCAATTATAATTTAACATTTAACAAAATAATAAGAAGAATTGTGCTACCAATATTTGTTCATTTTTTTTTGTTATAACAGTGAGATGCAAAATATTTCAATAATTTGGCATACATGGCAGCTAACAATTACCAAAAACCTGAAGATACACATACAGAGAGTGAATTTGAAATAGAAACACTAAATGAGAAACTAATAGAATTATTAAAAACTCCAGTACAATGGAAACTATCTGAAACTCAAAGGACACAACTATCGCCAAAAAAACTATTATGCAAAAATAATCATGAAAGTTCACCAGAAGCTCACTGCTGTAATTCATCACCATCATTATTCCATAATAAATACGATTACACATTATTACATCATGGAAGTCCAGCTAATCCAAAATCTTTTCAACATTATTTATTACCAATTGGAGTATTCTGGGATATTGAAAATTGTAAAGTTCCTCGAGGAAAATCAGCAGCCGCCGTAGCTCAAGTTATAAGAGATAAATTTTTTAATGGATATCGAGAAGCAGAGTTTATAGTTGTTTGTGATGTTTATAAGGAGAGTAAGCAAGTTATTCAAGAATTAAATGACGCTCAAGTAAGATTAATAATTGAATTTATTAATAGTAAATATTAAAAATTTCTATTTTCTCACATATTAAAAATAAATGATAATTTTTTATAACTCTATTAAATTATCTTTATTTATTGTTATTTTAGGTTAATTTAATTCACGTTGCAGCAACATATAAAAATGCTGCTGATGAAAAATTAAAACAATCTATCAGAAGATTTGCTGATATCCATGGAAGTCTAGCAGCTATAATTTTAATATCAAGTGATATTAATTTTGCCGCTGATTTAAGTGATTTGCGGCACAGGAAAAAAATGCATGTGATACTTTTACACAATGAAAATTCTTCAGAAGCCCTCATACTATGTGCAAATGAACATTATAATTTTATGGAACTTATGGAGTCACTGCCAGTTAGGACTCCTGCTAAGGTACATTTATATGATTTCAAAATCAATCGAACACATATGTAAATAGCAAAAAAATATTCAATTTAACAAATGATAACTAAATTTATTTATTTTTATAATATGATAATTTCAGGCACCGGAAACTTATGATCTCTTAGTCAGTAATCTCCCTAAAGATAAAGGATTGACATCAATAAAACGTAGGTTAAAACAACTATCAGATAATTGTGGTGGACGGGTTATAGGAATAAATTCAAATGCTGCTATTATACGATTCAGTTTACAAGAATCTGCTGATAGGTAAGTTTTAATACTCTAATATTCTAATATCTCTACATTATTTAAATTTACCGCGTTTTTATAAATTGCCATACAATTAAAATTTCTCTTCATCTTCCCTTTATTTTTCTCCTAAAGTTTTTCATTTTATTTGATGTTACTTTTAATCCTTATCAAAATGTAGAGAGGGGAGAAGGGAAATATATAAACAGGTTTGCATTCAAATTTCCTTCAGCAATGTAACGGCTTTCACTCATTTAATGTCATTAATAATCTTTATAAATTATTTTATTTAATTATTATCGTTAATTACACTAAGTTATATATACGTAAAAATTTTTGTTATCTTAAGTTTCCGACGTACTATATAAATATCGTTGTCGTACAATAGCTACGATTGTTATTTTGTTATAAATAATTTATTGAGTAATTGTTAAAATTTTTTCGTACTTATTTACTCAAAAAAAATTTTTTTTTTTTCTTTCAAATTCATTGGTGAGTTTATTTTTGGATAAAAAATTGTTTAATCTAATGATTAAATTAATATAATAAAATAATTTAGTAAATTCAAGTGATACGAATGGCAAAAAAAAATGTTTACATAATCGTAAAATAGGAGGATTTGAAGTTTGAATAATGATTAATTTATGAAATGTTAATTGGTGAAAAATCATTTTTATTCATTATAAATATAAATTATTATTATTAAAATCATTAAAACTATGTTTTAGAGCTCAAAAACGAATGAATGGAGAGCTCGTATTTGATACAAAAATCACAGTAAAATCATTGAGAGAAAAAAATAATCGAAAAACTAAAGGTAAGTTTTGAAATCACATGCTTTCTATCTATAATTTAAGATATTCTATATATTATATTATTATTTTCTTTACGAGTACGATAGCTTATTGAAGTTTGTAGTCTGTTTGTTTGATGATTCAAAACAATTCTGTGTTATGAATGTCTTCGAATATTACTATTTTCATCTTTGTTGTGATTGTTGACAGAAAATAGTTTAATAGAGTCAACAAGTGAGACCGGAGTTTCTGGAGCAGCAGTAAGTTCACCTGTGCCAATGTATAATTCTAATTCTGGAATCGGTGGTGTACGCAGCCTTCCTAGTACACCTCATTATCATTCTTCTTCACCGGTTGTTGGAAGTTTCTCTGGCTGGAATGGTGTTCATTGTCCTCCACATCCAGGGTACGTTGATTAATTAATTACTCTTAAGTATATATTTTTAGTATTTTTGGATGACGAGAAGCCGAGTATGAGTTTTTGAGTCTCAAGTAGATTGAAAAATCCTTGATGATTCGAACTATGAACCTTTTTGATCTTATCTGACAAAAATAATTATTTTATAATTTTAATTGTACTTTAATATATATATATATATATATATATATATATTTGATTTGATTTGTCAATAAAGAAAAAAAAAAATATTTTATTATCTTTCTTAGAATGATGCCACCAGCACCAATGTTTATGGGTCGTCCTTATAACAGTAATGGGGAAATAATGTATAACCGACCCTATCCAGAAATGTCTCGTGTTCCATCTCCAGTTATCTGGCCTTCTTCAACACCACATCAATTTGGACGCTGTTGGGAAGAACTTTACAAGTCAGATAGGCCTAAAAATTATGGAAAATGGATGCAAATAAATTCCAATCGTGATGGGTCTTCGAATGGCAATCATACACCTGAAGGAATGCGACGTATTCGTGGAACTCATGGGTCAATGAACTCTTCTCAAGATTGGAACAATATTCCTCGACCAAACTATTGTCCAATGCCGATGTCAATAAACTACAGTAGTGGTAATTTTTCTCAAGGAAATTGTACGAAACGTGTTAGTCCTTCATCAATGTATCTTCAAGGCCGTGATGGGAATCAACGCAGTACACAAAATCAGTATATACCAGGACGTAACACACGTACACCTTCACCATATTCTAATTCTTCAATGCAATCTAATATGCCTCAACCCACTTGTACATCGCCTTATCAAAGCTCAGTAATTGACGAAGATTCTGAGAAATTCTTTAATCCAATTAACATTCGTTGCCCTACAAATTTTAACAGTAATAGTAATAATAGTTTAGGCGTACCTGTAGAACTTCAAGTGACTAATTTAGATCAAAATTTGGATCCTAAAGAAATGCGACGTATCCTCTATGCTATATTTATGGAGCATGTTATGGTTCATCACATTTCCATTTTCATTCAGTCTGATGGCAATTATGCAGCTTGCGTAAAATTAGCATCTATATCAGATGCTCAGTATGCTATTTCTCAACTTCATCGACGTAAAATTGGATATAAAAGAATATTAATTTCTTATGCTCATACTGGAGGTCCAAATCCTCAATTAATAAAGTCTCAGATTGTTATTTTACTACAAGAAGTTCCAGGGCATAAATTACCATTGTTCAAATTTCGTGAAATGTATGAAAATCGGTTCATGATATCTGTGAGTGTATCTGAGCTTTATAAAATGAAAGATGTTTGTATTATTACTGATGAACCTGATGGGCGTATGGTATCACTCAATCCAGATTATCGGAATACTCCATCACCTTGTTTGGAAAATATATCACAGGTAAAAATGCATTTTATGTATTATGATATTAATATAATTGTAAATGGTATATTATAAAGTTGAGCTTTTTGTTTCTTTGAATGTAAAGAAACAATGACAATAGTTTTAAGCGATTTTTAAAATTGAATATTAATTGAAAAAATTTATAATATTCAATTTCAAATATGTGTATTTATCTTTACATTGTTGTTTTTTTTTTTCTTTTTTAGGATGGAAATTTAGAGTTACCATATTGTATAATTCATACCCAAAAACCTTGGTCAGAAAAAGGATGGGCCGAACAAGAAATGGAATCCTTACCTAACGTCATAATGTCATTAAAAGTTCTTGGTGCTCGGATTCGAAAGCTTCTAACAACTCATAATGGCAGTTTACCTCTTCCTACACTACCTAATTGTTATGAAGCAGAATTTAATCAGTCTTTAGACACTAATGAAAAGGGAGTACCTTTAGAGCATTTGATTTCTTGTTTGGCTTTTGTAGAGATTAAACAAGGAGTTGGGAGTGTTAAGTATATTACTTGGAATAAAAATAAATCGGATGAGAATCCTGAAGAGACAATTAATAAGTGTATTAGCCCACCACTTGTTAATCAACTAGCTTTATTCAGTCGAGAGCTTGTAGATCTTTTGAAAACAGCACCTCATTGCCAAATTCCATTCAATAGATTTATTCCAGCTTATCATCATCATTTTGGAAGGCAATGCAGAGTTGCTGATTATGGCTTTACGAAATTGATTGATTTATTGGAAGCCTTACCACAAACTATTCAGGTAAAAATTAATATTTCAATCATTACTTGAATTATTAATTAATTAATTGAATTTAATTGAAATTTTAAATTATTTTAAATATTATTTAAGGTGATGGGTGAAGGTAATAAACGAATGGTAACGTTATCTCATCGTGCACAAGTTCGACGTTTTACCTCCGATCTTCTTCGTGTCTTGAAAGCTCAAGCAAGTAAACAAATCACCCTTTCGGATTTCCCAACTGTTTATACGAGGGTGATAGGTAAAAGAAGTAAATTATTTACTTTTTTGACTTTTATTAATGACTTTAATTTTTTTGTACATGCAAATAATTTAATGGAATTTTTTTTTTCAGCAAAACCTTGGAATGTTGTTGATTATGGTGTCTGTGAAATTGGTGATATTCTTGCTGATGTATCTGAAAATACAGTTGTTGTAACTGATACTGATGATGGAGACAAGACAATTGCTATACCAAAAAGAGATCAAACTCCGCAAGAAATTGAGAGAACAAAACAATTTGCTAATGAGGCTGTAGAATTACTTCGTCATGCTCCACAATGTACGATGTTGTTCAACAAATTCGTTCCATCATATCATCATCATTTCGGTCATCAATGTCGCGTATCAGACTATGGATTTTCAAAGTTAATCGAGTTATTTGAAGCTATACCTCATGTCATTACAATAGAAGACGGTGTGGATGGTGGAGATCGTCGGATTTCTTTGACTGAACCTGAAAGATTTCGAGTTTTAGGCGAACAAATTAGTAAATTAATTTCTAAAACTCGAAATGGCCTTTTGTTGTCAAATATTGCTCAGTCTTTTCTTCGTCAATATGGTTATATGTTAAGGCCAGAATTTTACGGATGTAGCTCAGTTGAAAAACTTGTAGAAAAACTTAATAATTACGTTAAAGTAGTAAATTTACCAACAGGGCCTACAGTAATGTTAATTGACAAATCACAATCACAACAATTAAGCCTTCAATGCCGAAGAATTTTGATGGATCAATCACAGCAACGTTTAACTGTATCAGAATTTCAACGAATTTATAATCAATATTACGGAAATCCTTGTAATATTGAAGATATTAAAAAATTACCTGATGTTGTTAAAATTTCTAATATCAACAAAGAGGAGTATATAGAGCTAACACCTCTTCAGTGTTTTGCTTGTAATTTATATAGAGTTTTAATTAAACACGGTGGTAAATTAAAATTACAACAATTAGAAAGTGCTTATTGTACTTTAATTGGAAGTGAATTGAAACCATCTCAATACGGTTTTCCATCTGTCATAGCTCTTCTTCAAGCTTTATCTTGTACAGTCATTATCAGAGAATCAAGAAACAAAAAGAAAACAATTTTCTTAAATAAAAAATTAGGTGTTGTTGGTATATCTGTACCATCAACATTGGGATCTCCTTATAGAGATCGAGATTCAAGCAATGATTCATTGGGAAGTGAATCTTCTCGTGCTAGTTTATCACAAATGGCTAGACTTCATCAGTGGACCAGTAATAATATTCAAAAAACTTGGAGTAATAAAGGTAGTTATTGGTCTAATCAACCGGAATCTTCTGAAGAGTCTGACAAATGGCCTATACTTAAAGAAAATGGTGACAATTTTCTCAGCAGTATTATTCCACGAAATTCTTCGACAATTATGGAAACTATGACATCAAATATGAAGCCTCCTGAATCATTTTCTGAAAATGAGGACGACTCTGAAGTCTGGAAATCATCAGTTTGGGCTACTCCACCGAAATACAATCAAAATAATGTTGATTTTGAGACTAATATCAATCTTCCTCCATTAACCTTACCCACCTGGGGTCAAGCTGATGATGATGATAGTGCATCTAGTCTCCTTTCTCCAGCAAAAAATTTATTATCTGCTGCTGCTAATCCTTTAAATCCTATAACTTCTCCATTTTTTTCATCAAGTCATCTTGTGATGGCTCCACATCCATCTGAATTACCTTTACCTTCACTTTCTTTAGCTTCTAAACGCAGTATATTTACTATTGATCAGAAAAAAAGTGAAGATAAAATGCAAAGTACTCGATTACTTGGAAATTCTTTGGAAGTTCACAGTCCAACACATTCTGAGAGTTACAATAGTACCTCTGAAGGCGAGCCATCCTCAGACATCATTGATTCTACACCAAGTAAACGGTTTCCAGGTAAGCGCAAACTAGCTGCTCAATTTGATCATTCGATCAATCCTTAAAAAAAATCTGAAGGTTCTAATCAATTTTTAAGTTTATAAAACATCAATTAATGATTTTAAAAAATTCCCTTTAATATAAATTGTCATTTTGAATTATTTTTAATAATTTTTTGTACGTCTTATAGTTTGTTACCAATAATCTTGCCATTATTATGGAATATTCATTTATCATTTCAGGCTGTGATTAATGTTTATATAGGTATAAATCATGAATATTATATAAACAAACAGTTTTGAGTGAATGTATTAAGCAGAATTCTGTAATGAAAAATTTTTTCAATTCTTATACGTTCGTTACAGCTATTCTTTTATTGATAAATACGGAATTTTAACAGCAAATTAAGTTTCTAACAATTACTATAACGAATTGTTTAATATCGGAACAATCATATATTTCAATTGATAATAAATTATGTATCATAATCACAAGTCAGGCTTCTATTTAACAAAAAAAAAAACATTTTTCAAATGTTTAGCTTGTAGGATTTATTTATTATTATTAATAATTATTAAAATAAGTAAAAAAAATACTCATTAAACCTAAGTTATTATGAGGGGAATATACTTTGAACGAATATACTTGTAAATTTGTGATAAACATTGAATTGGAGTAAAAATAAGGTCTTCATCAATAAGTTAAACAAATTTGTACTAATAAATAGGACAACATCCACGGGTTTAATTTTAAGAGTTATTCAAGCTCCATTATTTAATTTTGTTATTAATAATGAATCATATCATTTCTCATTAATTCTCTAATTACGTATTAAAATTTCACAATACAGTTTACATTAATTTATTATAGTTGAAAATTATCTTTTATTGTTCATACTGATCATTGTATTGTTTTATTATCATTATTCATAGAAAAATGAGCTCGTGTATATATGAATATATTTAATATTCGCAGTGCGAAAAAACTAGTAGAAAAAAATACGTGATACATGTAGAAAAATATACGTCGAAAACTCAGGTTCCATTGTAAAATACTTTATCTATTTTATTCTTAAGATTTTTATTACATTGCTTCAAGTAATAAGTAGTCTGGTGTAATAATTATCAAAAGTCAATTATAAAAATGTCATTTTTACTATAATTTATAAATATTATTCTTAATAGTATTGTTATTGTTTATTTTATTGATCATCTTTTAATTCATTTTTAATGCGAGAGTGAAAGAAAAACCAGACTTACTAAATCATTGAATACTTCATTTTGATTATATATATATATATTAATCTATTACTCGTGTAATATCGGCTTTTTTGTATTTATTGATGTTAATGATAAAAACTATGCAGACTTCTACGTAGGAATAACTAAAATTAATAATATGGAATTTATTGTTAATTAACATTCATTTTGAAAATGTATTTTTAATTATTTTGATAATAATTTGGACTTTGATGATCTCGTAAAAGAATTCATAAGAATCTTTTAATTAGAATAAATTATTAGAGATGAAGTATATTAATTTTAGATAACAGGACATTAACGTCTTGATTCATACGTAAGAGTTTTTTATTGTAATAAATGTCAAAAGAGAAAAAAAATAAACATGTAAAAATAAAAATGTAAGTCGATAAAAATTTCTGGTAAATGTTTTTGATTAATAAAATTTAAAATACTATATAACGTTTGTATCTATTTTATGATTATTGTTAATTATAATTCGTATTAAAATAATTGAACACTTATGATCACAAGATTACAGTATACCATATTATTTTATTAAATATTTATTCTTTAATATCTACAAATAGAATCTTACAATAGCTCTACGTATAGTAATTATTCGTTTTGGGTTTTTTTCGAATCTTTCATTCCCGTTCCTACTGGGCCGTGTCTTCTTTCCCAAACCATACGATGTTTTTGTTTCATGAAAGCTTCTCGAACATGAGGATAGCCACTTAAATCACCATCTATAGAAAATTCATAACTATAAGTATGTTGACAAATAATAAATTTAGTTAATATAAATTAATCAAAAATTTCAATAACGTTTTATATTCCAATTTGTAGATGCATCTTCTAAAGCATCATCAAGATAATCACAAACATGAGGATCTTCGAAATTCCAAAGAAAACAATCTTGATGTCTTTGTCTCAAAATAGCGAGGATGCTAAGGTCGACTTCCCTGCTCAATCATTCAATATTTCAAAAATATAGTTTGTTTAAATTAATAATAATTATTTCAATAATTCAATAATTACCGATCTCTTAGATATTGATATTGAGCTTCAAAAGTACAAACTATATCATCTTCATAGCATTCATCAATAGTTGGTACTCGTCTAAATTTTTTATGATACCAAGGATATTTTTGTTGATTGGGCTCAACAACCTTTTCTGTCATACAAATAGGTATTAATAAATCAATAAGAAATGACACTTTTACACATTCGATTTTGAAATTAAAGAAACATTTTTACACCTGGACAACTTAACCTTATATATAATGATTAGATAATCACCTCGAAAGTATTCGACAGGTTTCACGAACACATCATACAGAGTATTGTAAAGTTTTATAAACCACGGTCCTGTTTCTTCCGTCATTGTGTTAATTTATTAAATTACTGCTTCAGTATCTTGAAATATTAATTTCTATTTTGCAAAACTCCTTATTTTATCAAAAAAGGGTCCCAGAAGGACACACTGGCGCCCTCTTACAACGTAATACAGACTTACATACAATAAAAGTGTAAATATATATATATATATATATGTATGTATGTGTGTATAGATTGATACATAAAGCTGTAAATATATATGCAAAATTTGTATATGACATTTTACATCTAAACAACAGCCGCCAAAACATTTATTAAGTGATAAGAATTGTAATCATTACATATTGTAGAATTTCGAACATTTCTTACGTGTTGGTGTTACTTAAATATTTTTTTAATAAAAATTCATAAATACACCAAATCTTGATACATTTAAAAACATGTCAGCTCTCCAAAAATCTATACTCAAATCTAAACTACCTCCGTCTGGTTTAGACTTTACTTCAGGAAGGTTAGTAATTAAATGGACGAATATTAATTATTTAATTTTATAAATAATTTTCATTCAAAATAGACAATTAAACTTAATACAAAAAAGAATAAATTTATTTTATAATTAAACATAATTTATGAGACATAAACATTTAATTTATTTTCAGATCATGCAAGGCAAGAGCACTCCAAAAAAAACGAGATTATGATCCTGTGGAATGGAATCCTTATTTCGATGAATCTAAAGATATTGTGATAGGCGATAATATATTTCATATTTATACTGCAGGCGATAAAGGTCCAACATTAGTTTTACTTCATGGAGGAGGATACAGTGCACTTACTTGGGCAGAATTTACTGTAACTTTAATTAATTTTTAATTATACGTATTTTAATCTTTGCTGTTTAAAGCTTATTTAATTAGTGTTTTGAATTGATTAATAATAGAATAAAAATTTTTTTACAGAAATCAATTATGTCTATGGTAATATGTAAAGTCTTAGCAATAGACTTAAGAGGTCATGGAGATACTCATTCTACTGATGATACAGATTTATCAGTAGCTACACTAGCAAAGTGAAATATTATTTACTCATACTTATCTGTTGTTAGTGAAAATTTTATTAATATTCATTAAAAAACTAAATTTTGTTTAATTTTTAGAGATGTTGGAGCAGTAATAGATGAAGTCGTTAGAGAGAATCCAGTAGTCTTAGTGGGTCACAGTATGGGTGGAGCAGTAGCAGTAAGAGCTGCAGAATTCGTGAAAAATTTAGTTGGTCTCATAGTAATTGATGTTGTTGAAGGAACAGCAATGGATGCTTTAACATCGATGCAAAGTTTTCTAAGATCACGACCAGCTAGTTTCAACTCTATTCCTCAAGCTATTGAGTGGTGGTAAGTAATAATATTGATTACTTCAGAAATTAATTATTAATGGTAAAAAGTTTTTAATAATTTATTTAAATATTCATTTTAGTGTAAGAAGTGGACAAATAAGAAATATACAATCTGCAAAAATATCTGTTCCTGGGCAGATAAAAAAGTATGTCTTATTTTATAAGAATAAATTATTTAAAATATTAATTAATACTGATATTAAATATATTTTTTTGTAGCACACAAAGCAATAAATTAGCAACTCATGATATAAAAGATTTATTAGCTTCTTCGACTCCTCATAATGATGATAATTTATCAGTATCGATTGAACGTGAAGATGTTATACCTGAAGACCAAGTTATAGAAAATAAAAGTATTAATGATGAATCTGAAATGCAACCGCCAACTTCAAATGAATTGTCAAGTGAAATGAAAAAATATGTTTGGCGAATTGATTTAGCAAAAACAGAAAAGCATTGGTCAGGATGGTTTAAAGGTTTATCTGCAGCATTCTTAAATGTTCCTGCTCCAAAAATGTTGCTGCTTGCAGGCGTCGATCGATTAGATCGAGAACTTACTGTAGGCCAAATGCAAGGTATTTTTAATTTTTGGTAAAATATTTAACTATATTATTATATTATTTTTAACTATTTTTAATAAACGAAAAAAAATATTTATTGTTTATTTTTTCTATTAGGGAAATTTCAAATGCAAGTTTTACCAGCTTGTGGACATGCAGTTCATGAAGATGTCCCTGATAAAGTAGCAGAAACAATAGCAACATTTATGGTGAGGTATAAATTTGCTGAACCAATGTCAGATTTTCATCGAGTATTTCCAGCTTGCTAGACAATAATAATTAACGAAACACTGTCAAAGTATAATACGTTTTACGCATGTAAATATTTAGCACATAAGGTACGTATATTTTATAGATATGAGTAAAAATTTACATATTCAATTTGTTTATTAATATAATGATAAAATATAAAAATATATAAAAAACATTAATGTTTTATATTATGTCCTATACTTTATTGAGATATGATTAATATTTTGCTTTTTAAAAAATATTATTCTAGCAATTGTTAAATTTTTTTTTCAAATGTCTTTTATCTTCTAAAAAATTATATCAGTCTTAATGAAATAAAGTCCTAGAACAATATGCCAAACTAATTTTTTATGTTATAACTGAATTATTATGATTTTTTTTCGAAAAGTTTAAAACTTAAATTCTAATGAATACAATTAAATTAACTTTATCACATTATTTTTCATGTCGTATTTTACCTCGTAACTTGAAAAGAATTTTCTGTAATATTTCAGCCGATGGGATCTTTCATAATGACGCACGGGCCTGCTCGTCCAGTTCTAAGAGGTGCAACCTAATAAAGTAGAATACACGCATTATTTCAAATAAAATAACGCTCCTGACAATGTAAATTAATGGACTAATAAATTCTATAACTTTAGATGTAAAAAAAAATGATCAGAAAAAAATGGTTAATGAATATATACATACTTGATGCCATTCATTAATAATTGGATCATAAGTTTCAACAAGCGTTAAATATTGTTGACCATCATATCCACCAACGGCAAAAAGTTGATCTCCAAGTAGACAAACGCCAACAGCATCTCTTGCTACACTCATTGGCGCTACCATAGTCCAAGTATCCGTTTTGGGATCATATCTAAATAGTTGAATGAGGTAAAAAGTAATTGCCTCGTACTTGATATATATATGATGAAAAAATAATATTATATTAACTTACCTTTCAACACTATCATATCTGCAAGCGTGAGAACCTCTTGATGCTAAATCATATCCACCAAGAGCATAAATACATCCATTTGCTACTCCTACACCTACTCCACCTCGTCTTTTAGACATTGGAGCACAACTAGTCCATTTATTTGTATGAGGATCATAACAGTCGACAGTATTTAAACAAGAATTTTGATCTCTTCCTCCCACTGCATATAATCTGATAAAGTTTATGTTTATATGCATACAGTGACACATAATTGATAGATAATTGTGGACAATCATCACAAGCAATAGAGATGAGAAAACATACTTATCATTTAATACTGCTACACCTACGGTTGTTCTTGGTCCTGGCATAGGCGCAATAAAACTCCATTCTTCATTATTTGGATCCCATCTTTCAACAGTTTGAAGAAAACTCCAACCATCGTGTCCTCCAACGGCATATAAAGGACCTCCAAGTACTGCAACGCCTATAAAAAATTTTAAAATCATTAAAAAATATTTTTTAACATTTTTGTGCATCATTTACATGTAAATAAACTAATTTTATATTGAATTTTCTTTTTTTAATGATAAATGATTAAGATATTGTGGGATTACTTAAAAAATCATGTTAAATTATAAAAAGTTAAGTAATAACTTATTTATAATTGTAAATAAAAGTGATATGATTATCAATATCAATTAATGAAAAACAATATACCTAATCCATGCCTATGAGTATTTATTGACGGTAATCTACTCCATTTTAATGTAGAAAAATCTAATCTTTCAACGCTGTCAAGAGTTTTTAAACCATCACGTCCACCAACAATAATTAATTTTGAATCAACAACAGCAGCTCCGAATTGTAAACGACGTCCATTCGTACTTGCTAAATATTTCCATGTATTATCACATAAGGAGAATGCATCGATTGAAGTAGCACCTTTATTTTCATCCATTCCTCCAATCGCTAATAAATGACCCACTGTAGCTTTTCTAGGCTTCGTCCGAGAAGATTGGAGCAAAGGACGGCGTTCCGGTAGTAAATGATATTTTAGAGCTTCCATGACTAGCTCTTGAGCTCGTTTTTCATTTTTAAATATTTCATTTTCATCAATATTATCGGCAATGAACTAAAATAAAATAATTTTGTTTATACGTACAAAGAATATTTTTTTTTTTTTGTGAAAATAATTTGATTTATTCACTTACTACAGGAGATAATAAAGGTAATCGAACAAAACTTAATAACAGGCTTGCATCTTTTCGGCGATTCTCTAAGTCATATTCCAACCAATTGATTAAAGCCTGTAAATATTTTATAATTTTAATATTCAAATTTTTTTAAATTAAAAATTATTTTTAGCTTTTTTATCTCTAGTATAATAATTAATCATTACTTGAAATACTATTTCTTCTGATGGAATATTGAGATCATCCGACTCGAGTAATTTGGCAACATCATCAGCAGATAACAATAAAAATTCTTGACTGCTCATTACTTCCATGAAATGCTCAGTTGTATAATTATGAGCAACACTTAATAAATGAGAACATCCTTGAGTATCAGCAAACATTCGTATTCCCAAACAATTACTTGGATGAAGCTGTTTTATCAAAAACTGACAGCATGCTTTTACTACTGAATCTATCTGAAGTATACGAGCTGTTGCTAATAAAGTTTCAACACAATCTTCCCTTAATTCTATACTTCCTATTATTGGAGATAATTAATATCATGAGAATAATATATTTTTTTAGAGTAATTTAATAGAATTATAAATTTATTACCAGTATAACAGTATTCAATAAGTGCCCATAAAGCGTCAGGATCTACTTTAATTAATTCAACTTCTGACTGACTCGATTCTCTTAAAGAACTTGTAAACATTGCTGCAAAATATTCAGAGCTAGCACTCAAAACCAGTCTATGAGCTGGAAATCGTTTTCCGCCTTAAATAGAACAAGTGATTATTATTGATAAAATTATAATAAATTATTATAAAGTTTTCTTTTTATTTATACAATACCCGCAATTAAAACAACATCGGTCAGTAATTTGTTGTGTAGATATTCTTTCATACATTGAAGGCTGTTTTCAGCATGTTTTAATACTCTAAAATTTTCATCTTGAGAAATAGATGCTGTTGACATTAAACTTGAAATGCTTTGTTCACTCGTGGTAGCATCTTTTTTTGGTAGGCAGAGTTTTTCTTCTTCTTTTTTGTTCACTTCACTGTTTTTCATGATTATTTTTATTATTTAATACTTCACTAAATTGATTTTTTTATTAAATATCAAGTGATAATACAAAGAAATAGTACTTATTATTTAAAATACGAGAATGCGTGATGATTGCTATTTTAACTTAAACTTCTTTATTATTCAATTTTGACAAACATTTTAAAGATTACTTGACAGTCCATTGACAGCATTTATTGTACAGTAAATAAAGAAAAAAAAATAGTTTTTATAATTGACAGTATAATTTTAATTAATAAAATATATTAAAGCTATGAATCATATTATTTAAAATTTCATTTTATGTATTATAAAAAAATTTTCCTCAATAAATAATTTTTAATTTTTTATACACTATTTTGTGATTAAAACATACTGGTATAGAGGCTCAGAGCCAGGATAATTTCACGTTATGTAGCGCTAGTGTAGCACTACGATCTACCATGTATTTGAATTATTTTAACTACAAACTAAGTGTTGAATATGTATACTAAATATGTACATATATATGAATTATTAGAAATGAAACTCAATAATTTATATTGTATATATATTTTTTTTATTAATCATTAACAGTTTATTATATGAAATATGGAATAAATAATTTAGTTAAGTTTGATATTAAAATTTACATTATATTAAAGTATATTGTGTTAAAAGTTTTCATTTAAAAATTTTTACAAATCAATATTTCATGATTACTGTATAATTACAATAATTTACATAATGAAATGTTTTTTATCATAATTTTAATTTTTTTTTTTTTTCGTTTACTTTGAAATTTACCGATAAAATTTCATAATCTTTCATCTTGAGAAAGAGATTGATCAGTGCCGGGTTCATTTTGTCTTGATTGTAAGTCACTTGAAATGTGAATGCTTACTTGGGGTTGATGAGATGTACTAAATAATAATTCATTTTGATGTAATGAATTATTAAAATTTGGAACAAAAGTTACATCTTCTCTTCGATTTCTAGAATTACCTCTTATATTATTTCCAAGTCCAGTTCCAGTTGAATTATTTATCACAGATTCTGAATTACCATTGTTGATAATGTCTTGATCTCTATTTGTATTTGAAATATCGTTTGAAATATTTCTGTTTGTTGTTAAATATCTTAAATTTGTCATATAAGGTGAATTTCTATTTAATGCAAGTAAATTTCGTCTAGGCATTGAATATCTAGCCCTTATTGAATTAGTTATAGCATCAGTTCTAGGATTTTCAATATTTCGGTCATGTTGATTAGCTGTATTAGGTTGTAATATAGCACGTAGTGCCATTATTTGATCCGCAATATTTATAGGAACTCTGTAATAATTTCTGTTTTCAGTAGTTGAAGTTGACCTATTAGTAGTATTTGTTCTTCCAGTGTTTGGTTGATCATTTCTATTCGATAAAGAAGTTCTATTTGTTGTCGTTACTCTTCCTCGATTATATCTTGCATTGAATTCTGCTAATCTTTCCCAGGAAGAGCTTAAGTTAGCTCTATTTAAATTTTGAATATTTCTTTCATTTTGTTCTCTTGTATCTCTTGCTGAAGTTATTGTTGGACTCACAAATACAGATCTATTGATAACATAGTTTGCAGAATTATTTGAATTCACAGAAGTCCTTTGTGCAGGAGTATTCAATCGATTATTTTCTTCAGAAATTAATCTACTTGAATTTAGCTGATTTATTGTAGACGAATTTGATAAAGTTAAAGTTGTATTATTAGATCCTGATGTCCATGGAATAGGTTCGGAATTGCGTGTATTTAAATTCGATATTCCAGAATTTGTAACCGAAGAACCATTAGAATTATTTTCATTGGAAATAGAATTATTTGATAAATTGGATCCTGTATTTAAATTTTGACGTCCTTGGGATACATTTGATGGAGTTGAACGATATCTAGAAGTACTCCGTGTCCGGGAAGAACTTTCTCGTCTATTAACAGAAGTATGAGAGTGAGATCGTTGATGGTCACCAGGAATTAAATGTCTATATCGCTCTAATTCAGCCGGTGTTAATTCTCGAGGGTCTGAATTGACTCTGTGAACTGGAATCTGACCATAAGGGCGTGCTTGAGGAACTAAAGGACTTTGAGATTGATTTAACCATTGTAACATCTGTTCTTGAAACGTTATTTTTTTAAATAAATCGTAATGACGATTGTATATTGGTTTCATTTTTTCATTCAGTTCTGTTTTTTTATCACACAGATCTTCTTTTATATTTTCGATATCAGGAACAACTTGGTCCTCTTCACCAATGGATGCTGGAATTTTAAATGTCTCGATGATTGTTGCTAATGAATCTAAGACTTGTACGGCTGTCAATCGCCGACTAGGCTGAAGAACTAACAAATTTCGAATTAATTCAATTGTTCCACCTGATACACGACCATCAAGTGGAATATGATAATTTACTGCTTTAATTTTATTGAATAATTGTGTTGGACTACTATCATAGAATGGAAATTGGCCATAAAGCATTGTAAATAAAACTACTCCTAATGCCCACATATCTGATGGTTTTCCTAAATATGGTTTACCACAAAGAACATCTGGGGAGATGTACGCAGGTGAACCTCTTTGATCTTTTAATAGGTCATTTTCACTCGCTAAGTGTTTTCCCAAACAAAAATTAGTAATTGTTACCTAAAAATATAATTTAAAATTATTTTATAAATATATTTTTTTCAAATAAAAAATTGTAACGATGAAAATGACAAACCTTTCTAGTTTTTCTATTTAAGACTAAATTACCAAGCTTCAAGTCTCTATGAACAATATTTCGTTTATGTAATTCAGCAACTATTCTAACAGTATCTGTAAAAATTAATAAACTTTCTTTTTCTGACAATTTTTTTTCTTTAATAACGTGATGTTGTAAATTAAGTAGTTCTTCATTTCTTGGATTAAAATCATGCGATGTTAAACAATCTAAAACTAAACATAAACGTCGTTTTATTTTTCCTGTATAAATTCGACCATTAGAAATCGATTTTTCTCCTAATGCTGAATCCTATAATAATGTATTAACAGTATTATAAATTGATCAGTAAATAAGTAAATTCAAAATTTTTTTTATATAATCCTTCTTAACTTACTTTAAAAAATCCATGATGGTGAACAACACCATCTTGATTCTGTAATAAACTTAATAGAGAATATTCGGCATGCAGCAACATTTTTCCTTGTCGATCATCTTGAGTTTCATGTTCATTATCATCTTTCAGAGTTAAAATTTTAATTGTGTAGTATTTATCAGTTCCTTCTTTTCTAGCTAAACACTGAACAATACTCTTTACTGGAGATGTTCCAATTAAAGGTCCGAGAATATAAGGTCCAGCTCTTTTTACTGTTTTTGGACAAACTGGAGTACCATACGGAGGTATTAATTCTTTTTCGTCTCTTGTTAATTTTGAAGAGTTTATACATTGACTAGTTCCATCTTGACTAGTTCCTACTTCAGGTACTTTTTGAACTTCATTACAATTAGAACTCATCATTATACTAGACTTTATAATAGACATATTAGTAGTTTCAATATTAATTATTGATGGTTTACACATTGTTACTGATGTATAGCTTAAACTCCCCGATGAATCCAACACTATCGTTTGGTTTAACTGAACATCTGATGCAGAACTTGTATGTTCACCAATGATATTATTTGCTAACCCATTATTTTCATTCGAAATATTCTCACCATCACGTAAGGAATCTTCTACATAAGGAACATCGATATTCATATTATAAGAATCATTATCTATGGGCTCAGCTATCAGAAGTGAATCAGTTTCTCCATGGATTTCCTGCGAGTTAGTTGGAGATATTTGTTCATCACTTGGCCCTTCACTTGTATCCATTGCTTCATACTCATTATCCATTGTATTTTGACTGTTTTGTGAATTATGAACGTCATGTGCAACACTGTTCATCATTTCAATAAAAACTGAAATAAAAAAATATAGAAAATTCTTAATCACTTGTTTTTATTATAAAAATAAATATCACGTAACACACTAACGTATTAAGTAAGATGTAATCTATTAACTTTTACCTTGACTACTTTAAAATAAATTTTTTTATTATTATTAAAAAAAGATATTTATTTTATTTCAATAAAATCAACTTGAGCTCACTCATTTAAGTAGATAAATTAAATAATTATTTACAACTAATGAATAAAAATAATGATTTAGATTCAAACTTGTGTTTACGTATAAGCAAGTATAAATTTTCTTAAAATAATAAGTAAATTTTTTTCTAAAAACTTACCTTAAAAAATACTCACATACAATTATAGTGTTGTAATAATTAAAAGATATAAAAAGAATGTATTTAATTCAATATTAATAAGCGTAAAATGAATAAAATAATGTCAATGAGACTCGTTACATGGAATAATAAATGTTTAACATACGTAATCATGTGGCAGTTTTGGAGCAACTCCAAAACATATGTTGATATCCTTCATTATCGACAGATCATCTACAAATGATCCAATAGTTGAATTCTTGGATACTAGAGAACGCTGTATGCTTATTAAATTTTTTCGCGCAAATTTTTGAATTTTTAGAATTAAATTAAATTTTCAGAATTTTATTATTAGTTGATGTTTATGTTTTTAGACTATTAAATTGTATTAAATGATTAATGCATATAAAAAATGGATTGAATTAATTTAGTTAAAATGTTCTATGTTATGTGTATTAATAAAAATTATTAATGTAATTTTTTATATAATAATGTTAGCTATTAAATGTGGCTTTTACAATAATATATTACTATAAGAATGTAGAAAATGAAATGAGTTGAATTAATTTATAGCACAGTGAATTATCTTTGAATTGAAATCACAAAATTTTATAGAGAGAAATATCTTTGACATCGTTAGTAATAAAATAGAATATTTAAGTTTATATTATTTATTTGGAAAAATCTTTTCACAAACTGTAATTGTTTATTCACGTATTCTCATAACTATTTCTTATTTCGTTTTTTTGTATACATTTTTAATTTTAATTATTATTTCATTAGCATACAAGTAACAGTGTTTAGTTGTTTAAATCAAATTGTATTAACGTGTAATCATAAATCATTATTAAATCATTATTGATATAATTAATGATAATGATAATGTATTGTTATTTATCTTATTGCTAATGTTTGTTTTCTTCTCTTTCTCTCCCTCTCTTTCACTTTCGCAGTATTATTTTGTCATAATTATTATTATGTCAATAATATCATTATTATTCTTATTATTATTATTACAACGAAATAAAAATACGATTTAGATATAGATATCAGATATACAATTATAATGTTCATTTGAAGACAACAGTCATTGACATTATCTTTTGTTAAGATTATTCATTATAACAGAAATTCAGTTTATTTTATGTAATTAATGTAGTGGGGATTTATTTTATACATTTAACCAGTCTTCTTTTAATGCAGTTTTATATATTTATGTATAGTTTACCACATCAAAATGTATTTTCATTATTAACAGACGTGCAAAGACAATGATTAAATGCTTTAATGGAAGATTTATTCTATTATAGTACAAACTAGATATTTTTCTATTTATTGATCTCAATAAACATTGTTAATAAATCTTTTTTTTTCTAATTTTTTTTTACTATGATTTGAATGTATTTAAACTTATTGTTCAACATTATTTTTAATTTTTACATTGTTTTATTAGTCGCAATGCAATAAAAAAATATTATATATTTTCTCGTTTTGTATATATTTTTCCTATTTTTTTTTCTTTTTTTAAAAGTATTTATATTCAATCGGATTAAATTTGAAAACATGATTAATTTTTTTATTTTTTCTCAAAAATTCAAAATATTGTGTACAGTTTTTGTTAGTTATATTCTTTTTCAAAGTGATAAAAAAATATTGAATATTTTTTTATAAACATTGTTAATTAATTCATAATTTATAATAATCTTCACTATACAGCTATTTTCTGTATAGCTTGTATAATTGTAATTTATTATTGATAAATTGTATTTATTTCAACCACAACAGAAAATTATTTAAGTATAAATTTTATCACCTTGCATTTCACATTGTTGTTCATTCACACGCATAATAAATTCCGATGTATATAAATACGTTTTTCTATATATTGTGCATACGAAATTTAAACAAGCAATTGAGTATGCATCAAATATAGTCGCTTATTGCATAAATATATACATAAGATTGTACATAAGTTGCACAATGTATTACTACAAAGTGTGTAAAAATGTTTATTAACGGTTTATTATGGACTATGACATTTTTTATAATCTTGAAAAACTGAAAAATTGAAGAAAATTTGAGTAGAAAACTAGACATTCAAAAAATTGATATAATCGCATTTCTGAAGGCACTTGTTTTCTCCACATAGGTAAATAATTCATAAAAATATTACAATTTACTTATTATTTCATTAGATATGATAATAATCATGAATAGTATAGTCAATTACATAGTTTTGTCAAAATAAGAATCACAAAAATTAGAACGATGATTATATGATAAGTATTATAATTGTAACATACGTTAGGACCTTTTAATAATTTTTTAATAAGTTTACTTTGTATAATTGAAAGTAGAACCAACTTACTTTATTTTTTTAATGAAAATTCTTCATTTCTGAATTTAAACGTTTTGTATATCCAAATTTTTATTTCAATTAATATCCAATTGCACTTCTGTTATCTTCTGATTTATAAACAATTAAAAAATTTTTTTGTTTCTTTTATGTTCAATCATTGTGTTTATTAATTAAAATAATAATTAATATGGTTGGTGTCTCTGGAACTGTCGAGGTCCACCTCGTGGTTTTACTGTTTGGTAGCCAGGATGACTGTCAAAATTATCATATCCAGGATAACTGTCATAATTACTGTAACTATCATCATATCCACCTTGATAACCATTAATATATTCAGGAAAATAACCATAACCACCGCCATATCCATACCCATATCCGAAGCCCCAGTATCCTTGGCGGTTCATGTCTGGATTAACTTTGACTTTCTTGACATCTACTTCTTTTCCATTAATTGTTTGTTTAGGAGCTTTTAGCAATTTGTATACAACATCTTTTGAATCAAATGTAATGAAACAGAATCCTTTCCTTTGATTTTTTGTTTTATCAAATGGGGCCTGAAGTTCAACTACCGTTCCAAATTGATTGAAATAAGCTTTGATATCATCGTCTGTCATATCTGGAGTTAGTCCGCCAACAAATATTTTTCCATGTTGTGATTTTTTGCTTACACGTTTCGGATCCACCTTTAAAAAATAAACAAATAAATAACATGTTTAAAGAATATAGCAATTTAAAATCGAAATAAATAGTCTTCTAAAGGTATATACAATTATTAGGATATTAGTTAAAATGATTTAAAAATTTCTAGATAGCACTAGATTTTATAGATATTGAGTAGTAAAAATGTTTTACCGAATTACATAAACAATTTAATGGCAAAAATTATTTTAATATTAACCATTTTTTTTTGGTAATTTGTTATTTAAAATTTTTAATTAAAGAAAAAAAAGGTTAATAATTATTCAATTATTAATTGCATATCTTAATTGATTTTTTATTCCAAGAAAATTGATATTTTTAAATGAAAATAAAAATTCTAAAACATATTAATACCTTACGCTCGTTGATATAATGCTCTCCAGAAGCTAAAAGTTTATCAATAGTCTTCGGATTTGTAAAAACCATAAAAGCAAAGCCTCTAGAAATACCGGTATGTTGATCCATTTTAACAGTTATGCTTTCGATTTCACCGAATTGCTCAAAGTGCTCTCGAAGTTCTTTGTCAGTTGTACGACGTGAAAGTCCACCAACGAAAAGCTTTCGTTCATCATCCATGCCTGGTATACCTGCAGTAGCCTGTTGATTTTTTTGCTGAATTTGTTGATTTGTCCCATTTTTTTGTTGATTTTCCTGAGAGTTATCATTTGAGGATTGATTAGGACCAGATGAATTCGATGTATCCATTTGAGTCTGATAACAGTCGACTGCCGCCATCGTTCTTATTCTGATTTTTACTTTCAAGCTGTGATACACACAAGTACTCTATAAGAATCACGCAAAAGAAGACAATTATTGAGTTTTTTACTTTTGTTTGAAAAATTATTGTTATAAAGAATGGAATAATGTCAACTGAATGATATTGTTTATGATAAATATAATAAAAATGTATCAAATTTTGCGAAATATTTTTCAATATGTACCTTTCTTTTTTCTCGCGGATTCTACCGGTGTCGAGAGGTTGGTTGAAACTCGCCTGCGCCTATGTGCCAACCCCAAGATTCAACCGAAGACAGACTAAAACAGACCGGTCGAATAAAATTAGATAAGGATAACACGATATATGTCGATGTATTTGTACAATTAAACTATACAATTTCGTATATACATGTGTGAATTTTTCTATAGTTTACACCATTCGTTTCTTTACTATCTTACGGATTGGATATTTCATATGTTTACCTCTTTCTCACAACCAATCACGGGATGATATAGAGCAATAGTGAAATCCAAAAACGGTTATTCTTATGATATTTATTATAATTTATATTTACATCTTTTTTTGTAGCAGTTTAATTATTTTGAATAATAGCTGTGTCGAAAGTTGGTTAATATTTTTTTATGTTTTATATTTATTATATCATAATAAATCTTAATTATAATAGTTAAATAAATTATTATTGAAAAGTATCTGAAGTATCTATTTTTTATGTGGTAAATCGCGCCATTTTACAAGAATGTTATTTGATAAAAAAAATTTTAAGTAAAAATTAACATCTTTAGATTCAACTCTTTTCTTTTATATTAAAGCTAAATTCATAATATAATTAACATAAATACTTTCTAAATTAATACAACATTTTTATTTTCATAAAAAGAAAATAACACATTTTACAAACATTAAAGAGAATTTCTATGAAAGTACATATTGATTTATTCTCATGAATTTTATGTGTATACATATATTGTATGGATTGTTGTTAAATAGAAATAAGATTTGGCATTTATTTTCGGCGGAACGAAGTTAACCCGCTTCATTTAAACGTCAGTATGTATCTTATTTCTTGTCTCGATAAATTATATTTTATTTCTATTTTCCTTTAAAATCTTGTTAAAAACTTTGATTAGATTTCATTCATTCAATATACATCATTTTTCCTTTACTCAGGTAATACTGATTGATTGAATACATAGGTTATATTAATTAACCTAATAATTGACTTATTTATATCTTGTATATCACTGTTTCATAATATTTAATAAGCAATGAATACGACTAATGATAAATTTTTAGAATAATCGAAATACATATATAAAATATAAATAATTCAAGCAATTCTTTATGACGTACTATGTAGTTGATTTCATCTCATATATGATTAAAGTTAACATAAATTATTAATTGTATAAAGTATCATATTATTTTTATTTTAAATATTAATCTTATTGATATGTTGTATCTTTCATAAGAAAGTATTATTCGACAAACGACATCTGATTGTCCTGGTTTTAATAGGTAAACGTCAAAATGTTGCGCAAGCGTGTTTGTTATCCTCGAGAGCTTTGAATTTTCAGCTCAGTCGCTCTAAGATGGACGGTGGTGGAGCGTATGGTGGTGGAAAAGCTGGTGCACCCTTCGACCCAATTGCATTTGTACAAAGGCCTCAAGTTATTATAAAAGCAGCATGTTTAGTAAGTAAAAAAACAAATTTCTTTATTTCTTATTTAATTCTGCCTTAGTGTAAAAGTAATTGATGAAATTGCTAACGTTGACATTGATTCTAAAGAAGATATTTCTGGTCCCCACCTTCTTTCATTTTATACCCTCCACCCCCGACAATGGGGTTGTTTTATTGATTTTTAAGAATTAACTTATGATGTTTCCATGATAAACCAAAAGTAAAATTATTATAGTTTTTTATAATTTTTATATCAATAAATGTAATGACTTATCTAAATTAATTAATAATCACTCTGAGTCGATCGCCGAATCGATTGTGAAGCCAGAAAGTGGGAGTGGAATAAGGGGAGGTTTTAATTTTCATCTTCTATGCGTCGATATCTTATTTTATTTAGAATTTGTTTAAAATAAAAACTTTGAATACGATTGGATTCAAGTAAATACAAATTGGTTAAATCTTTCTTAATTTAGTAATTTTTATTTTTTAACATAAAAATATATTATTCTGTTATACTTTGAATTACTGTATTTTCCTTTTTTATGTTTGTTTTTAATTTGAAATAATAATAATCTCTTTACTTCTCTATTTGCAGCTTTTCTCAATAATTGTCTTTGGTTGCATAAGCAGTAAAGGATATAAGGAAGAAAATGGAAAAGAATATTGTCTTTATAATGGAGATACAAATGCATGTAACTATGGAGTTGGAATAGGAGTACTGGCATTTTTAGCGAGTATAGGTTTCCTTGTAGGAGAATATTTATTTGAGCAAATGTCATCAGTTAAAACCAGAAAGCATTATGTGTTACTTGATCTTGGGTGAGTTTTTCAATCCATTATTGATTTCTGGTCCACTTCCCTCCGTTTAAATAATACTTGAAATAATTTCTAAATTAAATCAATAATTAATGTACTAGGCGAGAAGTTGAGTTATACATAATTTACTTCTATTTGAGAATAACATATTACTGAAATTTTCATTTAAATTTTATATTTATTTATTTTATATAAAAGAGTATTTTTTTATAGATATAATTTTTTTCAAATTTCAATATCTCTAATTTGAGAAAATTAAAATAAAAAAATTGATTTTATTTTTAGATTTTCTGGAGCTTGGGCATTTTTGTATTTTGTGGGCTTTTGTTATTTAACTAATGCTTGGAATTCAAGCCCGCCTTCTGTCGATGGATATGGAGTAAATAATGTACAAGGAGCTATTGCATTTTCATTCTTTTCAATCTTTACGTGGGTAAGTGAGCAAAAATATATCATTCTGAAATATACACGTATTAAATAACAGATAATTATTTGATGAACGTATTGAATTGGTATTATTAGGCAGGAAGTGCTTGGTTCGCATTTCAACGATTTAAACAAGGAACAGATGCTGCTTTTGCGCCGAGTTATGAAGCTGATCCAGTACAACAAGGAGTTATCGGAGGTTTTACAAGTTATCCTGATTCAACAGATGCAGCTTATCAAGAACAATCTTTTCCTCAGCAACAACAACGAGGTATGGGTGAATTTCAAGCTCCAGCGTATTGAGACCATTAGTTGAAAAGTATTATAAATATTCTCCAAATTTGCACAGAGGCACAGCCACTCACTAAATGACTTAAAAGAGACTAAATTTAAACGCTGAGCGACCTTATTCTTACATTGCCTCCGTAAATCAATCTGTTCTATTCCATCTGTATGTTCTTTTCATTTATGTATATTTTTAGTCTAAAGTGTTATAAATAGCAAATATGAGATTATTAACTACAATAGATTATAGTCAGATAAAATGATGTTTAATAATAATGCTAAAAAAGTTTATTAAAAATTTATTTTTCACTGAATAATTTGAAATTAATATGAAAAATTAAAAAGTCCATTTCATCAATGATATTAATTAAAAATGTTTATACATATATTTACATGATATGTAAGCTCGTATGGCATTTTATCATTAACAACAGTATTATAAATATGAATTTATTGAAAGTTCATGAACATATTTTGAAATATTTATAAACTAATACTTATAAAATTAATGTTAATATTATTTATTTTAAAACTACGTTTTTTATTCATCTTTAAAAAAGAAAAAAACAAATTAATCATATGAAATTGAAAAACTTATTGATTAATAGAAAGAATAATGAATTATCTGAATAAATGTATTTCGGAGATGAAAATATTTATCTATTTCAAGTAACAAAAATATTTCATCAATTAAAATATTCTGATAGTGAAAGAGTTTTTAATAACAACTTTAAAGCATTATTGCATTATCTGACTAATGATAGCAATGCTTTTGTAAATTAATCATTATTAAAAAGTCCTTTCAGCTCTTATGTTGGTTTTTTAATGAATATTTAAAATTTTACGCAAAAGCATAAATATTATAACATAAATTGACAGGCCTCCCATCAATAACGATGTAGAAATGTAAACTTTGTTTAATGATACATGCATTTAAATGATGATGATAATTAAAGATTTTCTTTTGAGTGATTGAGTTACATACGTTTGCGCGTAAGCGCTTGAAAACAAAAGAGTAATTTGAGTAATCATGAATTTAATAATTAACGATGTCGTTGTGTAGTTGGTTAAGGTACAATTTTCATTATTATTGTGCCGAGTGCTTAATTTCTTTAAATAATGTCAAATGTAGATCGTTACGGAAACAGAATATTGAGTCGTGATGTGCAGTTAAAATTATTGTAATAACAGATAAAATTTTAGATTCATAATTAAGAAATTTAATTATTTATTAATGAATTTTGAAAGAAACATCAGTAAAAAAAATATTGATGGAAATTAATAAATACAAATATAATAAAAACATTAATAAGATTTGTCAGTAATTAACAAACAATAAACAATCAAGGAAGGTTCTAATACATAAATTTAAATGTAAAATTTATCTTTCAATATAACAATAAAAAAGGTTCATTGAAATTAATATCAATACAATATAAAAAAAATATATACATATATATATATATATATAAATAATCTCCATTAGATTTATTATTAATTATTTATGAATAGTAAAATAAAAATTAATACTTGAAAAATAAATTAATGGAGAAATTGAAATAAGAGCCTTCCAATACATAAATTTACAACATTTTAAGTTTACGTGTGACGAATTTACGTACAAGTTAGATACTTATGGCATTGTTGTAGTAAAATAAAAGGTAAATAATTCATGTACGAAGGTTTCAGTGTTTAGAGAACAATTATCTAGTCTAGATTATTATTAATATTAATTAATATTATACTATAGTTGATTATCAGTTATATGCAGCATATGAAACAACATTGAATATGTTTGAATTTTTTTACTGCACTGATAATCGGTTCACTTATCTCAAACTTTGGCCAAATAGTACTCGAATTACTTAATAATGTTTTAATTATAAAATATATTAATTATATTATAATGATTAATCATTAATTTGCAATTTAACATACTTACCGTATTCAAATGACCAAGAAATATTCTTGTAAAGATTCTTGCAACTTCTATCAATTTTTTCTTGATTGTATTGTGTTGATGTGAATTGCTTATTATATTTTTTAACTATATGAATTTGCAATAATCTTTGTAAGAGTTAATATTATCGTTAGTATGAAACACAAACCATTCGTACCTGGTTCATTATTTATTAATTAACTTATTTATAATTCTGTGCTAATCAAAAGAAAAAAAATTATTCCACTTAATTTTACTTGTGTTGACTGTTAATTTACTCTAGAAATTAAGTTGTAAATTGGTATACTCGTGTAATTGTTGAAAAATTTGGACTGTCATTCGTGATGTCAAAAAGTAATATTATTCAGTATGTAATATTATTTTTGTGTGTGTATAATCAAGCAATAGATAACACTCGACAGTCCAAAAATGAATACAATTGTATGAATGTTAATCGTATAATCGATAGTATTATTCTACTTGCGATTTATCCGTAGGACAACAAAAACGAATGTAATAAAAGAAATTAATAAACATAATACAAGTTTAGCTATAATATAAAGGACAAAAAAAACAAAGATAACATATATTCTGCGGCTACGAATATTAAATTATTATTAAGTTTTGAATTTTTACCTAATTATTTCACTGGTTAATTAATCATTGTTACATATAAATTATAAATGTTATTTCCTGTTTCACAGACTCATTCTCTTCCTCAAAAAAGTTCATATTCAATGAAATATTATAATATATACATCTGTATTTTTTTTTTTCGTTTTGACCAATATATTTAGTATTATGAAAAATAGACGTGTGAATACAATCAATATTATTGAAAACGAGTTATAACTTTTCTATCCTTTTTTGAAAATAATCAACAACCAATTGCTAATATGCAGTCAGAATATTTTGTTTAAAAAATTATTGCATTCATAACGCTTTTTGTCCGATTTTGTTCATTACGTGAAATAAATAAATTAAAAAAAAATAACAATTGTGCAGTTTCTGAACATTTTTTTAATGTTTTATTTTAATAAACACAGATTCGAAAATGAGTAAAACTTCATTATAATATATATAATATATATAAATATATATGTATATATATATTTCTTCCCACTTATTTAGAAAATTATTGTTATTTCAATATTAAAAAAAATAATTGAGGTTTGATGTGAAATAAAACAACAATGGTTAGAAAATTGGCTTTTTATTTAGAAATATCCTGTAAGAAGGCTCATAATCTAATCCTGCTTCACAATTTTTATGTAATTATACATGAATAATAATTATAGTTAATAAAAATAAAAATAACCATATCAATAATATTCCCAATAGTACGAATTTAAATATTTCAATAATACTTATATAATTTAATTTCGTTAAACCTCAATAAATAGTGTCTCAACATTTCATTAACAATGGAAAATTATCAAAATGTGTACATCAAAAGTAAAGAAGTATTATTAATTTACGATGACACTCGTGGAAACAATTCAAAAATTAATAAATGATCAATCAAGTCGTTGATTAATATCATATTGTGGCTTATAACAATACTCCGTCCTTATCGTTTTTCATCAAGATAATTTTACAATCAAAAAAATGCTTTATCCGAGATTCCTCTTTTCTCTTGAGCATATAAAAATGATAAATTATAAATTGCAATCTCGAATATTTATCCTAATACAATAATCATTTATACATAGTTAATATTTTTTTAAATAACAGAATAATTAATTAAACATTATAGTGATATTCTTAGCTGGTTTTATAAATTTTTATTGAGGTTGACATCACTTAAATTATGGTATTTAGATAAAAAATTTTACCTCAATATAAAATTTTCCATTCACTTGAATTTTTATCGTAAACATCATTTTTTTTACACTTTCATTTTTTAGATAAGTATCTATCTAAGTTCTTATCAGACAATGAAAGAATAGAAAAATTGTATTAAATTAATTTTGCACATTATTTTTTTCTTTGTAAATTTTTCTCACTAATTTTCTCATCTTTCGTTTTTTTTTTTTTCTTGTTTATGACTAAAATAGTCCATTAAAAAATACTACCATCGTTTTTTTTTTTTTTTGTTATACTAAAACGTATGGTATCTCTTTCCAAAGGGTCTCAAAAATGTTTTATATTTGTGGAAAAAATATTTATATATATGTATTATATTATTTATATAAATCCTATTTTATTATAGAAAATACTCTTATAAGATAACAAAACTTGAGAAAATAAAAATAAACCACAGAGATCACTTAACTTTTCTATTTTTTTTTCTTGGTATCAAACCTATTTCGTAGTCTTTATCAATCAAAAAATTTTCATCTTTCCATCATCGTAATTATTCATTGCTATTATATTCTTTTATCGATTGATCAATCAATTAATGAGACTCTTTGTACCAGAGATAAATTATGTTATTATAAACATAATCAAATTATCAATCTACAGAGTCTAGAAAATTATTAACAGATCATTGCCGTGCATTATGTTCTGTCTCTAGGAGACATTCTCTTACAAGAATTCGCGCATGTTGAATACCCATTTTAAGCCTTTCAGCAGCACTACGGCTTCCTGCATAAGATAAACGAATATCTCTACCCAATTCTTCAATGATCACTAAAAGTTGAGCGTACTTTCCTTGTCCAGGAACTGATGGAAAGTTAATAGTACTTGAAGGGCTTGATTGAGCGACTTGAACTGTCTGGACACTCTGTAAATTCCTCGGATTTGGCACCGTAATTACTGGTTCAGGAATCCGTGGAATTTCCTGTACCTTTGGAGGTGGAGGATCGTTTAATTTTGTTATTGTTATCTCATTTAATTTTGCTAATTCTGTTAACTTTGCCATTTCTGCCATTTTCGAATACTCTGGCATTTTTGTTATATCATTTTGCATATTAGCCATTTTCATCATTTCATTCATCTTAGTTTTTTCACTCATTTTTGCCATTTCTGTCATCTTTACCATTTCATTTAGCTTAGCTATCTCATTCATTCTTTGAACTTCGTTTATTGCCATTTGTGACATTTTCATCATTTCATTCATTTTTGCTATCTCATTCATTTTTGATATATCATTGTACTTTGCCATTTCGCTAAATTTTACCATTTCGTTCATTTTTGCAAGTTCTGACATTTTGGCTATTTCTTGCATCTTTATGTATTCTGTTGTTTTCGCATACTCTGCCATCTTTTCCATTTCATATCTTTTGGCCATGTCTTGAGACATTTTATTTAATTCGGTCATTTTACTAAACTCTGCTAATTGAGCCATTTGAACAATATGTTCTGGTACTTTACCTCTTTCCATCATTTGTTTTAATTCTGCAGAAATTTTATTCATATTCATCTCCGACATTTGAGCTATTGTAGCAGCATCAGGCATTTTTGAAAGTTCAGCAATTTTTGATATTTCTCTTGCTAAATTTTCATCAAGACATCTCTTCTTTTTAGCTCTATGCCTAGCCATTCTCTGTGCTTCTTGCATTCTTCTGAGTGCGGCTTGTTCTTCTGTCTCCTTAGCACGCACGTTTTTCATCCTTTCTGCTGCTGTATAAAGCCGTATAGCACGTTCTTCGGCTGTTTCTGACATTAGTCTATCGTTTTTTAATTGTTGCATTGATTCTCTTACCTTTGATAATGAATAATAACCATTTTCTTTATAAATTTATTATTTAATAGAATCATCCATGTTTTATCCATTAGGAATATTATCATTATTGTCATTAATCATTAAAGTTAATTTTAATTAATGATTATTTTTTATGAATATTTATTAAAGATTGATAATAAATAAAATCGATGAAAAAAATTATTATTCCATTAGAAAATTTTCCATGGAATCTATTGTTTTTATAACATGTATCACTGAAAAAGAAAGGTTAACTCATTAGTGATGATGATATAAAAATAACTATTTGATATTAATACTATAAATAAGTTAATACGTCACAAAAGAAACTTATAATGATAATCACCTTGGTACAGTTAGTTATTTCATGTAGATTAGAACCAATCAGGCAGGTGCACGTAAAAAATCAACGAAGTAGCAAAAAAATTTATCTGCTTCTCAATAATATTTTATTCCGTTTACTGGTTTTAATTTTTAAGGAATAAGATACTTGTAATAAATTCATCTATAATAGTCGGTAGAAACGGTAACAGAACTGCAATGAATTATTTTTAAATATTTTCAATGTCTTGATTCTCGAGTTTTTGAAAATTTTAAACGAAGAAACGAATTGTGGCAGTAGTGGCGCATGCGTAAAAATATAAGAACGACGTCTTCGTTATTTCCCCTTCGCGTTTCACCCAATCACAACAATGGCGGACGTAATTTGGTCAATCTACGAAAACTTACGTTTAATCGAGATGATGATCTTGATGTATTTTTTATCTTCTTATCAGTGAAATAAAGTACCTAATATTTAATCCGGCATTCGTTAACACCAATATTCAATAAATAAATGGTAAATAAATAGTAGTATCACTATGTTAAAATGAACAAAAGCGATATCGGCCGACATGTAAGATTTTCGTTCGGGAGAGCCACTTTAAGGGGCCAAGCGAGGTCGGCCCGATAGACTGCGTGTGACGTGGTCGCGTTTATTGACCATAACCCCTTCCTCCTTTTGCCACCCCCGATGTAGAGAGACGAGACGACCGAGGAGGCAACTTCAAGGCGGACAGGTGTGTGTTGCGCTGCTACGTCTCAGATGTGAAATTTCTATTGTCCATCTTCCTTTCCTCCATTCCATCCTACATGTGCTCCTTACTAGACTCGACGAGTATTCCAAGAGTACATATTTATTCATGCATAAAAATTACATCGCTATATTGAATCTTTTATACTCTCTAAAAAAGTACATTTTTTAAGGTATAACAAATTGATTTTATTTTCTATTCATTATGGACAATTATCAAAGATACTTCAAAAATCATATTTGATAGTATAAAAATTTTACAAATGAATTATTGCCAATGTAATCATCTTAACAATAGAAATAGTAATTTATTGTTAATCGGCGACTTTATTAATTGCTATAATTTTTTCGAATATATTAAACAAGTATTATTAATTTTTTATTATTATCTTTGATAAAACTCATTCGAGTTTACACTATACATTTCTTAGGATCACTGACCTCAATTAAGAATAAAATACTCTTTTTTTGTACTCTTAATCAATGGTGATCAATAAAAGTGATTATCATTTTACAAATAAAGTTTTAAACTAACTATTAGTAAAAAAAATTTTTTTTATTAGCTGTAGAGGATCAGTGACCTCATGAATAGTAATATAGATAAGATCATTAGATCAACATTAAAACATTGATGTTATTTTCATTTTGATCTCAATTATTTTAAGAAACCAAGTATCTACATAAATACTTGTTTCTGTTAGCTTCAATAAAAAATTTTATCCTAATATAATAATAACAAATTACATAAATAAATTGAACACAATCAATTTTTAATAGTCAATTAAAAGTTAACTAGCAATTTCAATTTTCTAATACTCATTATTTTCGTAGTATAAATTATTATTTTCTAAATCTTATAATATATAGTGATTAATATATATTTGTCATAATTTTGAAAACTCATAAGTGAAGTGAATATAGTTTCTTAATGATATTTTTGAATTAAGTATCGTAAAATCACTTGTATTTATCACAAATATTTCAATAGAAAAAATATTTAGTAGTTTTGTTATGATTATTTTTTGCTTGTTATTGTCGTGAATTAATTTCTGTTTCTAGAAGACAATCTCTGACTAGCATTCTTGCTTGAATGATGCCCATTTTAAGTCTTTCAGTAGAAGATCTGCTACCGGCATAAGTCAGTCTGATGTCTCTACCAAGCTCTTCAATAACTTCTAATAATTGAGAATATTTACTTTGTCCTAAAACAGTAGGAACTATTGTTAAGGAGTTTTCTTGTTTAGTATTTCCTTTCAATGTTGCTTCTAATGATTGATTTACTGGCTGATTATTAGAATTTTTTATTTGAAAAACAACATTCCTTCTTTTTAATTCTGAAATCATAGCCATTTCAGTTAATTTTGCAGCCTCAAGTGCTTTAGCCTCTTCAATAGCTTTTTTTTTTTTAGCTCGGAATCTTGCCATTCGTTGAGCATCGTGAAATCTCCTCAAGATTGCTTCCTCTTCAGTTTCATGAGGTCTTGGTAATGGTCGTCTTGGATTTTTCTTTTTCTCTCCATTTGGACTCAATTTTGCTTTTGCTTTTGATATTTCTTTAATTTTATTCCATGAATTCTGTCCATTCATTATACTTTGACTTACTATTGATTAGTTCACACTAGCTTTTAATATTTAAGATGTTTTTTCGTTGTAATTCTTTTATTATCTTCATTTGAGCAGTTTCTCCGTTTAATATAATTATTTGTTATAAATTAATTATAAAAATATAATCCTTTATCAAACATATCTTGAAGTTGAGAGTTTTTTTTTCTAATTATTGTAACAAATATATTGAATAAATTGAAAATTCCCGCCAATTATCGTCTTAGAGATTTAAATATGTATTCAAGTAATTTTATTGGTTAAAATTTATTCCAATAGAAATCACAAATATGGCGGACGGTAATTGGCAATGCGCAGATATTGCGAATCACATGTGATTAAACTCAAACGTTACAAAGTTGTAATTGATAATAAATAAATGTTTTCTAAAGAACAAAAAGTAAATTTGTATAATATGGAGATTGAGTTGATTAAATCGAAGAAGAAGTTGATTGAAAATTATTGAATAAATGGACCCAAAGTTGCAACAACACGTAAGACTTTTTACTGTGCACTCTTTACAACTGGTACAGTTTCACGAAAAAATTCTAAGGACCTGGTTTATTGGAGATTAGAAAGAGATAGTAGTTGTCGCCTCTTCCCGTACGCACGTAGTCATTCTCAAGGTGATTCACTCCCAAAATAGTAAGCGCGCGATTGATTGAGCAACAATACTTGATAATTCCAGGTTTCTTTCTGTAATTTTTTGCAACATTTTAAAAAATTATACATCGTCATTCATCTTCAATATTTAATACTATTTTTCTACGAAGGATAATACGATTTATTTGTTGTATACATTCATCAATTATATTAAAGATTAATAAAGAAATATAAGATATCTATATATATATATATATATATATAAATATCATCCTTAAAAATTGTTAAGAAACTGACATGTATGTTTCAACTTGTGAATATTATTTTTTACTTTTACTGGTAATTATTCCAGTTTATTTATTCTTTAAACTTTGGTCTTGGTTAGGATGGGAATTATTTGTGAATAATTAGTAAATAATTTTTAATTCATTAAGATTTTTACAATAAATAAATTATAAATTTTATTTAATAAAATATGTTAACGTTTATAATAAACTTTTAAATATACCTTCTATAAATCAATATCTTTTGGCAGTATAATACTATTTTGTGCATTTATACAATAAATTTTTGTACATTAAAAAAATTATATAAATATTATTTTGGATAGATTGAAAATTTTTGTTTATAATCAGAATATTACTTAGAGTAAAAAAAACTACACACATATATTTTGGACATACAAATATAAATGTAGTAATTAAAATTTTGTAGATATTACTTTGTATATCCAAAGAGTATTACAAATCAATCTAACATACGTAATGTTAATTTTGTCCAAAATTATTTCAAGTTCACATTTTGTCTGTTATCAAAAGTTCATCTAATCCCATTTTTCCTAGATACTTCCATATTCTGTATCTAGCTACATCTTTTCGTGTAATCATTCCAATAACCTGAAATATTAATTAAGTAAATAATTGTCTTTCTATTAAAGAAAAGCCTAAATTATTATTTATTTTATACTATAAGTAGTTATTATTGTACCTCATGTTCATCATTAACGACAGGTAAATGACGAAGACCAAGACCTCTAAAAAGTCTGAATGCTCTCGGAAGAGTTGTAGACTAATATAAAATAATTGATAATTTGAAATTAAATGTAGTAAATACTTTATATATTTTTTTTTTTTTAAGTTATAAATTATAACGAAAATTTAATACTCACATGCTGTAGTGTGTAAGGAGAAGGATTCATGAAGGGTCTTAAATCGATAGAAAAAGTTTTTTCATGTTCAGTAATATTAACTTCACTAATACAGGGATATCTCGGATAAGCATTACGAAACATTTTCAATGATAAATCATGCTCCCACATATCACAATATTCATTGAATATTTTATTTTGAAGAAGTACGATTAATTGAGACCGTAATATTAAACCTCTGAATCTTCCATAACAATTTATTTCAGTCTAAAAATATTTTTTTTTAAAATTATTCTTTACTTTTTTTTTTTTTGTTATTGATTTAATTATCATTTCAAAATGATTTTAATTGTTATTAGATATTTTACCTGATCACCAGTTGGTGGATCAACCACAGGAAAGCCATTGAAATCTACACACTTTAAAAGCTCTACAATGTGTCCCACGTTCTCCGTTGTTTTTAATGTAACCACTGGATGACTCATTATCTCACTGGCATAAATATTATTTGATAAAGGCGGTGGTTCCCATGGGAGTAGAGGAACTCCTGCCATTTGTGTATGAATCTCATAAATTCCCTAAAAATCATTAAGCAATAATAATATGAAAAAAAATATAAGCTAAATATAGTCATTTTGATGATAAAATTTTTTTTTTCTTATATTTAGTTGACAAATATATATATATATATATATATAAATACCTCATTGAAGAAATCACCAATCCATTTAGCCATCATTAAAACAATAATAACTGGTAGACCAAATGAAATGCCTTGAGTAGTTTCAATTAAAATTACAGTTAGACTTATGGTCATTCTTACAACACCACCTAATTGAGCTGCTGCTCCCAAGAGAGCATATTTCCCCGGATGAAAGTATGTCTAAAAATATGATTGATTTAGTACTTCTTTTATAATTTAATAAAATGAATGTATTAATAATTTTACACATGATGGAAATAATTTCGTCAATCCAGATCCAATCAGTCTACCCCAAGCTGATCCGATTAGTAGAGAAGGTATAAAAAGACCGCAAGACATTGATAAACCAAAAGTACACGCAGCCAAAAGAAAGTAAAGAAAAACAAATACAGCCAATGTTGCATCATTATGAGAACCTAAGTGTAAATAAAAATATTTATAACTGTTAAATTTTTGTCACACGAGACTATAGAAATAAAAGGAAAATAAAAATGACCTATTGGATCATGAAATAATGATCTAACTGTACTTTCTGGCGTTTGAAACCAAAGAGCAGCAATAGCACTATATTGCCCTTCTTCACAAAACATCTGAACGGGATATTTAGTCGGATCTTTTCCTAAAGGCTTACAGTCATTTATAAAATAGATCATCAAAGAGCCTATAGTAGCAGTCATAGCTGCTACTGTAACAGCCTCAACAACTTTTAACCACTTCTTTCTAACGTAGTTCAATCGAAACACACTTATTTTATAATTTATATGATTCCATAGTGCTCCCAAAATGCCTCCTACAGTTCCAACAGTCATGAAAAGAGGAATTTCATAAAATTGATATGGTATAGTATCGAATTTTCCTAAATTTAAAAGTCCAGGATTTGAAAGGTCTCCTGGATGACCATGATAGGTACTCAAAATGATATTGAGAGTAAATGTAGATATCATACTGGCAAAAAATGTTCGCCATGTTAAACTTTGATTAAAAAAACTTGTTCCTTCTTCTATACTGAATAATACTCCACCTAATAATAATAAAAGTATTTTAGAGTATTTATAATATAAATAATAAATCAATTAAACAATCATCATTACCTATTGGAGCTCCAAAAGCAGCTGAAACTCCTGCCGCAGCACCTCCAGCAACAAAATCTCTTTTTTCATGGTCTTCTCTAAAATACTGAAATATTTTAAAATCTTTCTTGAACGTGGTACTTTTTCCTTGAGATATTCCAGCAGCTACAACTGCACCAGAATGGATCATAGGACCTTCTTTGCCGCCAGCTAAACCTCCAACTACTGTCGAAATGACACCTAGTGATTTTATTGCTAATGTTTTTATTCTCACAACTCGTGGAATTTTTATTCCATTTAAATAACATTTTATTTGAGGTATTCCACTGCCTGCTGCTACAGGTTCTACATAAGCTACTAAAATTGCGCCTATTAAAACTGGTCCTATATTAAATAATAACCATAAAATATATGGTATCCATAAACAGTTTTCTGTAGAACAAATGTCCACATCTAACTCTATTATATCAGGAAAATATATTTATTTTTTCATCAATAACTTGTATTGTTTGTTGATTTAATTATTTAAAAAAGGATACATTGCTTTAAAACTCCATACTTTAAATTAGATAATTCTTCTATAGAAATATCTATAAAACATGCAACTAATGCTGTAAATATTCCTATTAATAAGAATATAAACCATCGTGCGAAATTTTTTTTAACAACATATTTATAGCCTTTTTTTCTCTCTTCATCTTGAAGTAAATTGTTTTCACACGTATCGTAATCTAAACTCTGGAAAGTATACAATTAATTTAATACTGTTGAATTGTTAATTTATCAATATCAAAAATAAATATCAGTTTTTGGATAATCAAGTTTCTGCAGATATGATTATCTTAACTAATTTGTCACGTAAACGATAAAAACTTATTTAAACAATTGTTTATTTCTCTATAAAATTACCTCGTAATTAGCTGATAAATAATTTGTAGCTCCAGGTTTGAAGTGTTCATTATTAATTCTATTTGATTGACGATTCGACACATCCTCTATTATATTAGTAAAAGTATTATCATGTAAACAATGTCTAATATTCTAAAGACAAAAAAAAAAAAATAAAATTTATTCTTTACAGATTGTAGAAAAATTGAAAATTAAAGTCAATTTTGTTAAAGCATCTATTTTATTTATCATTGTTAAAAACAATAAACCATTTAGTTAGTATATAAATAAATAGCACTGTGACGTCAAGCTTTGGTAAAATAGGTTAGATTTTATAACAAAGGAGTTCAAAGTTTTTTATTAGTTTATAATATTCAATAGATGAAAATTGTTTATACCTTAAATCTGACATTAACGACGTCATTGGAATATGATGGAAAATTATTCCTAGCTCTAGTTTTTACTAATTTTTCTTCTTCAATATTCGAATCACGACCATAATTAACTTCTTCAACTTCAGAATTTATTAAAACATTGACATGAGTTTCTAGATCTGTCATTTTATACAATCATTGCCAGTCGTAGTTTACTATTATACATTACTGAATTTTTTAAAATGTAATTAGAACATTTCTTTTATGTTAAAACTGATTACGAATTGCAACATTTGATTCACATGACTTGAAATATTATAAACATTTATATGAGAGCGAAAAAACAAGAAATTCATTCACTGGGTTTGATTGCACTCCACTATACTACTACCACCATTAGATGAATGTTACTCTCTCTCTCTCTCTCTCTCTATATATATATATATATATATATATATATACATATAATCACGGATAGAATACCAACGTAAAATGTGAATGCAACAAACTCAACGTAGTTATACTGGTTTGTATTATAGTATAGCTGTTGATGCGCATGAGGAAGTGACTGTTTGAATGTTTTATTTAGTTTATATCAATATTCCAGCTGATAACCACGTGACTAATGTATTTAAGTCATGAATTTGGATGATTCATCCCTTTACATTGTTAAACGTTTTACCATATGTTACTAATTTTTCTAATTTAAAATTTTTATTTATTATAATTTTTAATAGGTGAATGTCTATTTCAACAATAACATATTGTAAAATTAAATAATAATTGTTACATATTTATTTAGCTAAGAATAAATTTTTTTTTCTCATAAAAACTCATTGATAATAAAAACAATTGTATATAAAATATTTCAAGTATTTAAAAGGAGTTTTCTTTAATATTTCTTACTTCTAAAAAAAGTGTGAATAATGTATGAAGGGATTCGATTCTTGTTTCAGGAGTAACTGGAATATGTACAAGGCTGCAAATATTATCAACGAATTGTGTTAAGTCACTATTTTCTTGGATCAAATCTAGCTGATCACTTTTTAGTTTATCTTCGATATCAGTCGGCCACTGTTGCAACAAAGTATCAATATCAGGCATCGGTTGAGTCAGTCTTACAGTAGGAATGGGTTTGCTTCGATGCAACTGATTAATGTCTTCAATCCACTTATCGATGGCTTTAGGATTTTTCTCAGCATCCTCAATCCTTTTTATCACCACATGTTTACGAGCATCCGCACTTTTGCTCTGACTTCGCAGCTGAAGATGCAAAACTGCTGGTTCTGACTGATTTGCGCATGGTTCATCTAATACAACTAGACCAACTTTGTCATCTACTCCATCAGGTCTAGGTACTTTGATAAAGGCATCAATATCTCCAACAGCCGGTATAAAGTCTGGGATGTAAGGGGCAAGCTTATAATTCAATTCAATCCTCTGAGGTGTATATCTTTAATAAAATAAATAAAACAATTAATAATCAACATCATTTGACTTATAATTCCTGATAGAACAGTAATATTATTAATATTTATTAGTTAATTCATGATATTGAAATACTTTTTTATTAAAGTATAAAAGTTGAGATAGATAATAAAAAAAAATTTTTGTATATTTGATGCATTAATATTATAATTATTTAATATCGAAACACTGAGTTTGTTAAATTTTTTCATTCCAAAAATACTTTATGAGCTTCACGTAATTTGGAAATTTATACCTCATTATATTCTGAAAGAGTTCCTTAACTTCTGCAGATGCTTCTAAATTTTCAAAGTCCTTAGGATTGTAAAGTTCCATAGGCTTCTTTACAGCTGTACCTTCAATATCATCATCATCAGTTTCCTCACTATCTGATGGATCACTTCCTATAGGTTTCTCGAATGAATTTTCATGCTCCGAAAACCTTAAAAATAATTTTTGTTTAAAATTATAAATATATAAAATAATAATAAATAAAAGTACCTTCTAAAACTACGTTTTCCTAATGGTGAATTAATATCCACATTATCATTTCTACCATTTGATGCCATTTTTGCACTTTTTTTCATCGTAGAAGATCGACCACTTTGCGGACTTTTGACTTCTTCTGCGTTTTTAACTTCAATACTTTCGTCGAATTTACTAAAAGCTGAAAAATTTTGCTTTTCTTCCTCTTCACTATTACTACTGTCCATTATCAGCTTTTTTAAATTATTTTCGTTTGCTTTTTAAATCGAGTAGTAGTAAAGTCAAATTCAACTTGAGTAAAAAATTTTGGGATAATATAACTCACTATTTAACTTTTATTCAGTAGTGATCTATTTTTAAAAAAACATGTCTACTGGTATGTTAGGATTTTGTCGTTACCATAGTTTCCATAATTATACTGTTGACCACATGCGCTCTATATACATTTATAAATTTAGAAAATGTTTAAATTTTATTTTATTTATCATTAATAATGAATCATGATGATTTCAATTTATATTAATAAGCAAATATCTCTAATATAGAAATAGAAGTAAAGAAAAAATAAAATTAAATATTTTAATAGTACGTCTAATGTCTCTGGGTGTTTATAAAATCATCACCAGAGATATGTGATTGGCAGTTGATCCCCGATCCAAATTATCACTATAAAATAATTATTAATAATCGATGAAAATCATTTAAAATGACTTTCTTAATGAATTTTCAACTCAATGGTCAGAAATGTCAAATTTAAATAGAATATGATTAAAAATTTAATATTGACAAAACTTTCCACGATATCTATTAGAAAGTTGTTCATTTTTTAAAAGAGGATTCAATTTTCTAAATACTCCATGAGAATTATGATATAAAATTGAAGTTTTTGGCTCGATTCCAGTTCAATAAGGAGCTAAAGTCAAGAAACTAAGTTTAAGTTTCTGCTAAAAGTTTGTGTAAAAATGATATCAATTTGCCGTCACCGTTTTAGTAGCTGCGATTATTATTATTTATCATACGATTAGAAGAAAGTAAAGACATTCGTTATTCTTAATATGTTCTGATAATAATGGTGGAATAATGGTAAATTATTAAATGAATTTAAATATTCAAAGTCTTGAGTTATTACTTGATAGCATTAGTGGTTATAAAACATTCAGATGAAATCACGGCTTCGAAGATGATTGAAAATATTGCAACAGATGGAAGTTTGAAATTTAATCGCAAAAGTGCTCATCGTCAAGATTATCGAATATTTCTCGAGATATCTATCGACAATGGAAGTGAATCTAATTTCTTGTAGTATAGTACAAAGCACTTAGAGATTGATCTTTTACCTGCTAATCAAATTATTTCCTTTTTTCGTATAAAAATAAGTTATTTCAAAAACTCTATTATCTAATTGATTATTTTCTTATTATTAATTCAAATTAATTAGTTAATTGTTCATTAAAATTCTAAAAATAATCGTAAAATTGTACATTTATTAAGTAGCAATATAAAAAATTACAAATAAAAATTTATAAAATTTTTTAAATAGTTTGTATAAATTTTTTTGTTTTTCGTACAAAATAAACAAGTCCATTATCCCAGACTATACTTCACAACATTTATTACACCAATGATTATTTTACTTCCTCCTTATTAATAATAATTGATAAATTGAGAGCATGAACTCTCTGAGATTTAATTTTTATCTTATCTCTTTTTTTCCAACGTCATAATGCGCATATAAATTGAATTACGTAGTAGTCATTTATTTATGAAAATTATCTTGGAAGATATTTCAAAAGGTCAATAATACGATGCATGAAGCTGAGTTTTTAATTCATGTTGAACTGGTCAGGGATTTTAAAATTTGTTTGTTAGAAAGTAAAAAATCTATTGACATTTACTCATTAATTCTTGTGTAATTGAATATTTTCTTCAATTTATTTTCAAAATATGACTTTGGGTTGAGGGGAGTATCAAATAGGATATTTTCCATAAATTTGTCCACTTCTAGTTCGTCTGATCAGCCACGTCTGACTACTACTTAACGATGTTTGTGTTCTATTTTTTCTTTGAGAACTTTGGGAATGTTGAGATTGTGTTAATTTTACGCTAAATCCTGAATGTCTTGAAGTATTACCTCCATTTGGAATACAATATGGTCTTGGTTTTTGACGAATAACTCTTCTCCTTCGTGGTGCACTTTTTTGAGGTGTAGCAGCAGGACCATCACCCCATCCATGATTGAATCTTGATAAATCGTAAATTGACTCATGATTATTCTCTCCTGCTTCCTCAGTTAAATTTATTACTTGGCTACATTAACATAAATTATCCATTAATTCAGTGATTTTTTAATAATAATTTATTTATATAAAAAAAAAAACCAACTTACGAATTTTCAGGTTGTAAAATTTCAGTGTGAATAATATTTTCGTCATAATTTTTATTAGACAATTTAGAAGAAATGAGAAGTATGACAATAACGACAGCACAAACGATGAATAAAGCTGCAAAATCAGCAATCACTTGCTTCGATACTGGAGATAACTGTGAGAATTCCCGTGAAAATATTTCCTGTTGGATGAAGAATTTAACTCGTTAAGGTATTATAGATTGTTTTTCTATCTTTTTCTTACTTTTAGATATACAAAAATCCGTCGAATAATGGCAAGAAAGGATGCATGTTCCATGCCTGCTATTTGAATTACGCGTTCCAAAAACAAACTTATTCGAGGTATACTTTTCATTTCATGAATAAAATATTTTATAAATTTTTACAATCATTTCTATCTAAAAAATTACGCGGCTCTTCGCCAACTGCCGAGAATTTGACAAATACGCTGCCTTCAGTTCTTATAATCATTTCGACGTTGACAGTCACGTGTTATCTCGTTTTGTTCCAATTTTAAATGATTAAAAATTATTAGCCAACGTATTACGACATTGTGATTCAGGTGTTTGCCTTAAAATTTTTTTTAAAATTTAAGATACATACAAATATACTATATTTCTATGTATATCACTAATATTGGAATGAATTTTTTTTTATTTCTCCATTATTATTAGTTTACATCAGAATTTAGCATAATTTATCACATGAAGTGATATAAGGAAACACACAAGGATTATATTTAACACCCATAGAAAAGGAAGGTCCTTTTTCAAGATCAACAGGGTTATACGGTCCAGGAGTACTTGATAGACCTTGGTAAGGTGGTTTAAATCGAAAAGTAAAAGCTGGTGCTCGTGGGGTGACCCATTTAAAATTAATTACTCTCGGAGGAGGTCCATGATCTATTTTCTTCACTTTATGAAAAGGTATACCTCTAAAAGATCAATATCGTAAATTTGACTTACAACTAATTTAACGACTATGTCATACAGTAATAAATTACATCAAAATTAATTCATTCTTTATAATTAGTTCATGAAAATCATTATAAATGATTACATTGTAAAAGCTGGCCCATTTAAATCCCGTGAAAGATTATAAGGTCCTGCTCCGATTGATGCAGGCGGTGGTTCTTTCATTCTTGATTTGAGTGAGAATGCCGGAGTTGGTTTGTATGGAGGTAAAGAGTAAGGTCCTGGCGTACTGTCTGCTGATTCTAAAAAAAAAATAACATATTATTTTTGATGTTTACCCCTAAAGTATAAAATTTTGAGTATTAAAACTTACTGAAGGGTTTCCATGGTATTCCAAATGTGAACCCGCTACGTGTAGGAGTTTTAGGATAATAAATAGGCCCTGGCCCATAGCGAATGTCATACATTTCAGGACGTTTTCCAATAATAGTATGAGCTGGATTTCGTAACTTAGTTTGACAATGATTTTTATAACCTACTACAGGTGGCAATTGATAAATCGGACCGGGAGCTTTTAGTAAATAATACCGATTAATAGTATAAAAATGCATGTTTTTTTCTAATAGTATTCTTAAAGTTATGCACCTCTATAAAAACAGTATGCTTGAGATTTTTTAAATGGCGAAGTAATTTCATTATTTTTGATATTTTTTGTATGATTTTTTTTTTGCTGAGCCATTCTTTTTTTTAGATTAATAAATAAATTAAATATAAAATTTACTGTTAAATATTTTTTTTCATTTTTAATATAATTTTTTTGTTTATTTTCAACACTTATATCACTTATCTATATGTTGACTTATTAATAATCTGCAGTAAACTTCAGCATATTAAACTTGAAAATGAAGAAAGCTACGTGAATAATTAATAAAAATGAAGCAAGATTATTTAAAAAATTTATTTATTAAAAAATTTACGTAGAAGATTCTATAATTGTACACGATTGAAATAATGAAATCTTGTATTCGTCTTTATAAGATATCTACGTTCTAAGATTTAAAAAAAACTTCATTCGTTATCCATATCTGTAATTGGAAGAGCTTTACATTCGCTATGATACACTCCGAAAGAGAACATTGGTGGACGTTTTCCAGAAATATATGAAGTGTTATAAATGGGTCCAGGACCTTCAGCTTGATCGAAAAACTTTTTTCGTGATTTTAGAGAATATGATGGATATTTTTTTTTAATAACATCATAATTCGGATTACCATATGCATTTGGCCCTGGTCCTACAGATTCTTCTTTTCCAAACTTTCGTCCAGCTCTGTAATAATTCTCAAAATTATTTTATATAGCGATTAAAAAAGAATCAACGATTTATTATTCATATATGTACATGGTAAAAGCTCCAATAGTTTTTTTGTGAGGAATTTTAGGGCCTAAACATGCAGGAATAATGTATGCATTAGGTCCTGGACTTGATGAATCTAGATATTGATTTTTGCGTCTTGGTTTTAATGAAAAAGCTGGAGATCTTTTCGTGTGATTCATTGGAGGACATTTTTCTGGGTGATAAGCACCAGGCCCTGGTCCAAATCCTAACACTAACACATCATTTAATTACTCGATTATTATACCGTACTAATTATATTGGTAGAAAAATTTATAACAAAAATAGGACTCGATTTTGTATTTGAATAATTTATTAATAATGCTATGTTGATTTATTCAAATAGTCACTATTAATAATCAATCGTCTAATGAATTTTCTGAGTATCGGATTAGAGAGTACATTAATAAAATATTAATAAACCTATGAATTTAGCTCGTCCTGCTAATGAAAATGCTGGTGGATTCTCTGGACCATTTCGCGTTAAATGATATGTATCATATCGATTAGGTCCAGGACCTGTTGTAATATTATCTTTTTCATTGTGACGTGATCGAATACTGAATGCGGGATTTCTGGAGCGTGATGGATCGTGTTTTTCATAACCCATTAGAGATGGAAGTTTGTAAGCTGGACCAGGACCTTAGGTGTAAAAGGAAATTTGTTTTAATTATCAATTATAAAATGATGTAGAAGTGATAATTTCTTTTTTTTTTGTAGTAAATATTAATTAAAAATACCTTTCGATTTACAACTTAATAGTGGTTTTTTTTGAAGTGTAAATGTTGACATTGTATTTTTTTGATCAATAAAAATTCATCGAAAAAAAGTTATAAAACTTTAAAAAAAATATTGTAAAATTTTAATACTAGTACAAACTTGAAGTAAGCCCATTTATATGTCATGTTACTCATATAGAGTATTGTGCTATATTTAGTCATTTAAAAGCATATATTACAAATTACATGAATTTTAGAAAAAATTTCTATCGTGAATAGTGTTTCAATATTTAATCAACAAAAAGAAAAAATATAAAACAAAATTGAATAAAAAATGTAATAACATTGGCTTATTTCTAGAAGGTTTTTATACAATAAATTTTTTTTTAATTAAGACATTTCACATCCATTAAACCAATCGTATTTTCAATCAAAATCATCATTATTATTATCAATCCAATTGCTTGCAAATAACGCTAGTTTCGCATACGTCTACCATAACGTCAAGAATATTAATAACATTATCATATTTACTTGTATTGTTATTCGAAGTTCGATCAATATCACTTGGTTTCTGGCTAGTAGTTGTTGTAGATTGATTATTGACATTGTCTTTATTGATATCTTTATTCATTTTCTTGCAAAAGTTATTAAATTCATCATCATCAATATCGTCATCATAGTAATCATCTTCATCATTTTTTCTTCTTTCGTTAGAAATTATCAATGACTGTAACTTGGCTAATAAATCATCTCTTGTTAAAGGGACAACCAGATCAGCTACTTTATTCTCTTCAGTGATTAATATTTTTTCTTCTCTATTTAATTGTTTTTCATCATTATCTGAATGATTTTCTTTTTTTTCGCTTTTGTTTCCTGTAAATAGTATAAATTAAATAGTCAAGTAATCAAATAAACACCTATTATAATAAAAATAACTATAAATGTACCTCGTTTCATGTAGCGATAAAAGGTACGTCTTTTTCTCTCTGGTAATTTTTTCAGAAGTAATCTGAGCTCCCTATCTAATATGAGAACTTCTTCTTTGACTTCTGATTTGATTATTTCTGTTTGTTCGCCACATTTTGGACAAACTTCCAATTTTAGAGCACAAGATTCACACATTATGTGATAAGCATGTTTGACACACTTTTGATCACATTTTGTACATTTACTTGGAGCTTTTAAAGGCTTATATTTCTTGTACTTAATTTTCCATTCAATTATTTCCTTACATCTTTTACAAACATTTGCTACTTGAATATTATTTATTGTTTTTGTTTTGTGAGATGTATCATAGAGATTATTCTTGAAAGCATGAGAATTCTGATATTTTTGAGGCCTTGATCTATTGGAATTACCTTTTTGAAAACTCATTTTCCTAAAAAAAAATCAATATTATTTCAATATTATTGCAACAAGAATTTTTGAATCTTTTCAATATAATTGAAAAAAGAGCATTACAGTAATGCAAATTACTTTTGTTAAAAATAAATCATTTTATTATTGAAAATGAATAACATGTGATAATTTATGATAAAATAAATAGAGACATAAAGTAAAATTAATTTTCAACACTTACAGTTATTTCTTTATTTAATCACTAGTATAAAATATTTTACTTAACAATTAATCTTTGTTGCTAAATTGTTAAAAAAAAAATAATAACACGTTTTAATGTACAGATAAGCCATCGACTGGCACATTTATCCCTCTGTTGTTAATTTTGACAACTATTTGACGATTTCAATGCCACCTAGTGTTGATTAGGGAAAGAAAAGCCAAGCAGCGGGAGCTTGACATGATCGTTTACGCGGCAATAAGTATCAAAACATTGAAAAAAATTAAGTTGATAGTTAGAATATATTCAAGTAACGAGAAAATTATGATTAAAGCCTCGACAATTTAATGTAAAAAAATACAAGGCTATCATTAAATGAGTAAAACTGATGAAAAAATTTCCAAGTCTTGTCTTCTTGTCAACAAGTAGACGACGCTACGAGAAGTGAAGGGTCACTCACACCTCTTACATCTCATGAAGATAGACATTATTATCCTTGTCACTCATCTTCGAAGATATCGTCTGCAAGAGTCTCCAAAGAAGACCCTGAGGCCACAGACAAACCACGTTCAAGACTATGTTTTATCCTTAAAAACCTGTTATTCCTGTGTTCCTGGATGAAAGATTGTGAGTAGTAGACAACCTGCCTACTCTTCCTTTCTTCTTAAACATTTTTTTTTTACTGATAATTTGATTCGATAACGATTTGCTAATGAGTGTATTAAATTTTGCAAGCGTAAACAGTCTTCAAAGATCCATATCTGGATAATTTGTTTGATTAAGAGGTTAGTTTAGAAATCATTGGATTTATTCGTTTTTCCAAGCTTATTCATTCAAACCTAAAAATTATAGTTTAAGTAGTACGTAATAAATTGAATAATTTAATTTTCTCCAATTCATTATTGAATCGGTTAATAAAAATACAATAATGGGACATGGAGAATTAAAAAAAAAAATCTTTTATTAACTTATGTCTTTCTTGTATTGCAGACAAATTGTCACTAAAATTTCAACTAAAATTATCATGAATTTATATGAATAAATGATACATCCATTAGTAATGCTTCGAGAGATTAGTGGGCTTGGAAGAGAAGTGATAATTTATTTCGTACTAAGAGACAGCATGATAGAAGGCAGGTACCACATTAACAACTAAAGGGAATAAAGAGACATAGTAAAGGGTGGCATTGATTCGCAAATTAAATTTCTCAAACAAAATTTAATATTATTTTAATTGAGTATAAACTCGAAGAAACTTTAGCTTCGAAGCTTGATTTATTTTCATAAAATTGTTCAATGATTATGTTAATGTTTTATTTTATATTGAACTAAAAATTATTTCTTGGAATTTTTTCAACATTAAAATTTACACGGGCTATTTTAAATTCTGAATGAATTTAATGTTAAAATCAATACGAAGTTTATTTTAGGCTTTCGTTTCAATTCTTCTTCGCTACTTCATCGTTGATCCTTGCAGGTGATGGTATCATCGATGCAGTGGGGTCACTTCAGGTCGAAAGTTCGCCAGGCCAAACTAAACATAGAGTCTCGCCTTAGTTGACAGGTGAAACGAACTAAAATATTAACGACAACCTTAACGCGACCGACTGTCAATCTGTCAACTATTTCAGGGGAATGATTTGCCTGATCTTCTGGATATATATATTGCACAGCTTCCGCTACTGTCACATCTTCCTGACACTACGTGGCTAAACATTTATGTACTGAAGAGGAGGAAGCGAATAAATGGGCGGAGGTAACGCAATGCCAGACAATAAAAGTTACAAGCAACAACAAAACCAGACGGCAAATTAGTGGTACTTTGAAATGCTTTTAAAATTTTAATCTTGCATGTCTGACCCATATCTTCTCCACCCCATAGCCTTTGGATTGTGTATGGGACTTTTGCAAGGGAGCAAAAGTGATACGTAAACATAGATGTAAAAAAGAGACAGAAGTTTGACATGTCAGAAAACACTCGAGTTTCCCAGTCGCGGCTTTTCTCAGCTTTCATGACTGTCAGTCTAGAAAAAAGCCTTATTTATAGAAGAATAGAAAATATTTCTCGACTGAAAGGTGTATTTAGAAGGTAATTGGAACGTAGACTGACGTATAAGTAAATTTTTGATACTTGATACGAAAACTGTAGAATTTTTATTCAATGGAATGTCAGTTAAATGATAGCATTTTTTACTACTCTTTGCAATATATAATAGTAGGATTTACATATGATTTGTTCAATAATTGATAATATTTTAATTACCAATTTTATTAACTGAATTTTTACTTATAATAATTTTATTTTTGTCATAAAAACTTTTTCAATTTTTTTCGTTATTACCAATAAAAATTTTACCGGATTTGTTGGCATGATATACCTTAAAATAATGGTACAATTACTAATATATTTTTAATGACTTAATATTTATATTTTTCAAAGTACCTAAGTAAAATTTACTAAACGTATTTCAGTATAAAAAATTGCTTTGTAAAGGATTTTTACAAATAATAATCTCTCAACTTTATTGTAAAAGCTGTAAGAATAATGAGTGCAGTGTTATTGAATATTTATGTCGGTTCTACGTTCAAAAAACACATTGATGCTATAAAGATTTATATTCTTTAAAATGTTCTGAAATATTTTAGTTAGATTGCAGGAAAACAAGAAAATTTTTCACTTTAATGCAAAAGTAATGTCAATATTTTTGAATTGTTCACAGATCGCGGAAACATTAGTAGTAGTAATTCCATCATCAATGTCCATTCATCTTTAAGCCTTTGTTTAAAGAGGTGAGAAAGTAATTTTATACAGCTATATAGATAAATGTTTGACAATTTATAAGTTTTGATTATTTTTATGTTATTCTTAGAGTGATTCAAGTCCTATTTTTTTTCTACGAGTATGTTTATAACTACGGCCTTCTAATACAACAGAAATTACACAATATACCATTCTAGGATTTATGTGGTTAGAAAATCAACGAATGAAAAGCCAACGACGTCAAGTGGAAAAGAAGGCTGGGATTGGATTCGTGGACAGAAGTCGTGAATTATTCTACTGCGAGATCTGTGAGGAGATCGGTAAGTCAAACATTCTTAAATATACATCACTCAAGTTTAATTGATAGCTGGTATTTACTTCAACACGTTTTATAGTAATTAAAAGCTTTCTAGGAAATCCAAGACAAATAATTATTAGCAAACATTTATGCAATAAATCTATTAAATATGATCCTCGTTTACTCAATTACATTTGTTAGCGCCTATTGTTTTTCGTTAACACTAAAATCCATTTATAAAATTATTAAAAAATTTTTACCTCATAACTATTCGTTTATTCAAATATATTTAACAATGATTATTACAATAATTAAGAATAAATAATATAAATAATAATAAATCTTTAAAAATTTTCATACTGGCAAAAATTAGTTGATCATCGTGAAAGAACGAATGTAGGAAAATTTTATTTACAAGTTCAATGGTTGCAGTTATTGTAAATATTATTGTTATAAAGTTTTTACTCCAATTAACTGAAAAAAAAACATTTAACAGATAAATATTATACATGGAAAAAAAATAATAGAGAATTGATTGTATTCGATGAATTGTTGTATCTCTACTCTTCCGTGATTATGATTATTGCCCGAAAGCCAATATCCAAAACTAGGCTTTCTGAGCAACAATCAAAAGCATAAAGAGTATTCATTGCATAATTGGTGATTTTTCAGCAGTATTGATGTCATTTTTATAGTTGAGTTACCTTAGCTGCAAAGTAAAACGTATCATTATATTATTATACATATCATAATATTATATTGAAGTATTAAAGTATTGAGAGCTAGAGTATCTGTCGATTCATATTAAATAAAAGTTTAATCATCTGAATCGATGATGAAGAATAATTTAAGTTGAAGTGACAGGAGTAAAAAAAAAGATACAATTTCTTTTACCCCCTTTCGTATTTTTTGCTTAAGTTGAAAAGAGATTGAACTTTGTTGAAGATTATCCGATGATGTTTTCATGGGGTTTTGATGCTGTTGCGGTCGCTTTAGCTTCATATTTTATTACTGACTTGCCGCTGTCCATAGTAATAAAAGATAACATAGTTTTAGTTGAGATAGAGACTTTTAAACATTTGTTAGAAACCTTTTTACTTGATTTAAAACTCTTTTTTATCTCAATAATCTTTTTCGCTTGACTATTATCAATATTTCACCTTAATTTTTATTTAAAATTATATTCACCTTAAACACCACTAATATTACTGGAGAAAGTATCATTCTTTCTACTGTTTTTGTTATCAAATTTTGATGAAAAAAGTCCTACTTATCGTTGTAACTTTCTTTAAACCACAAAATTTTGAAACAACATTCTTCGATGTTAGTAGATGATGTTTTCCTTTGATGGTAACCACAGGTTATTTGTGTTATCTTTTTATTTAAAGTTTTTATCTAACATAGAAAGTATTAATGGAATAAAATAAAAAATGTATAACATTTTATTTCGATTAAAAATTAAATATGATAATAAATTTTTATTCGAAAGAGTTTATAAGAAACAATATAGCTGTTTTATTATTAAGATAATATGTTAGATAAGAAAATGATTTTTTTTTAATCTGTTATACCTGCCTCTCACATACTTCTTGATAACTTACATGTATATTCTATTTTCAATTTTGAACATAACGAGCAATACAATAACGAAAGAAATAAATGAAAACTTCACTACAACAATTCACTTATCTAAGTATTAGTAAAAGAGTTTGAAAATATTTTTGATTAAAGTTCAAGTCATTAAGCAAATTGAATAGTGAATGTAAAAGGAAGAAGGTCAATTAAACTATTTGAAGTAGATAGGTGAAATGAGTGGAGGGAATGAAGAGAATAATCACAAGTGGAAGATAAGAGCAGAGGTATCAGAGAGGAGAGTTGAAGAATGAGTTGGGTTGAAGTCGCGAACGCGAATGATAGCAGCCGGTGGATGCAGGAAGGGTTGATGTGGCTTGAGAAGTAAAGGTAGGGAGTATAGAGGCACGGAAGGGTTGATTTTGGTATGAAAGGGTAGGAGAAATGGAATTGATTCTGCGCAGGACGATTAGTGATTCTCTTGTGGCAATTCGCATGTCCACGCGACCACGGGTTTCCCTTTGGTGTCTG